CATGCTGGTTGTAAGAGGCGTGTCAATCCATCTCCAGCAACCCGTGCTGGTTGTAAGAGGCGTGTCAATCCATCTCCAGCAACCCGTGCTGGTTGTAAGAGGCACGTCAATCCATCTCCAGCAACACGTGCTGGTTGTAAGAGGCGTGTCAATCCATCTCCAGCAACCCGTGCTGGTTGTAAGAAGCGTGTCAATCCATCTCCAGCAACCCGTGCTGGTTGTAAGAGGCGTGTCAATCCATCTCCAGCAACCCGTGCTTGTTGTAAGAGGCACGTCAATCCATCTCCAGCAACACGTGCTGGTTGTAAGAGGCGTGTCAATCCATCTCCAGCAACCCGTGCTGGTTGTAAGAAGCGTGTCAATCCATCTCCAGCAACCCGTGCTGGTTATAAGAGGCACGTCAATCCATCTCCAGCAACCCGTGCTGGTTGTAAGAGGCGTGTCAATCCATCTCCAGCAACCCGTGCTGGTTGTAAGAGGCACGTCAATCCATCTCCAGCAACACGTGCTGGTTGTAAGAGGCGTGTCAATCCATCTCCAGCAACCCGTGCTGGTTGTAAGAGAGCGTGTCAATCCATCTCCAGCAACCCGTGCTGGTTGTAAGAGGCGTGTCAATCCATCTCCAGCAACACGTGCTGGTTGTTAGAGGCGTGTCAATCCATCTCCAGCAACCCGTGCTGGTTGTAAGAAGCGTGTCAATCCATCTCCAGCAACCCGTGCTGGTTGTAAGAGGCGTGTCAATCCATCTCCAGCAACCCATTGGGAGATCGAGAACACCCCGGACTACTGTCTACCCTGGCAGAATTTCTTCAACCTAATCAGTGGTACATTAGGAAGGGTGGATGTCCATCAGATGCCGTTATTTGAAAATATCCACGGTAGTTCTTGTCTGATTGTAATAAAGTATCCCAGCAGTGTAGGCTTTTTCAGTTTTCAAATGTTTGGATGGTATAGTGACTGATCCAATTTTATTCTATTTCTGTGTTTTTTACCTCAGTATTTGATCATGTAAAAATATGATGTCTACGTATGCTATGATATCAAAAACACACATTTGATATATTTGAATCCAAAAACTAAACCCCAATTTTCCATCGCAAAATAAATCTGAAATTTTACTTAGGCACATAGGTATATACAGTACACAGCAAATGCTTATATATATTTCTTTTATAACAATGAAGTTCAGTTCGTATCCTCAAAACAGTCTCTGCCCATAAGGTTTTTTTTTCAGGTAATCAAACTTGCATGCAATACAGCGATTACTACTCTCTTGCTGTAATCCTTGTTTGGTGGTAAACCTACACATGTTATTTGTCATCATTCACTTGATGGTCAGTTAATGAATTTATAACAGGTATAATTAGTGATAACACCACTCAGATTACCCGACAAAGGTTCCCATTTGGCATTTCTTGTGTCTGGAGTCAATACTCATCATTATAAATTGAGGTCTGATGTGGCAAATGTATTACATCTTATGTAATATGTGCATGGAAGTGCAGTAAGAGGAATTATCAGCTGAGTTACAAAACAAACATCGATCAAAGGATTAACCGATAACACGCTGATTGATTAATTACTTTTATCTTGCACAGCGGATTTGTCAAAAGGTAGTGTTTACGTATGTAGATTTACTAATCTATACTGAATACACCCTGTCGTGAAATGCCTGTATAAAAACAACGCCCTTCCTTCAAAGGATTAACCGCCAATACATTGATTGATTGCTCATTATTGTCTAACTAAATTACTTATTTAAGGAATGGTGGACATCATGCAATTTGTTGCCAGGTGTGTTAGGGTGACCAATGGGACTATACACCAATGTGAAAAACCTGAAACGATAGATCACTTTTTCGCATATTAAACTGTTAAAAGACACATGACATGGAACAGGATTCTTTGTCAGCTGCAGATAAATGGCATCTCATTCCTTTATGTGGATATTAATGGATACATTCCCCGAACAAGGTAATAGCCTGATATTGTTGCTATAACTTTAGTCTTTTTTAATCTTAATATTTGCATTTTGTTTTTATTTATTTGTTATGGCATTCAACAGAATCATTTTTTTGCCGTGAAGTGTAATGAGACAGACAACATACACTAGGTTGCACTCAAGGCATGTGTGTGAAATATGATACACGTTTGCAATCTATAAGATGTCTAGATATTACAATGATGTCATAAATTCACTAAATATAAGCAGATTGTGTGCATTTTATTAAGTTTCAAAATGCATACAAAGATGATAATAAACTAATTAGGTTATAAGACAAAATATAAAGACGTACATTGACTTCGTTATTTCAGTCCTAACATTTTTTACCACTGGCAGATGGTTAAACTTAAAATGTTTTCATTTGTTATCAAAATAATGCCATTTAATACAACATTCAGATTGATTAGTAGTGAACCCAAGCTCACTACTCTCCCCAAGACTCCCCATGTACTCAGTTAGCCTTACCTTCACAGGGATGGAAAGAACTATAAAATTGCTAGTGTACTCCAGTACAGTGGCACATGTAAAGTCAATTGCCCTGATAATTTTTCCACTATTCCGACCGTTTTCTTGCTGATTTTTTAAATAAACATAATTAACATTGGAAAGTCAACTGGACACCGGTACAGTGTGATATACAAATTTGCTTGCGCAACAGAAAAAAACACTGGACTTGGACGTCAAGCAATGGGTTATTTCCACCCCTGTTTCAAAACAATGCTATTGTATCAGACTTATCACCAAATTCAAGGTCAAACTATTTCTTAAATCAAATTGTACATCCATTTACGTTAACATTTTTATTAAGTGACAATTACTATAAAATCAAAATTTTCCATCAAAATCAGCATGTTTATCAAAGTGAATATTTTTTTTATAAAAAAAAAAAATTATTCATCAAAGTCTACATAATTTTACAACAAAATCAACATAAGATTATCGAGTAAAAAAGATTTCATCTTTGTTGATCAGTCAATACTTATACTATCAATTGCGCATGAGGGTGGCGCAGCAGAGGTAACGAACCAGTCATGAATTCTGGGATATCATCTGGGTACTCACTGGAGAAAAACAATAACAAAAGCAACAACCAGTCCACAGAAATTGCTCTGGATCAGAGGCCATTTAAAACCTAAAAGGTTTCTAATTATACAGCACCAGAACACAATAGAACTATGACTTTCAGTGGCATTTAGAAGTTGTACATTGATGTCCAAGATATTTTTATGGATTAAACTTCTTATTAATTTATTTATTAATTTGATTTATCTCTTCTTCTACGACCAAGTGTGGAAACGTGCTGTAGGCTAAGTTGAATCAAATCTTGCTGGCCTCTGACCCGCCCTGACCTCTGCCCTCACTCCGACATCAACACCTGTCAATCATCTCTGTAAGCGAAATTAAAATTAATAAGAAAAATAATAAATTAATAAGAAGTTTAATCCATAAAAATATCTTGGACAATAGAACTAGGTTATAATCATGACTCCTAATAATACAACTTCCTGTTTGCAAAAACACCAAATGCCAAAAAGCAGTAACCATGGTAACTCTGAAGCAGATAGGTCCCTGCCTGTAGCTATAACAACAAACTTTTTGTTTGTTGACCGTGACCTTAAGTCCTCTATTGTCTCGAGACCTTAAACTTCAACTTTGTGAAATGTAATTTGAAAATGCTACTCGCTGCCATCAGGAGTAGTGTTACAAATGTCAAGTCTTCATGCTGTACAAGCAATACTTTCCTGAATCAGTGAATGAAACATTCATAACTTGACCTTTCTAGTGACAAACTCTCAAAATTATGATGGTAGCTTTGTTGTGTAACACCGCTCTCAGCAATATTCCAGCTGTCTTTAAATAAGTGAGTCTGGAACAGACGATCCAGTGATCATCATCATGAGCATCAATCAATGCAATTAAGATGAAAGTCAAGGATTCATTAACTGATGATGAATAATTTTACATTGATCACTGTTGATGGGATCCCTTGCTTCAAATTACTAGTGAGGCAGGCCATTATGATGCCATGACCCTTCTTAATTTGAAAACCAGACACACCTTGACCACATACAGTACCAAGCAAAGACATTGTCAGTGTCACTAGTCCTTTAGTGCTGAGTTTCTGTTTTTGGAAGTTAGGCAAAAAATGTCACAAAAAAGCCTGCATTTTACAGATTTTAATATTTTCATCAAACTTGATTGACAAACATGACAAATACTCATGTCATCTAGTGCAGTTCTTTTATGCATAGTTCATACCATGTGACCTTGACCTTATCAAGTAAAAATTGCTACTGCACATCTACCAAAAACAAGGAATTTGTAAATGAGCACTGATTATTTGTGACAGCACCGGTTGTCATACTGTAAAAAAATTGTCTAATTGTCCAACTCAGTAGCAAAGCTAATGCAATTATGTTTGATCGTCTATCATCTAATTATCTGGTAGGAATAAGTGCACTCTGTAAAGTGAACTATTCTCACATTTATGTAACTGTACATCGAGAAAACACGATTTCTCAAGCTTCCGAAGACCCTAGCTCCCAAACTACTGCTTCGATTTTTGTGCTGTATGTCTCATTTTGTAGGGAAATCTATTGGCTTGAAATATGTGCATACTTTAAGTGGGATAATTACAGTGAGTATTGTTGAATTTGCCCTGAAACATACCTGGTGTGTTGACCTCGTTACATCCCTTTCCTTTTATAGAGTGATAAGACCCCGTTAGTGACAGTACATACCTTGATGGCAGTTTTTAGCGTTACAAGCCCCTGTGTGTACATTCACATGACACAGATATTGGAGTCAGGCCACTGATAAAATATACATCAGTCCGTCTTCATGTACATGATTGAGTTGTTCTGACATGTTAACCCCCACTTGTGCATTCAATATTTGATTCCCTATATATAATATAAACTAAGTCATGCAAATGGTTGGGAAGTGTTGACGTGAAGAGGTTGAGAATGACACATGAGACATAAGAGTGACATACGTTTCAACTGTCCAGAATCGTCTGCTGAGGGACAGAGCATGAACGTGACAACTGTGCTTGCATGTTAACATCAATCAAGATGACCTGACTGATTCAGTCCCGCTGTGATAAAAGGAACGTACAGAATGAAGTTGACAAACAAACCTGCACTGTTTACCAGAGGCCGAGGACCCCCAAAGGAACATTAAGCGTTCATGGCATGCTGCAATTGAGACGTATCGTGTTATTCTAATCCACGAGTTATATCTCACCTATCTCTGACTCCTATCTCTATGAAGCAAGATGAAAAATTACCCGAGTCTACTTGCTGTGAGTGAAATCATCAGATTCAAGCGTACTTCTGGCGACAAGTACTGTTAACGACAACCATAAGTGAAAACATTGCGCAAGCGTGTTGTTTACTTCCGTTACATGTGCATGGGGGGCAAATGAGTGTTTTGTAACTTTGACATTGGCTCCCCATTCCCTAAGATGCGTTTGCTTAAATTAAGCTCCGTCCTGCGACAAGGATGTGTAAAGCAGCTGAAACAGGTAAAAGAAGAATTAAAATGTTTGGAAAGACTCGCAATCTGTGGTTTAATATTTAACACCGTGTAAATCATAAGGTTTGGGCACCGGCTCTTTTACCGGTGCTTCATCAGCTGTTGATAATGACAGGATCTAAACACGTTATATACGATGTCAGTAACAAACCATGCCTCATCCTATGTCGCACTGCGTCCGTGGGAGCTCTTTACTGGGCGCACTTACAGTTATACGGATTTCAGTTAGCGCAGTATGGAGGATCGAACTCAATTTGCGGACCAATTTGCTAGTTTGAACCTCAGCTGTGAAAATAAAATTAAGTTAAAAGGAAAGAAACTTCCAACTTTTAGTCCTCCATCCATTTAAAACTAGCTCCCATAACCACCGGATGCCCATCATCTCATGGGGAACCAGTTGAGAACCAGGGGAATCCCCTTGAATTCTCATAATTATGCTTACTCAAACCTTTCACCTTGCAACTTAAATGTGTTTACATATGCAGTTATGTACATCAGTATACAGCCATTATGTTTGCATATTATTTTTGCAACAATTAAGTACAGTTCATGTACCAGTGTTCGCGCAAAAAATTATTAAACACGCAAAACATATTTTGCGTGCATGTTTTGCACGTACAGACAACAAGAATTGTCACAAATAGTTTCACTAGAATATCTTTAATACATGCATGGATTACATAGCAATAACATGATATTTCGCCACGTAAGTCGTTTATGTCTTAGCACTCGACATCATTAGCAGTCATAGGTGTTTTACAGTTGACTATAGGAAAATCTGTTACTTGTGACAATATATTTAGGATAATCTCGCCCAGGATAGCGTCTCTCCTCTTGTTAACTAACTTGCCTGCCAAACCTACGTCACTCATAGGCCATATTATATAATGAAATGAACAAGGGAATAATTAATAACACACACAGGATATCATTGGTTACTGTCAAAGGAATCCCCCCAGAAGTTGTTCATTTCAACCAATCAAAGCCCAGGTTGAAATAATAGTATGATCAGTAATAGGATCGATATGTAAAACTACTATTAACGATCATCGGTAGTGAGCAAGTGATTTCAACACACGGTATAGGCAAACTACCGTTATATAATGATCATACATTATATTCAAACACTGGAACGTAAGTTAAAGCTTATAATTATAATTATTTGTTATGATAATGATGGTATTGTAATGAAAATTTCATACACAAAAGATTTGGACTACATACACATAATTTTTTTCTCTGCACGCACTGGTACAAAACCTGCCGTGAATACTGATGTACTCAAAAAGGTAACAACCCTCAATTTACTAGGCAAATTGTACAATGTACTAATCTCTTCTTGTCATCCATGTTTTATCGTATAAGCGTTACACTTGTGTGTTTATCATCATTTCTTACAGCTATTAATAAGTGTGACTGTGCAACAGAAAAAATAAATAGCCAGTTGAGGTGTAAATAACTTCAATCGAAGGATTAACTGATAATGATTGATTAATTGCTGTTATCTTGCACAGTGGATGTGTCAAAAATGTTCATACATGTAGGTTTTACTGTAGCAGATATAATATACCCATATCTTGGCACCTATGTGAAAACAGTGCACTAAATTCAAGAGATTAGTCTGAAATATGTGGATTGATTGTTCATTGTTGTCTAACTAATTTTATGTATTTAAATTTTTCCTGACTCATTCTATTTACCTCTCTCTCCCTTAATCCAAGATACAGTGGAAACATCGCACCTGTGTGTCTGTCTCTGTGTGTGTGTTACACTTGATGCTTAACGTGAAACTTGATCAGAAGAGTTTCCCAAATTCCTATAAATGTATTTGTACCCAAAGTAGCAGATCCATACCCTACCTCAAAACTAATCCTGAGAGTGGTAATCGCCTCTTACGAAGAGTATGGGTTGCTGAGGACCAATTCCAACCCGGATATTCAGGGTTCAGGGGACAGTGGAGTAGACTAGTGGTTCGTCGCGCTGAAGACACAAAATTTATTCCCCACATGGGTACCAAGTGTAAAGCCCGTTTCTTGTGACCTCTGCCATGTTATTGCTGGAATATTGCTAAAAGCGGCATGAACCCAACTCGCCCACTCCTTAGGTTCAGCAGCCAACAGGCACACAATGCCATATTGCCAAATTATACTGATATACTTTTGGCAGGTCAAACTATCAAATTTGTAAATAAATAAATGTTCAAATTTGGATAAAAATGTGTGACATTTTTATCCATGATTTTTCCAGTGCCCTTATGTTTTAACAGCACTTTTACCCTTATGTATTTTTCAAGAAATGAATTTACACATTTTTGAACAGGTTAAGGATTATCCAATGTCGATGGTTGCACATGCCTGACACTGTTATATGTATTGAGAACGGGTCTAGGACAATTCCCACCCTGACAATTCCCACCTAGGACAATTCCCACCTAGGACAATTCCCACCTAGGACAATTCCCACCCGGACAAGTCCCACCTAGGACAATTCCCACCCGGACAATTCCCACCCAGACAAGTCCCACCTAGGACAATTCCCACCTGGGACAATTCCAACCCGGACAATTCCCATCCGGACAATTCCCACCCCAAAATAAAAATAACAAGAAGAACATAGTTCAGTTTCAACATTTATTCATTTTGACATAAATACCATATAACAATATTCCATATAAACACAAACATGAACTATTACTTTCTTCATGACATACATAAGTTTACAGCAACTTTTCAAATTTTACTGATATTGACATGTTTACATGTTTACTGATATTGACAAGCACTATAGCGTGAACTACTTTCAATTCAAGTTCGCTACATTCTAATGTTGTGGGCAACACTTCAATAAGATCTGGTCAGGCGCGTGTGTGTGATCATGCAGGACACCAGCACACTGGTCGTCGAGAACCTTGATGGACACTCTGCATTGTCCATTACGTCTCAACTCACAGTGGTAGCTGACAACTCCATTCTTCAGATCCTTGTGTCTAACTACCGAAACCCCTTGAAATGAACCTTCTTAACTCCTGTCTGCAACATAACACATAAACTCAATGTTACATCAATGTGAAAAATTCATCAAAGTCAAATTTCTTTAATATCAAAATTTCAATATTTTATCATTTTCAATATAACAATATTTCAAAGCCTGGGTGGGAATTGTCCTCATCATTATAGTGAAAATTACTGGGTGGGAATTGTACTAGGTGGGAATTGTCCGGGTGGCAATTGTCCAGGTGGGAATTGTCCTGCCCCCATTGAGAAGTTACAGGCGTCAGCTCACAAGTTAATAAACATGATATGACTTTGCCATGTTTAAGTTTGTATGAGATGGACAATTGGTTCTTCTTCTTTTTTCAGTTCCAAGCAGTTGCGTATTCCACCAGAAAACTGGGAGTAAGTGACATCTGTGATTTCATCAATCACCTGTAAAATCATAATGTATCTTAGCGATCTTCATATTCACATATACTAATGGGTTTGGTATTTTTCAGGAAAACAGTATAAGGATGATGGTTAATACAGTAAAATATGATCTATTTCACATGTAAATCTGAAGACTAGAAAACTTGAAATGCTGATTTGTTCGTTTACTGTCAATAAGTTCGTCCAAACCTTGCAAAACAGGTCTTGTTCAAATAAACATTATCATGTGACCAGCTGCCGTTTCTCAGTATTTGTCGCATTTTGTGCAGTCAAATAGAAAGGATACTTTAAACAATTGTGAATAGCTAAATGTTGTATTTGTTATCATGGTAACATTGTATATATTAATGTAGGAAGTGCAAGAAGATGTGAGGATGATCAGAAACATTGGAATCTCGGCTCACATCGACTCCCGGGAAGACAACTCTCACGGAACGCCTTCTGTTTTACACAGGCAGACTAGCTGAAATGCACGAGGTAATTGTCTCCCTCATCATAACTAGCTTTCTTATTGTAATTGTTTCATTTAGCATAGTCTCATTCAACATAAAATGTCTCATTCAACATAATAGTCTCATTCAGCTTGTGTCTCATTCACCATATGAGGCGGTGGGGTAGCTTAGTGGTTAAAGCGTTCACTCGTCACGCGCGACAGACTTGAATTAGATTCCCCACATGGGTACAGTGTGTGAAGCCCATTTCTGGTGTTCCCTGCCATGATATTGCTGGAATATTGCTAAAAGCGGCGTAAACCCAAACTCACTCATTCACCATATGTTAATTGTCGCATTCAACAAACTTGTTTCATTGACTGCCGAATTGAGTTAGGTCATTCACATGAGAACAATAAACATGCATGTCTCTTCTACATGTTCTAGTTTTGACTGTTACCTTTCATTGACCTTGACCTTGTCAGGTGAAGGGGAAGGATGAAGTGGGTGCCAAGATGGACTTCATGGAGCTGGAGCGTCAGAGAGGCATCACAATCCAGTCGTCGGCCACCTACATCATGTGGAGGGACCACAACGTCAACATCATCGACACTCCAGGTGATACAGCAACTACTTCCAGGTCTCCGTACCACGACAATCTTAGTGCAGTGATGATTGTAGGGCTATGTTTAAGTATAGGCGTTAGAATCACCTTAACACAAAGATTGTCTTGTGGATTGCAGATATTTACCTCAAGTACTGTATTTGAGATTCCGTGGGACTCATACTCTAAATTTTCAGGGGTCCTGGACTACAAAATGGGGGTCCCAGACACTTAAATATTATTATTAATACTAGGTTGTAATATTGTTGTAATTCAGTTACTGTTATTTTTTTGTGTATCATCACATTACAGTAATTAAATTGCAAATGATACCATAACCCGGCTAGGAGCAGACTCAGTGATAACTTAGTGTTACTTGATCGACATTTCAAAAAAAGTATTTGGACTTTTTCTGCGTCCCCATTGATGCGCTAATTATTTTCTTTGCTTCTGTTGTCAATTTTTATGTGTATAGGATGCAGGAATTCAACGTCTTGTAAATCCCTGGGAATGCATCCGAGGTGATGGGAACCACCATAGTGGTGTGGTGGATTGAGTCTCTGCCTGAAAGTTGAAGGCGGAGGTTCGATCCCTGTACCAAAAATGTTAATTGACATCATTAAGGTGCTTAGCATTGAGGAGATCAAAGAAGGATTGGGTGACTATGAGCATGCATAATATGTTTGAGAGGGATGTCTGTGTAACACTACGATATGGTGTATTCAGCGTTTAAAATTCCCGCCTGCGCAACCGTCCGGAACGGTTTATTTTCATCTCGGACGGTCAAATTTCAAAAGTAGCCTGTCCGGTTGTCTGATAGATATCTTTACCCCTAACAGTAAATATTTCATAATATCAGACAGGTTCTCTTGTTGTCAGTTTGAGGTGTTTACGGTATTATGGAAATTATGTTAAACTACTTACGATTGGACAGTTCATGCTACGATAAACAATTATAACACGTGTAATTTCAGTTTATTTTTGAAAACCGGACAGGCAAGTTTGTATCCCGGACTGGTAATGTTTTAGAGTTTGACGTCACCTCAACACCATTTCACAGGTATAGCAAAATAGCGAATCCAGATCTGGGTGCCGTAGTACAAAGCGATCTTAGCACTAAGGTGACCATAACTCCCGTACCTTAACATAGACTTAACAATTTATAACATAGTCTTAGCACTAAGGTTGTGTTGTACAACAGCACCCAGAAGAGTTCCCTAATACCTCATGCTCATCATATGAGCTGATTAACATTAGTACCTGGTGGTCTGGTTCAGTCACATGGATGACTGTGTGCAACAAGTTCGCCTGCTTTCGCTCAGTGTCATTCTGTCACCGGTTTCTGTGGTCAATACGATATGTTCTCAGACACCATTTGAGTTTAATGTGCTATAAAATATGTGAGATCAAACACCAGGTTCGTAATTGGATACAAAATTGAAAAAAACTAGATGTGTCTTAGGTGGTGCTATGCTGGTGTTGTCTGAAGCTAGATTCTCATAGGCATGATTTTGTATGCAAGTCATGTGAAGGAATGCGTGCGCTCACCCTGCATCTCCCAGATGGCACTGTGCTTGTGCTGTGTGGAACCAGTGTCTCTCACAAACTCTCATGGATGTGATTTTGTTGCAGGTCACGTGGACTTTACCGTGGAGGTGGAGCGAGCGCTGCGTGTCCTAGATGGCGCTGTGCTGGTGTTGTGTGGTGTTGGTGGTGTCCAGAGTCAGACATTCACCGTCAACAGACAAATGAAGCGCTACAATGTTCCCTGTCTGGCATTTATCAACAAACTAGACAGAACAGGGGCAAACCCAAACCGTGTCCTCTCTCAGTTGAGGTGAGTATGTGAAGAGGGCTGCCTACCTAATAGTTTCTGTACCTATATCTCTGCACTGCATCCTGTCAACAATTTAGATTTTGACTATCTCAAGACGAGCCACAAGCGGTTCCATGGTGTTGTCAAATTAGATGCTTGTTCCAGGATATCCCTCACTAACTATCTTGCCATAATGTACTTGCATTATTATCCTACAAAAACTGCATACCCGTGAAGGTCCGGGTAAGAATATTGATCTTCAGTAACACATGCTTGTCATAAGAGGCAACTAACAGACTCGCTGACTTGGTTGACACATGTCATCGGTTTCCAATTGCGCAGATTGATGCTCATGATGTTGATCACTGGATTGTGAGTGTATATTTACGTCCGCTTCGTGAACTTCAAGGGATTCAAGTGTTTCCACTACCATTCGAAAAGAAAAGGGAGATAAGCAAAAGATCATGAATCAGGAAAAGTATAAAAATATCTATTTTACTTGAAAAATTACATATTGTCATTGTTACCATGGTTACAGGTCTAAGCTGAACCACAATGCAGCGTTCCTCCAACTGCCTATAGGACTGGAGGCCAACCAGAAAGGAGTGGTTGATCTCATACACCAGAAAGCTATATATTTTGGGGACCCTCAGGGGTAAGTGCATTATCGAAACATTCATTCGTTCGTTCGTTCGTTCGTTCATTCGACCTGTGAAGGTCTGGGTTAGAATATTGGCCTTCAGTAACCCATGCTTGTCGTAAGAGGTGACTAACGGGATCGGGTGGTCAGACTTGCTGACTTGGTTGACACATGTCATCGTATCCCAGTTGTGTAGATCGATGTTCATGCTGTTGATCACTGGATGTCTGGTCCAGACTCGATTATTTTACAGACCGCCGCCATATAGCTGGAATATTGCTGAGTGCGCTGTAAAACTAAACTCACTCACGCTACAAGTTTTACCCGTGAGGCTATTGGTTATATTTTGTCTCCAACAAACCAACTAACAGAGTCAGTTGGTCAGACTCACTGGGGGCGTAAAACTCAACTCACTCACTCACTCATCCCAACTTCTGGATCACATGTCAGATTGGTATGAAAGATTTCCCTTTTCATGCACAGGGGTATATATGACAAGTAGCGAAATATGTGACACTGTAGCGATAACCACCACTGACAACAAGAATTTGTCAGACGGACCCTCAGATGTTTTTTGACGATCCCTATCTGACATGCATCTACAAGCTACCTGGCGATATTCAGAGAAAGCATCGTGTTCGAGGCCAACACAAAAAGTGCAACGTTGAGACCAATCAGAACGACCTAAACAATCTACACATAAAGCATGTGGATCTGCCGCCGAGAAATTACTGTTACAATTGTCACAATGTTTGCGCTTCTTAGAACCATTACGATTCGATTTACCCATCTTGAAACAACAATCAAACTTTCTTAGAGACAAGCACACGTCCACACGACATAGCGACTAGAAAGAGAATGACAGGCACAGGTGGTCACATGATCATCTGAGCGAGCTGCTGCGCTTATGCAAATTTTTCCTTATCCTGACTCATGCTCTTTTGCTTGTCCCCTTCCTCTTGCAACATAGTGGAACACTTGTATCTCCTTAATTGAAGCTCCTTCAATGTAAAATCACTAATTGGTACTCACCCAAGAGTTGCCTCCCCTGCATAGCCAAGCGGAACAGGTGTCGCCACCCTCTGGCCTCATGCTTCACTCTCTCTCCTTCTTAGCCCAGTGAGCAGGATGTGAGAGCGCCTGTGTCTCCTTACACACTATATCCTTTGGTTTTCTTAGTTAGTTACCTCTTATAGTTTACTATAAAGGTATAGCTAGTATCCTTCATTAATTTGCATTGATAATTAATCGTTATTTCTACTGTTTATTCCGTTGAGTTAAGTGATTGTTCAGCTAGTATTACGTTGATGAAAAACTGTACTATTTGTAGATTACGTTTTTCGCTGCGGATCCGCATGTAGTATGCCCTAGTTGTACTACGCCTTGTGCGTTTGATTCACGTTGCAGTTACTGCATTAATTTAACCAATTCTGCCTTTAATAAATACCATCTTTGCGTCTTGAGGCGTGTTGCAGATAGGTCACACAAACTAGGTGTAGACATGGCGATACATCCAGTTCCCATCCAGTCAGCTGCTGTCGAGCGATCCCCTCCCGTCTGGTGTTCTGCTTGAGACCCCATCGGAAGAGGGACGTGGGATGCAGTCCGTCACCTCTAAGAAGCGACCGGCCTCCCCAGACATCCCGTCATCGCAGATAAAGTCCAAGAGGGCCTCAACGTCTTCTCAACGCAGACTTCGTACCCCCAGGGCAGCGTCATCCTCCAAAGGGAAATCTACGAAGTCATCGAGAACTTTCTCAGCAGAGATCGTTCCAGCAGCAGAATTGGGCCTCTACGATGATCAACCAATCATCATACCCGACATACGCCACAAGAAGCGACCAGTGACAGCGACAGTGACTTCAGCAGAGATCACCATGCAGCCTGATGCCTCTACACTGATGTCAGACGAGATCGCGGAGGGCCCCACCGCTATCAGCGCAGAGAGGGCACCATCTACTACGCCGCCAGATCATCCCAGGCGATCTAATGAAGCAGATCATGATCATGATGGAAGGCCACTACAGACTGGAGAAGCAGCCATCCCAGGGTCGAGGCCGCCGAAGGCTCCAGCGTGAACAGCACCCCAGAGGCACCCCCAGTCAGCGTAGCAGCCACGGCGATGCAGCCTTCGCGAAGGAAGTCACAGACCACCTCCACGAAGGACCCAGATGTACAGCCTTCGCGAAGGCCTTCGCGGGGGAAAGATCATCACCCTCTTCGGCGTCATACTCAGATCACGGGAATCTGATCATCAGACCTCACGGAAGCCTTCGCGAAGGTCATATCACCGTTCCCCAGGACCGGGCCTTGAGGAAGCTTAGCGAAGCGTTCGCGAAGGACACCTGAACCCAGATCGTCATCATCATCTAAAAGGACATCGAGGGACTACACAAGAGCTTGGCGAAGCTACCAACAGTCCCCTCATAGGTCGCCAGAAGATCAACCTATCGATGTAGATCACCAAGGCGATCGCCTCGCCGATCACCATGCCGATCTCCGCATTACATCACCACGTCGATCACCTCACAGGTCTGCACATAAGCCTACAACTAGATCTCCACAAGCGTCAAAGCGATATAGAGATAGAGCCACACAGTCCTACATCAGAAGAGCAACAACCTCTCATTTATGATGATGGAATGGAAGATGATGGAGGAATTATTTTCTCAGATGCAGAGATAAGATATTGGATGGTCAATAATCTAGATCTCTCATCACCTTCAAGAGTGGCAATTCGAGCGCAGACTTATCTGATGAAAGAAGGCGATGCAGATGCTATTACACTACCCCCAATCGACCCGATTGCAGTGGCGTACCACAGAACCTAGATACAGCATTCAACAAAGCCACGAAGGTTCAAACACCACATCTGCCAAACTTTCCGCCAAGAAGTTCTCCACGCATAATATGGACCCCTTCTTCAAGGCATAAGACATCGATGAGAACTACAAGCTGATCTCCGATGCCAAGAACAAGTACTACAAGATTGATGATCGAAAATTGGTTCAGATAGAAACCATGGCGAGTATGTTCTTTGGTCTAAATAGATCTAGAACAATAAATGAGACACTTATCACCAGATTTCGTAACCGACCTCTGAAGATGATAGAATGATTTACTCGGCCCTACTGATGCAAAGAAGGACCAGCAGTTCTTAACAGATCATCTCCGTCTGTCTCAGCAGCACTGACCTTAGCTTCGTCGTCAAGGCCTCCTCGCTTCCTGCAACTGGGGTGAGAACTTTACGGCTCCACTATATACAGCCCGTGGTCTTCCCCATCCATCTTTGGCGGAGGAATAGACAAAGTCTCCAAGGAAGTCACCAAGGATTCCAGAGAAGTCCTGATGATTAAATCGATGGACAAGCTAGCCAGTGTCATTCGACAGACTTCACAAAGATACTCAGGAGATCTAAATTCACGGGCCTACAAAGAGCAAGAGACAGGAAGATAGCCAGTTCAGGGGAAGAGATTCTTTTAAATTAAGCCCATATGGCAACTATAGAGGAGGGTCAGGAAGAGGCAGGACACCAGAGGTTCCCGCAACTATAAGCGCTGAAAGACAGGTTCGAACGACTGGAGTCTTCCACCCCAGCCGTTCCAGTACAACCGTCACAAGTGGGTGGGCGTCTCCAACTACACTGGGAAAACTGGGGAATACTTCAAGACACCTATGTCTCCAACATTCTTCAACGCGGATTTCGTATCCCACTACAGGCCAAGCCTCCACTAACAGTCAACCCTCCCAAGTTCGAGGTACAGGCACAGCAACTACTAAAGTTAAGAGAGGCTGTTACATTACTCCTAACCAAGCAGGCCATAGAAGTAATAGATCAAGGAAACATCGAACCAGGTTTCTACTCCCCAGTTTTCCTAGTACCCAAGAAAAACTCCAAGGAGAAATACAGACTCATTTACAACATGAGCTTCTTCAATAAGACTTATCTACGCAGACCACCGAAGTTCCACATGATACATCTACCGCAGTTACGGTACATGATTCGTCCCATGGACTACATGGGCAGTATAGATCTACAAGATGCCTATCTGCACATCCCTATACATCCCGAATCCAGGAAATACCTACGGTTTACTCTAGACGGGTTACATTACCAGTGGAAAGTACTCCCATTCGGAATAACATCAGCCCCATGGTTATTCACGAGGATAACAAAACCGATTGTCACCTATCTACATCGTCAAGGGCTACGCAGTGCGTTCTTCCTCGACGACGGGATACAAGTAGATCAAGATCCACAGCATCTCAAACTACAGTTAAACTACATCATAAAGCTACTAACACAGCTGGGATGGTTAGTAAACTTACACAAGTCGGACCTAGTACCATCGCAAGATCTGCAATTCCTAGGCATTCGATTTATCACCCATCTCAACCGTATAGTCGTACCAGAAGACCGTTGGCTCAAGATCCAACAGATCATTCCTCCAGCCCTACTCTCTCCGCTACCACTTCGACAATGGCAGAGTTTACTAGGTCTTCTAACATCAGCCCAAGACTTGACAGTCAGAGGCAGATTACAGTTACGTCCCTTACAGGTCTTCATCAACACACATCTCGACGACCTACAACCATTCAGTCTACCGGAACATCTCAGACCTCATCTACTATGGTGGACCAAGAAATCGAATGTCTGCGAAGGGATCTGTTTAGCAGAGCAGGAATTCAAAACCCATCTATATGTAGACGCGTGTCGGCTCCAAGGTTGGGGAGCTCATCTCACCAACCAGACGGCATCAGGGTTATGGAATCAGCTAGAAAGCAAGCTCCACATAAACTCATTAGAGATGAAAGCTGTAATCAACGCCATAAGACATTGGAGCAACATTCTACAGAATGCGCACCTGATGATACATACCGACAACTCGACAGTGGCGTTCTATGTGAACAGGCAAGGCTCAACGAGATCGCCGAACCTTTTGACTTTAACCTTTCAACTGTTCGAATTAATCCAAGATCTAAATCTACATGTCAAAGCATGCCACATTCCCGGAGCCAGGAATATACTAGCAGACGCACTCTCTCGGCCACATCTACCGTCGCCGACAGAATGGATGCTCAATACAGAGATATTTGCACAGATAATCAAGCAAATAGGAGCGCCGCTAGTAGATCTATTAAGCCACAAGATTCAACAATCAACTACCGACATTCGTATCACCAGTTCCAGACCCACAAGCATGGGCAACGGACGCTCTAAGCATATCATGGGAAGGCCTCAATGCGTACGCGTTTCCGCCCCCAGCAATAATACCTCAAGTATTACAGAAAATCAGCCAAACACAGAGCCTACAACTCATTTTGGTCGCGCCCTACTGGCCAGCCAGAACGTGGTTTCCGCTCTAATACAAAGAAATCGGACAACCGGCACTAGAGCTACCCAAGCTCAAAGCTGTTAATACATCCACACACCAACAGGTGCACAGAAACCCAGAAGTATTCAAACTTCACGTTATGGACTGTATTAAAATGTGTTTAAACAAGAGAGGATATTCTACCAGGGCGGCAAAAGCGGTCACGCTTGCCTTACTACGATACTCAACGCGTAACGTGTACCGGTACGACGACAAGTGGCACAGTTTCGAAAATTATGCAGCAAACAAGGGTTTTACAGCAAGAGATGCTACGCATCCTCAAGTGGCAGACTATTTGTGTTACTTACGGCAAAACAAACATTTAAAAGGCTCGACATTGTCAACATATCTTGCCGCGCTTAGTTCTGTGATTTCTATGAGAACGGGTGTTAAATTGACAAAAACACCAGAGTTACTGGCCTTACTACGTGCTTTCCGATTGGAGGACCAAATGCGGAAGTTCCACGCCCCAGCTTGGGATCTGAATGTAGTGCTACAACACCTCACAAGTGAGGATTATGAACCATTGGAATTGACAACCTTTGAATTTCTCTCACAGAAAACAATTTTCCTGTTATCGCTAGCCACGGCAGCCAGAATATCTGAAATTCACGCTCTAGATTATGAGAGGATACAGTTTGATGACAATCAAAACACAGCGCACCTGGGATTAAGATGGGATTTCATCGCCAAAAATCAACTACTAGGACAACCAGACAGGTTATTTCACGTCCCTGCGCTATCCTCGATTCTCGGATCTCAAGATACACTGGACTTATCTCTATGCCCAGTACGAGCTCTCAAAATCTATTTACGTCGTTCCAAAACAAAGGCGAAGATCGCTCAGAAGATTGTTCATCCGTTATAAGCCTACTAATCAGACAGAAGTCTCTCGTACCACCATATCTATATGGATAAGAACTGTCATTCTACGCGCCTACAAGGCAGCAGGACTGGACCCTCCAACAGCATCAAATCCACATGAAATCAGGGCATTGGCCTCCACCCTCGCCCTTCACGGTAACTGTTCATTGAATACAATTATGGAAGGATGCTTCTGGAAATCTAACATGGTGTTTGCTAATCACTATCTGAGAGATATCACCACCGAGGACGTCTCTGGCATTCACCATTTCGGTCCTTTGGTCCTCGCTCAGCAACTGACAGTCCCTCGTAGGCGTTAATATTCACCCCCACGAGATTATTATGTATATTATACATACATTATTTAGCTTATAACTCCACGGAGTTCTAGGGCTATGTATATATTTAGCTTAGGTTATTCAACCTTAAGCTCATACTGAGTTTTATGTTCAGTTGTACAGCTTCTCTATCAGAGTAGCTTATTATATCTATAATTTGGTATATCAGTCTATTAGTAATGTAATACCCCAGTTATGGTATATATAACCTATGGCTTATTATAAAGGAAATATCCTAAGTCAATGCCTTTATGAAGTTCCCGCAGGGGTTATTACAGTATAAGTTATTTAAATCACTAATTATTAATCCAAAGTATTCTGTTTATGCCCACCACCACTCCGGTGGATTCTACAAGCAAAAGAGCATGAGTCAGGATAAGGAAAAATATGTAATTTTTGAGTAAAATTGATATTTTATACTTATCCTGACTCATGAGGTTAGCCCCTCCCATCCTCCCCACATAACACTTTGGATTTCCCTGTAAATTCAAGTGTTGGGCTCACAAAATCAGGAGAGAGTGAAGCATGAGGCCAGAGGGTGGCGACACCTGTTCCCGCGCTTGCGGCAGGGGAGGCAACTCTTGGGTGAGTACCAATTAGTGATTTTACATTGAAGGGAGCTTCAATTAAGGAGATACAAGTGTTCCACTATGTTCGCAAGAGGAAGGGGACAAGCAAAAGAGCATGAGTCAGGATAAGTATAAAATATCAATTTTACTCAAAAAATTACATTTTATAGTAAAATTTTCAATATTGACAGGAAGAGGTTTCAATTTGCACAGTTTTATGTGAAAATGTGTTATTTTTACCATGATAAATGATTTGTGTCCAGTTCATTATGCTTTGAACTGTTACCTTTATTTCAGAATACTTGTAAATGTTTGGTAGTAGTGTCATGAGGGTTATGTTGTGTTTCAGAATAAATGTCTACGAGGATGAGATTCCAGCCGAGATGAGGGCGGAAGCAACAGACCGCAGACAGGAGATGATTGGTCAGTTGTAATACATGGAAATAGACTGCATTATGTGAATCGCCTCACATCACGCTTTCAATTAATGTGTTACCTCACCTGTACCACGTCACACGTTGAAGCTAGGGGTGAAACAGTATGCTCTTACAACGGTACGCAAGGCCTTCGGTTCGGTCCGTTTCGGTTCGGTATATGATAACTTACTTCCGGGCAAATAGCGGCCATCCAGGAGAGAATTTCGATTTCTAGACATTATAAAAAAAGTATAAAAAGGTTAATAAGATGACTGTACAAAAAACGAAAATACCGCTTTTTTTACTGCATTACGGTATACCGAACTGAAGGTAAAATACCGCGGTTCTACTAATACCGCGGTATACCGTTTCATCCCTAGTTGAAGCACTATGGCAGCAACTCTGGACTAGAGTGGGCATACATGCTTGACATCACCCTCTCCTGAAACTAGATCTTATGAAGCTCAAATTACTATGGTGTCGGTCAAACAATACCATACCTGTGCCCACACACCATGATGGTAATTGTCAAGGTCCTGCATCGCTTCAGACCATCTGGAGGCTGACACACAGTGATATGATCAAAATACTGATCAAAGCAGAATTTAAACAGTCACACGTAAATTTACATACATATGCACACGTGTCAGTTATAATCCATGGTCAGCGGTGGTGGGGTAGCCTAGTGGTTAAAACATTCACTCATCACACGGAAAACCTGTGTTTGATTCCCCACATTTCTGGTGATATTGCTGGAATAATGTTAATAGCGGCAAAAACATAAGCACACATGTCAGTTATAATGCATGGACAAAGTGGTCAACATCTGACTAGGACAGCCTTCTTGTACATTCAGATGACAGGCAGGGATATAGGCGATGATGTACTAAGTGTGGATAACACCAACTCACTCATCTCCTATCGCGTCATACCAAAAGACGTTAAAATATGGTACTTGTTGGTCCCTGCCTGGCTCTCGGCATTAATGGGTACAACAATGACTGGTCGGCTCGGAGTCAATATAATGTGTCTGAGTGGGGTATTCATGCTTCACTGCAGCATGGTATCTCAGTGGGCTAGCACTATAAAACCAGCTTCAGTCTGGGCTAGTACAAGCAGCCGCACATATACACGCATGCACATCGTCATATGAGCGAAATATTCTCCAGCGCGACGTTAAACCCAATTTCACCTCACCTCACCAACTCACTCACTCACACTTCTACTTCAGAACACATCGCTAACGTGGACGAGAATCTGGGTGAGATGTTTCTGCAGGAGAAGACACCGACAGAAATTGAGATACAGGTGAGACCAAGTCTCTAGGACTTAATGGCAGTTTAAGACTGCTAATTAAAGTGACCGATTCACGGCGTATGAATACAACAAACTCGTTGACCCTATTGTTTGTAAACAAACATGTCGGACATCGGCAATTTCTATCTCGGCAGAATCTTTGGTGTTTTGAAAGTAAAAAAGCGAATGGTTTGAAGAAGAATTTCTTGGCCCTAATCCCAGTGAAGAAACTACGAAGCTGGAAAATCCGTCAGCTGCGCAAAAGCGGCAGTATATTAAAGCCGGGTCCAGATCTATGTGTGTTGACATTGACAACACACGTCGGCCCTGACCCTGACACGTTCTAGCCTGACCGCTTCTGTCCCGGCCGTAATGCCCAGTCCTTCCACTTCCAGTGTCCATGTATCCCACATAAAACGTGGCATGTCAGGTCTTTTCCAAATTGGGAATACCGGTAGTAGGGTGGTTATCAACAATTATTTCCGTAAATAAAGTTAGCTGCGACTGAACTTAGCAAGTTCACGGCTTGAATTTTGGCCGAGTCGATTGTCATACAGTAGGGGAGATCAATAATTCGCTTGAGAAAAATCAAATAATTGTATTTGCTCACAGTATAAACCGTATTTTTTTTTATTTCTGTGTGTTACTTGTTACAAATACAAACATACTGGTTCCTGAAATAAAGCATTATATATGTTGTTGAAAATGTCTTACTTTGTTCATTACACAACAACAACAACAAGCAATTTCCCGGAAAAAGGCCCCTTCGCGCCTTGTGTTCTTGTGCGCCAAACAGTTCGGTTTTAAAACTCTGTTTTCAATTTGCGGTCCTTTATCGTTGATTTAAGACCGCTAAATGTTTAATTAAAAACCTCACGCTAACGCGTTAGACCGCAATATTGAAATCAGAGAAGCTTTATCTTCTAATTCTTCTTCAAACTGGTTAAAGTACCTCCTCATTGCTTTGTCAAACTGTCCCAGGGCAGAATAGGCTCCATGTCTCAAGGCTTTTCAATGGAGCTAATGACGATGGTGTAGTTACAATGTCTAATGGAGCTGATTTTGATCATCGTACCTGAAAGATGTGTGACATCACTTTCAGATCTGACCTGTGAAGGTCCGGGCTAGAATGAACCTTCAGTAACCCATGCTTGTCGTAAGAGGCGACTAACAGGATCGGGTGGTCAGACTCTCTGACTGGGTTGACACATGTCATCGGTTTAGTAATTGCGCAGATCGATGCTCATCTTGTTGATCACTGGATTGTCTGGTCCAGACTCGATTATTTACAGACTGCCGCCATATAGCTGGAATATTGCTGAGTACAGCGTAAAGCTAACCCCACTCACTCACTCACTCACACACTTTCAGATCTGGGTCTCCTTTCACAAAGCAACCTTTACTAAAGTTAACCTTAACTCCCATTCTTTAACATTGCATTAAGGTTACCTTAGTGAGTTACGATCACCTTAGTGACTTACATCACCTTAGTGATTTACGATCACCTTAGTGACTTACGATCACCTTAGTGCTTTGTGAAAGGAGGCCCTGGTGTATAGTGTCTGCCTTGAGAGAGAAGGGTCAGTGGTTCCATCCCTGGACATTCTGTACTCTAAGATGGTATTGCTTGTTAACCTGCCTGGTACTCGGCATTCAGGGGATAAACAGAAGACTGGTTATTTCTGAGTTAGTATCACGGAGGTATTTCGGTAGTATGGTATTTCATTTAGTTGTCACGATAAAACTGACGGTAGTCCAAGGCCCAGTTGCACAAAGCTATCTTGGCACTACGACTATCGTAAGTCTATGTGAGAGTATATGATCATCGTCCGGGTTCGATTGCCCACATGGGTTCAGTGTGTGAAGCTCATTTCTGGTGTCCCCCCATCATGATATTGCTGGAATATTGCTAAAAGCAGCGTAAAACCCAACTCACTCACTATGATCATCGTAACGCTAACATTACTTTGTGCAAGTGTACCTAGTAGTTCAGGGCCCAGTTGCATAAAGCAATCTTAGCGCGCTACAACTATCGTAAGTCTGTGAGAGTATGGGAGTTACGATCTTCGTAACTCTAAGATCGCTTTGTGTAAGTATACCCAGTGGAGCAAGCTAACAATAACTTGGGACCCCCGAAAGGGAGCATTTCCAAACTTGTTCCCTCAGGGGTCAAGCAGTCCGGTGATGTTCATGTATTCTATCCAAGAGTTCAAGAAATGATTGAACTTGACTGTATTCCAGGCAGCCATCAGGCGGACCTGCATCGCACGGACATTCACGCCAGTGCTGCTGGGCACGGCCTTGAAGAACAAGGGTGTGCAGCCTCTGTTGGATGCGGTCATACAGTATCTCCCCAATCCCTCCCAGGTTGACAACTACTGCCTCGACAACTCCAAGGGGTAAGCCTCACCACACACTGTTGTTTAATGTTTAGAAATGTATCTGCCTCAAAGTTTGACATGTACCACAAGGACCAACTCAGAGATAAAAACACGGAATTGTCTCATGAAGATCGTAATACTACTATTATGAAGCGTAGTGTCTGATGTTCACTGTCATTCATTCCATTAGTTTCTCATTTCTTGTTTCTTTCTTTCGGTGTTTTATTCCATTCCATCATGCGTTTCTGTCATGATGTTTTCTGTCAGTCCATGTTTTGTATCATTCTGTTTTCTGTCATTTGTTTTCTGTCAGTCCATGTGTTCTTTCCTTCTGTATTTTTCCATGTTTTCTATTGTTGTGGGGTGGTGGGGTAGCATAGTGGTTAAAGCGTTCGCTCTTCACGCTGAAGACCTGAGTTCAATTGCCCTCATGGGTACAATGCCTGAAGCCCCTTTCTGGTGTCCCTCACAGTGATATTGCAGGAATATTGCTAAAAGCAGCAGAAAACCTTACTCACTCACTCATTCTACTGTTCGTTGTTGTGTATCATTCCATGCATTTTGTTTATACAGGATAGAGAAAGCCGATAAGCTGCTGATGGACTCATCCAGAACATACAACAATCCCTTCATTGGACTCGCGTTTAAGCTTGAGGTAACACCACCTTCTCCTCCTGGTATCTCTTAGTTTCGGCCCACCTCCGTGGTGTAGTGGTTAGAGCGTCCGCCCAGAGAGCGGAAGGTCGCGGGTTCAATCCCCGACCGCGTCATACCAAAAGACGTTAAAATATGGTACTTGTTGGTCCCTGCCTGGCGCTCGGCATTTATGGGTACAACAAGGACTGGTCGGCTCGGAGTCAGTATAATGTGTCTGAGTGGGGTATTCATGCTTCACTGCACTATAAAACAAGCTTCAGTCTGGGCTAGTAGAAGCAGCCACACATACACATACACACGCATGCACGTCGTCATATGAGCGAAATATTCTCAAGCACGACGTTAAACCCAATTTCACCTCACCTCACCTCTTAGTTTCGTCCCGAGAGGTTGCACACTCAGCCCCCCAAAAGCTACTATTACAGGAGTGATGAGGAAGATGGTGATGTACGTGACTCCGAGTGTCACTTTACCAGATAGGATTTATTAATCATAAATACACCCATTCAGTCGTGTTTTCTAATTGCTAACTGTCTGAGACCTCACTCCTGCATTTCCTCCCAGATCTTGCTGTACACCTGGAAGAAGTATTGTTAAATCCAATTCAGTTCATTCAATTCACAAGTTTGACTGAGATTAGGTGGATCATGACAACGATTATCAATTAATTTGTACAATTATTTGTAGGCTGGCCGATTTGGTCAGTTGACGTACATCCGAGTCTACCAGGGCGGCATTAAGAAGGGGGACACCATTATCAACACACGGACACAGAAGAAGACCAAAGTGTCACGGCTTGTCCGCATGAATGCAGATGAGATGGAGGTAGGTTATGTGGGCCAGAGATTCACTATTAAAATAAAACCCTGTTTAGATCCTAACAGGCCCCATTCTGGACTTAATCAGCTGTTAGAGTAAAAGTGAATTTTCCAATTCAATAAATAGGAATACTGTCAAAAACTTCTTTTTTCATTTCACAATGTGACAGTGTTATACCTTTGAGGTACTTTTGCGTACTTTCTGAAAATCTGAGAAAGCAGAGGGACATTTATAATGTTCTTGGCCACTAGCTATGCATAATATAAAGGATGTGAAGTGTACAGCAAAGTTATTTATTTTTCCTCATCCTGACTCTTGAGCTAGGCTCAGGTCATGTGGGACCATTTTGGTGGGAATAAGGGAGGTAATTCAGGGTGAGTGATTGTACGATTGCTTCAGTGAATTGATTAGGATTCAATGTTTCCACTCAACCGTCAAAGGAAAAGGCAGATAAGCAATAAACATGAGTCAGGATAAGTATAAAAATAATAATTTTATCCTAAAATTTACATTTGGAAAATATAAATTTATGTATTATTTTACCTGCAGCAATTTATGCAAACTTTGTATTTTCCATTTTGATGTATACTCAACCCTAGTTTTCTGATTTTACTCAAGAATTCAAAAGTACTTGATATTTAAGTTCTTTGTACTTTGGCTTATTACCCCCGTCGCGCGTTTAGTGTAGTATTATGCTCCGTCCATCCGTACATACGTACGAATTGGAATATCTTAAGATCCGTTGACTAGATTCTTTCATATTGGGTACCTAGGTTCATCACAGTATAACAAAGGTCCCAGTCAGGTTTGGTGACCTTGACCTTAATTTCAAGCTCACAAGGGGACTTTAAAGTTTTACCTTTGTCAGCGAGATATCTCAAGAACCGTTCTCTAGATTTTCTTCATATTCAACGCCAAGCTTTATCTAGGGAAGGTGCAGGGCCCAGTCTATTTAGGTGACCTTCACATAATGTTCAAGATCGTGGTGACACTTTGAAGATTTCAGCATATTAACCTGCATGTTATGCTTGTCAGCGAGATACTGTAATAGTAGTTATTTTCGCATGGGATTAATTTTCGCTCTTTTAGCACAAAAGGATTGTGCGCCAATAATCATACCAAGCAAAATATTAACGGTGAAGTCATGACAAATACTCAAGTAGGAACAACATGCATTTGTTTCTTCTCTCAGATAACAACATCAAAGCAATTATTCCCAATCCATGTTAATTACGTGATCAAACAATGTCAAGATGTCCACAGATGTTCGCCTACCGGTAATTCCCCAACACAATGTACTTACTTCACAGCAATCACTAACATATTGCATCTACTCGCGTCTCGACATGAAGTGTAGTTGACAGTAAATGGATACACATCATACATAGTTTGTTTCACCAGAAGTCATAATTAGTGTAGCTGGACGATCACATGTCAACAAACTGATTTCGCAGTGGAAATAGCAGGATCGCGAGAAACCTCATCGGTGACAGGTTAAATTGTTCCATGCATAAAAACTATCTGTCAATACACCAAAAGCTGTCGCATAACCTTAGTTATGATTATAAATATTTTACATTTATAGAGCACAACCTGCAATGAAAATGACTCAATACTACAATATATTTCTTTTTATAAAACATTAGCTTCAAATACTATCTTTTTAAGATCACTGCATCAGAATTCATCTCGGAATATTATCGGGTACATTTTAACTAAATCACAGGTAGGGGAACGTGTGCACTGCACAGCTGATTGCTATTTGCGCTGTATACAAGACAATTACACATGGTAATTTTAATTCCTGCATATAAGACAATGCCTAGCGAAAACAAATTAGAACTGAATAGGTAAATAATCTTTTATAAATAGCGATGTTCAATTGCAAATTTGACGTCTTTGGTCTTCTTTTGTATGTTCGTTCACGCGAAGTGATACGACTTCAGTCACAAATCACAATGTTGACACAAGTACAGTATAATCCCACCTCTCTCTGATTGTTTTGGTAAGCATGATTCAATTATGGCAGCTAGCTTTGATCATTGCATGTCTATCGGTTGTGAAAACTTTGTGATGGATACCATCACTCAGGTGTTTGAAATGCGCGAAAAAAAGCAGCTGCGCTAACAGGCCTTTTGTGAACTCTCCGCGAAAATTGCACCCGTGAAAATATATACGAATACAGTACCTCAAGAACCATTCACTGGATTTCTTCATATTTGACGCCAAGCTTCATCCAGGGAAGGCGCAGGGCCCAGTCGATTTTGGTGACCTTAACATAATTTTCAAGGTCATGGTGACACTTTGAAGAATTCAGCATATTAACCTGCATGTTCTGCTTGTCAGCGAGATACTGTAATAGTAGTTATTTTCAAGGTCACGCGACACCTGGATGATTTAAGTACGTTAACCTGCATTTTAAGATGGTCAGCGAGATACCTCAAGAACCATTCACTGGACTTTCTTCATATTTGACACCAAGCTTCATCTAGGGAAAGTGCAAGGCCAAGTTGATTTTGGTGACCTTCACTTAATTTTCAAGGTCACAAAGACACTTTGAAGATTTCAGCAAGTTAAATTGCATGTTAACATAGTCAGCAAGATATCGCAAAAAACATTCCCTGGATTTTTTTCAAGTTTGACACCAAGCTTCATCTAATAAAGGCACAGGGCCCAGTCAATTTTGGTGACCTTCACATTATTTTCAAGGTCACTGCGACACTTTGAAGATTTCAACATGTTAACCTGAATTCACTCGATTTTCTTCATAGACTTTCAAGACTTCTCTTGAATCTTATTCAATAACCAATTTCTTTAGTACCACTTTTGCATATTTCATACACTATGACATTCATGTCAAGGTCAAAGTCAGTCTTGAAAATATTTGTGTGTTTGAACAACTAAAGAGCAAGATATCAAGAGAGGTTGACTGGTCATGTTTTTGTTGACATTTAACTTCATCTTAAACTTTCATTACTATTTGAGTTTGATTTGATCATTTGCGGAGGGGGATTATGTCACCTTAGTGACAATGCTTGTTCTTCCATGCATTTATTGATGAACTGACATAATTTTCCTTCAGGATATATCAGAAGCTTACTCTGGAGACATCTGTGCCTTGTTTGGTATTGACTGCGCCAGCGGTGATACCTTTGTAACCAAGGGCAACACACATCTGTCTATGGTGAGTATTGTTTGGTTTCAGAGGCCTAATGTATTTCTAATCCAGGTTGTCATACAAGGCAACTAATGGGATCAGGTGGTCAGGCTCACTTTCTTGGTTAACATGTCATCGATCCCAACTGCATAGATTGATGCTTATGCTGTTGATCACTGGATTGTCTGGTCCAGACTTGATTATTTACAGACCACCGCCATATAGCTGGAATATTGCTGAGTGCGGTGTTAAACAAAAACAAATAAATCTAGTTCAGGTTTTTAATCAGTGGAGTGGATGTCACTATTTAAAATGTCAGAGAATAGATACATATTTATTTAATAGCCAAGTCTGTGATGTGTAATGGTAGTTGCGGTAAATTGGGATGACATCTGGATTTGCTACATTTTTCATGTTGATACTGTATTTAGTTGTATCAATGTTACATTAATCATTAATGAACACGCATTTGATTACATGTTTTAAGATTACCATGGTTAAGATCAACAATAAAAATTATTCAATTCCAGATTAATTATTAATCTGTATATCAGTATATTATGGTGTCTTTTAGTGTGCATATATTTACAATCAGTGACCCCTTCAGTTAAACTGTCCTTTGTTGACAGTTTTTTTTTAATCTATCTTTACTTATTGTTAATCCATAACCTGTTTTAGTCACAATATGGCTGAAATATTGCCAAAGTGACTTTAAATTTTAACTCACACACTCACTCCCTTCAGTTAATGTAATATTGGGATCCTAGGCCATGTTTGTAGTCCCAATATTCACTGCCTGTTGTCTGACTCCAGGAGTACATGTCTATAACTCCAATATTCACTGCCTGTTGTCTGACTCCAGGAGTTTGTGTCTATAACTCCAATATTCACTGCCTGTTGTCTGACTCCAGGAGTCCATGTCTATAACTCCAATATTCACTGCCTGTTGTTTGACTCCAGGAGTCCATGTCTATAACTCCAATATTCACTGCCTGTTGTTTGACTCCAGGAGTCCATGTCTATAACTCCAATATTCACGGCCTGTTGTTTGACTCCAGGAGTTTGTGTCTATAACTCCAATATTCACTGCCTGTTGTTTGACTCCAGGAGTTTGTGTCTATAACTCCAATATTCACTGCCTGTTGTCTGACTCCAGGAGTCCATGTCTATAACTCCAGTATTCACTGCCTGTTGTTTGACTCCAGGAGTCCATGTCTATAACTCCAATATTCACCTCAGTCCATGTGTCTATAACTCCAATATTCACTGCCTGTTGTTTGACTCCAGGAGCCCATGTCTATAACTCCAATATTCACAGCCTGTTGTTTGACTCCAGGAGTTTGTGTCTATAACTCCAATATTCACTGCCTGTTGTTTGACTCCAGGAGTCCATGTCTATAACTCCAATATTCCAACTCCATTCAACTCCAATATTCACTGCCTGTTGTCTGACTCCAGGAGTCCATGTCTATAACTCCAGTATTCACTGCCTGTTGTTTGACTCCAGGAGTCCATGTCTATAACTCCAATATTCACGGCCTGTTGTTTGACTCCAGGAGTCGATGTTTGTTGCGGAACCCGTCATCTCCATGTCCATCAAGCCCCTCAAGCAGCAGGATGTGGACAACTTCTCTAAAGGTATCGCACGCTTCACGAAGGAAGACCCCACCTTCCGGGTACAGTGGGACAACGACATCAAGGAGACCATCGCCTCAGGCATGGGGGAGCTACACCTGGATGTCTATGCTCAGGTGAGGAACATATCCAGATGTTTATGCTCATATGAGAGCTATGTAAAATGTCTATGCTCATGTAAGATAGCGATGGATTGGAGTCTATGCTCATGTGAGACAACTATATGTATGTGTCTATGTTCAGGTGATGACTGTGTATAGGTGTCTATGCTCAGGTGTCTATGCTCAGATATGTGTAGGTGTCTGTATACTCAGGTGTGTATGCTCAGGTGTGATTACTCGTGTGTGCTCAGGTGTGTATGCTCAGTTGTATATATACTCAGGTGTGTAAACTGAGGTGTGTATGCTCAGGTGTGTTGACTCAGGTGTGTATGCCCAGGTGTGTAGACTGAGATGTGTAGACTGATGTGTGTAGACTCAAGTGTGTAGACTCAGATGTGTATGCCCAGGTGTGTAGACTGAGGTGTGTAGACTCAAGTGTGTAGACCCAGGTGCGTGTACTCGGGTGTGTATACTCAGGTGTGTATGCTCAGGTGTGTATACTCAGATGTGTATGCCCAGGTGTGTATGCCCAGGTGTGTAGACCCAGGTGTGTATGCCCAGGTGTGTAGACTCAGGTGTGTAGACTCAGGTGTGTGTACTCAGGTGTGTAGACCCAGGTGTGTAGACCCAGGTGTGTATACTCAGGTGTGTAGGCTCAGATGTGTATGCCCAGGTGTGTAGACTCAGGTGTGTATGCTCAGGTGTGTATGCTCAGGTGTGTATTCTCAGGTGTGTAAACTCAATTGTGTAGACTCAAGTGTGTATGCCCAGGTGTTTGTTTTACTTCAGAGACTGGAGAGAGAATACAATGCCAAGTGTCAGCTGGGGAAGCCTAAAGTGGCATTCAGGGAATCATTGATAGGGGAAGTGGAGTAAGTATTTGCTGAATCATCTGTTTGTTTGATAACTGACACAACGCTAAGAAATACTTCACCTCTATGACATTGACCTTAACATAATCAAGTCTGACCAAACAGTCCTTTCTTTGATGTTGTAAGTAATGATCCACTCCATGTCATCAACCAAGTCCCTGAGTCAGACCACCCAGTTCTGTTGATCTCCTCTCATGGCCAGCAGACATTACTGTGGACTACCAATGTCATCCAAGTCAGCGAGCCTGACCACCCTATTCACTGGCTTGTCTGTAGGGGTAGCCTAGTGTATAAAGCGTTCGCTCGTCACACCGAAGACCCTGGTTCGATTCACCACATGGGTACAATGTGTAAAGCCCGTTTCACTCACTCACTCACCCACTCACTCACTCACTCACTCACCCACTCACCCACTCACCCACTCACCCACTCACCCACTCAAATGGCCAACATGGGTTGCAGAAGATCAATAGTTTGTCAACTCGAACGACATAGGTTTATGGGTACCCATTCTTATATAGAATCTGTAGTCTGCAACCAGACATTATCCACAACCGTCACTTCCAGGGTGGTAGTTTGGTTGGTGGTGTGTCATACCTTAAAGTAACAGATTGTACTTGTGCCTGCTATATTTTGACCAAGTCCTGTGAGTTTCTGTTTTCCGTAGTTGTTGATCAGACAGACAAACTTGCAGGCATTTGTACCTAATAAATAGTACCTAACACCTGCTTTTTTGTTTGTTTTCAGTTTTGACTACTTTCATCGGAAGCAAACTGGAGGTCAAGGTCAATATGGTCGGGTCATAGGTCTCATGGAGGTCAGTGGATTTTAAGTTTCACTAGTGCTGACAATTTGATGGATCAATTAATGTCAATGTCTGTGAACCTCTTCTTTGGTCAGGTAGATAGATTGTCTGCCAGGAGAGCAACAGGTCCATTATTCAATCCCCAGCCATGTAATACCAAAATACTTTGAAAGATGGTTCATCTTGTTACCCTGCCTGGTGTTTAGGTTTCCATAAACTGTGTATGACTGGGGAATCCGTCATAAAACTGAGGCGTGTATGAGGTGAGGTGAGGTGAAATTGGGTTTAACGTCGTGCTTGAGAATATTTCGCTCATATGATGACGTGCATGTGTGTGCCACAGTGAAGCATGAATATCCCACTCAGACACATTATACTGACTCCGAGCCGACTAGTCCTTGTTGTACCCATTAATGCCGAGCGCCAGGCAGGGACCAACAAGTACCATATTTTAACGCCTTTTGGTATGACGCGGTCGGGGATCGAACCCGCGACCTTCCGCTCTCCGGGCGGACGCTCAAACCACTACACCACAGAGGCGGTCAAGGCGTGTATGAGTGTGAGCTAGTAGTGTATAGCTTTATTTTACGAAGATCTATACATTAAAAAACTTTTGATTGGTTAATAGCCAGTGTACATGAAATGAAACCATATTAAAAAAGTTTCACGAATCTCACCCTGACAGATTGCGGCCTTTGACATTGAGATCCAACTCAGATGGATATATCAACTATTAATGTCAACATTATTGGGAATATGATGTGATTTATCTATAAAGTAGAAACAGATATATCCTTAACATTGATATTATTTGGATTAATAACTCCCCCTCAAAACAAAATTTTTAAGCTTACAAGAGTTATGTTACTTTGAATGTTATTCGATAATGTTCGTTATGACAACAATAGTGGTGAGGCGTTTCGCGTCCCATACCGTGGCAGAAAGAAAAAAGTTCCGGAAAACACGGAAAGCACTTTTTAATTCTAACGGGTAATGAATTCGTTAGGCAGCCATTTCATATGGGATGGCACAGCCCATTGCCTCAGGAAATCAATACACAATGCCAATTAGAAAGTGGTCAAATGTAACACAGGTTTTATTTGGGATTACACTTTCGCTGAGAGTGTGGGTTCTATTCCGCATGGGACTCCACCCAACAAAAGTACTAGAATCTGTCCTTTACTGAGAAACTTGGGCAGTTTGAGACATTCCAACCTTTGTCCTTCAGCCTCTCCCCCCAGAAGAAAACACCAAGGTAGAGTTTGACGATGAGACAACAGGGACCAATATACCCAAGCAATATATTCCTGCCATTGAAAAGGTAAGCATAATTCTTCGTATTTATTAAAGAGAATATATATACAGTAAATTTTGGTTGTAACGAACAGAAAGGAACCATTAATTTCAGTTCGATCTAACCATAGTTCGATGTTTGACAAAAAATATACAGAAAGTGGTCGGGCAAAAAACAGTTGTTATGTCCATCAATTTGTTCATTATAAACATGGCTTGCTGTACTCAGGCATATCCAGTAGGGCTGCGCAATATAACCGGTTTACCGGTATTTACCTGTTCAGACATGAAAACGATACGTATTGCGATGTGCTGATCGAAAACGGGTATTTTGACTTGCATTCGGAAAACTTCGTAACACTCGGAAATCTTCGGATATTTCCTTTTTTCATTTGTGCCAAATATTATTCACATTTTTATTTTTAATCATGAATAAAAGTTGTTATTAAAGCTTAATCAAGCCTAGTGATTTTGCTGTGTATTTCCTCAATAAATCAAGCATTACCTCGATTATAAGTAGTTTTTTGTGTAAAAATACTTCACGCAATATATTGCAATACATATCGCAATACATGCTTTCGCATGGAATATATCGCAATATGAAAATTCTCTGCAATGCCCACCCCCTAATATCCAGGACATTATTTTGATGATTTTTCCAAAAATATTTGTCATTGAGTGAAATGAAACATTGTGAAACAAACAAACTGAAACACTCTCACTATATATGCTGAACAACATTAGAAACGCACCACCCATAATACGTAATATCCCTGTCAGACTGAAATGTACCCATGATATCTGAGCATCGTCAGTGCATTTTAGTGTTGTGCGTTTCTAATGATGTTCAGTATATATGATAGTCTTACTGTTTGCTGCAGGGTTTCCGAAAGGCATGTGAGAAGGGTGGACTGTCAGGGCATAAAGTGGCTGGTGTCCGCTTCAGACTCAAAGATGGTAAGCATTTGATGTCTGTTTGTGTCAGCCTTTCTACGTGTTACGTGGTGGAGTAGCCAAGTCTTGTCTGAAGAGAGCTGTCTCTTGTCTGAAGACCAGGATTTGATTTTCCTCATGGGTACAATGTGTGATGTCCATTTTCGTGTGTTCCAGCTGAGATATTGTTGGGTCACTCACTCACTCACTCACTCACTCACTCACTCACTCACTCACTCACTCACTCACTCACTCACTCACTCACTCACTCACTCACTCACTCACTCACTCACTCTGCCTCCGTGGTGTAGTGGTTAGAGCGTGCAGCATGGTATCTCAGTGGGCTAGCACTATAAAACCAGCTTAAGTCTGGGCTAGTACAAGCAGCCGCACATACACATACACATACACACGCATGCACGTCGTCATATGAGCGAAATATTCTCAAGCACGACATTAATCCCAATTCCACCACCACCACTCACTCCACCATATAGCTGGAATATTGCTGAGTGCGGCATAAAACTAAAAACTAAACTCACTCACTCACTCAACCACCACCCACCACCACTCACTCCTTACTCCAGCCATACAGCTGGAATATTGCTGAGTCCGGCGTAAAACTAAAAACAAAACTCACTCACTCACTCACTCAGGCCTGTAAATACTTGGCTCAGAATCAAGTGGAACAACAATACCATGACATCAAGAATCATCATCATAATGAATAATAAGTTTCTAGATTTGTCCGCACTGGAACTGTGCTCCTTGGTTTCACATGGGAGTTAACTCCAACATAACTTCCGGCATTTCTCCAACATCAAGCTGACATACCATAAACTTTACTGACACTCACTCACTATTGCTTGGTGACCCTATTTCTGCATGAAGGGATGTAAGTGATCCTCCTCACCCAGTAAACAATGCTGTATGATGCCCTATGTTACAGGTGCCCACCATGCTGTAGATTCCAGTGAACTTGCTTTTACGACAGCAGCTGAAATGGCTGTGAAACAGGGTGAGTATAATACAAATTGCACAATGAAAAAACCAGGGGAAATATTTTGTACTGTGTGTTGTTGTCCCAAGCTGCAACGCGGAACGGGAGACATTGTATTCAGCAGCGTCTGTACGTCCTGATTCTTGTTAACGCGAAATCTCATGAAATGTTGTATTCAGTGTCTTCAAATTTGGTGACAGCCTCCATTGGGAATTACACAGACACCAGTCGATTTGGGTGACCTTGACCTTATTTTCAAGGTCACCATGATACTTTGACCACTTTTTAAACTCTTGTTAATGTGATATCTCATGCACTATTGCACCCATTGTCTTCAAATTTGATGACAGCCTACATTGGGGGGTTATGCAGACACAAGTGAACTTGGGTGACCTTGACTTTATCTTCAAGGTCACCATGAGACTTTGACCACTTTTCAAACTTATGTAAACGCGATATCTCATAAAACGTTTCACGCAATTTTAGCCTCTGAGCTGAAGAATATCTTGCCTTTTCTTACGGATTTGATGTCAGGAATGAACATAACAGGTATCAGTGTAGGGTAGGGTAATATGGGGTGGGGTACCTGGCTAGAAAATTTGGACCCGTCCCAGCCCCAATACACACTGAAACTGACAGTGGATATGTGCATCTGAATTTACACATTCAAATCTACTATATTCCTGAAATATCTTTAGAGTTAAGAGAAGATTCTGAGAAGTGACCATGACTAAAAACTACATCACACAAAGGTATCTTCTTTGTGACCAACGGATAAAAACTAGTAAATATGTTATGTTTCATTCTTTTTTAGCGTGGGGGACATTGCCATCCTCGTTAGGATAAGAAAGCCACAATAACTTGGTGCGCCTAGTGGCTGCAAGAGTTGTATACTCCCCAGGGAGTTGAGATTGATAATGCGATGTGCCGTTGAGATTGACATCCAATGATCGAGGGAAAAAATACCAGCGCCTTGAGCATGCACTAGTGCGTGGATATGTGCGCTATATAAATATCCTATAATAATAATAATAATAAAAAATAATAATGTCAGTGGCAAACACTTGTTTATATTGACAGCATACTCCACTTGATGAAATCTGTACCAGACAATCCAGTGATTTGTTTTTGTGAGCCTTGATCCATACTGCCTCGATTCAAACACCATCTCTGAGTCTGGCAGCCAAATCCATGAAATTTTGTTTTTGCTGGGTACTAATTCTAACCTGGAATAAAAATAAAAACTTGACATTTGGTATTTTCATCAATGGGAAGAATTATTGACAATTATCAATATGAATAGTGTGTCATCATTCTTACTTCCATAAGCTGTTGCGATGAAATAAAGTTTAAAATTTTTTACTCAGATGGTTCACACTTGGTCTTTATTCATGGTCTGCTTCTAAATTATGTTCAGGATGCTGTTTTATAAGTAATCCTAGCCTAAACATGTCACCACTCACCAGTCAGGGCTCGACTAAAGAGATGTTATCTTACTTGCACTGGGTGCAAGCCAAGATAAAAACCTACTTGCACCAGCCCAATTCCAGTTGCACTGCTTTTATTGGAATATGTAATGAAAGAAATATGCTATTGAATTATTTCGATGTTTTATTCAGAGGATTACCCACTCCAAAATTGACTTGCACCTGGTGCAAGTTAAACTAATAACAAGGTTGCCCTTTGTAATATTAGGTTGCACCAGTGCAAGTAACAAAGCACTAAATCGAGCCCTGCCAGTGATGCGAAATATGTTGATTTCCTTCAGATTTTTTGTTTATATTTGCTCAAACCTATACTCCGATACTTGTCGATAATTGATCAATCTTCAGTTAACGATTATTGATCTCTACAATCTATATCGATAGCCAGCCCTACAGGTTTAAAGCTAACACATGATGCATTAAACCCTATATACCCACACTGATACTGCACACTGCAACTTCTGATATGAAAGGTTAGAGCGTCCGCCCGGAGAGCGGAAGGTCGCGGGTTCGATCCCCCGACCGCGTCATACCAAAAAGACGTTAAAATATGGTACTTGTTGGTCCCTGCCTGGCGCTCAGCATTAATGGGTACAACAAGGACTGGTCGACTCGGAGTCAGTATAATGTGTCTGAGTGGGATATTCGTGCTTCACTGCGGCATAGTATCTCAGTGGGCTAGCACTATAAAACCAGCTTCAGTCTGGGCTAGTACAAGCAGCCGCACATACACACGCATGCACGTCGTCATACGAGCGAAATATTCTCCAGCGCGACGTTAAACCCAATTTCACCTCACCTCACCTCTGATAGTAAAGTATGTGAAGATTGAGCCAGGTGAAACTGTTCAGTGTTGATGCCTCTTCCAGTGTTTGCCGACGGGAACTGGACTATTCTGGAGCCAGTCATGATGGTGGAGGTGAACGCACCCCGGGGAGTTCCAGGGTTCAGTCATGGCGGCCCTCAGCAAGCGCCACGCCCTCATCACGGGGACTGATGCTATAGAGGGGTACTTTACGCTGTATTGTGAGGTAAGGGTGAACTTTCAGTTGTCATGGTGACTGGGACAAAATGGAGACTCAGGGGTCTAAGAGTCATCAGATAGTGTTCAGAGTTGATTCCCACAGTCCACCTGGGAGCCAGGATGATATCGGTTTGTCTTGACCTCATATTTGTGGGTTTCTCCGAAGTTGAAAGCATCTAGTCCCTCAACTCGTGAACATCCAGTTGTAGTCACAATAAGAGCTGTGATTTGCTGTACAGAGTCGTAATCACTTGCCATGCCAGAAACCAATGATCATGTTGTTTCTTTAACGCTTCAGTCTGCAATATTACAGCTAATTGACTGTTGTCTGTTAATGAGGACATCAGGACTGGATAATCCATTGACAAGAGAAACATTCTAGGAAATTACATGCATCAAGTTAGAGGCTTTCAAGCAAGTTGTTGTGGTAAAACAGCTCTGAATATTTCCCAGCCTGTAGCATGATGGAGTTTGGTGGGAGTGTGTTTGTGCATGTCGGGATCCCGTTAAATACCTCCTATACAAACATAAGTTACTGAAGACCTATGGGCTCAAGTTCTACATTTTCCCTGATTCCAAGTTTGCGAACACTATTCTTTGGTTTCTCTGAAAACCAAAATCATGTCAAGCTTTCTTGAATATTAAGCTGACACACTGTGACAAAACTGTACAGTTCAAATCCACATTAGCCTAAGCTCACTTGCTCACTCACCAGAGGTTGAATTTTTAAACTTATCCTATCTCACGGTATGCACCTCTCTTCTTCTTCTCCGACCATGTGTGGAAACGTGCTATAGGCTAAGTTGAATCAAAAGTTATCTGGCCTCTGACCCCGATAGGACTCCAAGAGCAGTATATAAATATACAATTTATAGTAAAATTTTCAATTTTGCTATATGTAGGCACTTGTCAAATCCACTTGTCAAATTTCTGTTCAGAGAGTTCTGTAGACAGTTTCATCTTCCAGGTTCCTCTGAATGAAATGTTCGGGTATGCAACAGAACTGAGGTCGTTGACCCAGGGCAAGGGGGAGTTCACCATGGAGTACAGCCGCTACTGCCCCGCCCTCCCCGAGACCCAGGAGGAGCTGGTGCTGGAGTACGAGCAGGCGCAAGGGGGACATGGGGACAAGAAGAAGAAGCGGAACTGATGACGTGGATCTAGGAAATGTATATATGTGTGTGTGTGTGTGTGTGGTATGATAGGACAGACTGAGATGAGGGGCGGTGGGGTAGCCTAGTGGTTAAAGCGTTGGCTGGTCACGCCGAAGACCCGGGTTCGAATCCCCACATGGGTACAATGAGTGAAGCCCTTTTCTGGTGTCCTCCGCCGTGATATTGCTGGAATATTGCTAAAAGCGGCGTAAAACCAAACTCAGTCAGTCAGTCAGACTGAGATGACAGACTTTGGTTGGCCAGTCCAGGTGTGTGTTGGCTCTAGAGTAGGCATGGTTCACAGACTTGTAGCTGGTCTGTTTAGAACTTACTGAGACGGATTCGTTGTTGACTTTGAACGGTTCTCCTTTTACCCAGCTTTACTAGTGACCACTGAAGGAGCATGTTTAATCTGGATATACTGGAGACTTCAAGGAGCACAAATTATGCAACTGTATTGGTGACTTCAGTATAGGGCACCTGTTATGAAGGTATACTGTAAACATATCGAACAGACACTTGTTACGAAGGCAAACTGGAAGGTCATTGAAGGGGCACCTGTTGCACTACTATATTGTTTCATGCGGAGAACTGTTGATATGTAAACAGGGTGGAAAAAGGGGATGTCGTGTCAGGCAGTTGCAGATGAGTCCTTCCAAATGTGATCAATACATCAAGTGTGAAGTGTTTTATGTACCTGGACAATGAAATGGGATGTGGACAAGGACAGCAGTCAGTCTGGGAACTTGCCTCCATGTTGGTTTGCACATGATATATAACTGGTGTGAGCATACATATTGCTCATAGACTGGACTCTCTCATTTGCTGTTGTCAAGATTGATTGGGTATATTTGATTTAAACAACACACACTGGCCTAGTTTTTGGACAGAAGCACACCAAGCTGAAATTTCTTCTTTCAAAATAAATTTGTGTGTCATTCTCCATGAGGGATGGATGTACATCACTGACAATCATTATTGCTGCAGTGGAAACAGGTGGTTCTGTTCTCAGTCACTTCATTTCACTGAGTGGAGTTGCTTCCCTTGGAAATGCCAGATGTCAATGAACAGGGGTTCGAATCCACTTTTACCACAATGTATAATGCCCCATACCCATACTCACAAGTTTCGCTGAGGTGTTAAACGTCTGAGACCTGCATAATCTAGGACCTCCCGTCCACATTAACGTGACATGCCATAATATGATTGCAATACTGCTGAGTTTTTCGAGGTACCGTGCAGCACATAGTACCACACAGTAACAGGCTAAGACCATGAGTATGTATGTTTGTGTATTTGTGTTTAGATCCACTCGTCACATCCTTAGTCATTGTATACCATATTTCAGAAGACTGTTGACATGATGCAGATTAAGAATCTTAGACCAGTCCTGTAATACTTTGTTCCTGTTGTCTGACCATGTAAAGGCCGAAAGCATCAACTCACCAGGAAAACAACATAATATGATAGTAGTCACTTGGAGTGTCTTTCATTTCTAAAACATAGCTCGTCACGCCGAAGAACCGGGTTCGAATCCCCACATGGGTACAATGTGTGAAGCCCATTTCTGGTGTTCCCCCGCCGTGATGTAGCTGGAATATTGCTAAAAGCGGCGTAAAACCAAACTCAGTCAGTCAGTTTAAAACATAACTTTAACAAGACTGAACAGCTAAATATTTGCTTAACATTAGTGAATAGTTGCTATGAGAGCAGCATATCATGGAGGGGCTTGTAGTTCGCTATTCAGTATGTTCCTTTAGGTAGGCCCATACTGTAACTTAAGTTGTATGCCTCTTTCGAGGGTAATACGGTCTGATGTATGCCTCTTTGTAGCAGTGTCACCTGAGCCGGCAAGCGAGTAACATATTTTCCAGTTGTCACCCTCCTGGAGGGGTGACACAGAAACTTGTTAAAGCGTCATCGACCAATGAAATTAAAGTATTTTACATGAAGGGAAGATAATATAATCACAGAACCCATGAAATGTTTTACTTTTGACATCAGACTTTCATACAAGATTTTGAATACTGAAAACAAGGTTAAGTTCAAGATGGTTTACATTTAAATATGCATGAATGTAAACATCAGCTTTCTCACTCCAGTAAGACCACAATCCTACAATCACATCATCATCCTGGACATTCATGGAATCAAGTCTTTGTTTTGCATTTACATGTTTAGGAATATGAGGGGTGGTGGGGTAGCCTAGTGGTTAAAGCTTTGGCTTGTCACGCCGAACACCCGGGTTCGAATCCCCACATGGGTACAATGTGTGAAACCCATTTCTGGTGTTCCCCAGCCGTGATGTAGCTGGAATATTGCTAAAAGCAGCGTAAAACCAAACTCAGTCAGTCAGTCAGTTTAGAAATATGAAACCATGGACACTGTGGTTCCTATGAAGTTTTTGATGAAATGATTCATGTCTTACTTCATGACAATGTCTTCATCACCATCCTGACATGTTATCACAGTGCTATTGGTTGTTTGTAAATATTACAAATCATGTATGATAAAATATTTATAACTGTGAACAGATTTTTACTGAAATAAAATAATTGTGTATATCGTGAAAATAATATTTTTTGTGATTATTCTGTAAGTGCGTGTTCATTGCAGCACTGATATACATGACCCGTGAAGATCCGAGTCAGAATTGGTCTCCAGCAACCCAGGCTTGTCATAAGGCGACTAATGGGATCGGTTGGTCAGGCTCGCTGATTTGATTGACACGTGTCATCGTATCCCAAGTGCGATCAATGCTCATGCTGTTGATCACTGGATTGTCTGGTCCAGAATCGATTATTTACAGGCTGCTGCCATATAGCTGGAATATTGCTGAGTGCAGCGCTAAACAATTAACCAACCAACCAATCATTGCTGACTTTGGAACATTGTATCAATATGAGGGCAGTCTGTAAATATTCGTGTCTGGAGACAGACATTCCAATGATTGGTTAGTATCTAACAATCCATGGGTAAAAAGACAATCATTTAAGTCGCTGGCTTTAAAACATTTTCTTATAGTAAATATACATATGATAAAAAGGCAATGCCGAAGAATTCAATTATTTATTGCATTAAAACCTGTCCATAGCTTACAGTGCAAAACAGACACATGAAAACAATGTCCAACATCCCAACAGTATACCCCTAGAAATACGACAACTTGCTTTTCTAACAATGAGTATGAACCAGAACAGGTGATTTCACTGGAAACAGTACTGTGCAAATAACCATGTTTCTCAATGTTACATTGAAAAAATAACATCATTTGTGTGGAAAAGTTATTTCCTTTTTATTCATAAACTGAATGGAAAGAGCTGATTGTCTAGTACTAGTGAGATTATCATATATTGGTAAAAACAGACCAGTCATTTATTATAGGTTGGATGCATTAGTGTGAATGCTGACCCTCTCCGATTGGTTGTGCTATATTTTTATGACCTTCCCCATGTCCTTGAAAAGACTAAATACAAAAGCACTTTTATTGTCAGATTATGTGTTTTTGGACAGCAATGTTTTTCTCGCTATAACGAGACAAATACTCAAATGATGACGTGTTTAAGATAAAGTTGTCTTCAATAAGTTATTGACGAGTTTTACAATTGGTACAATTACGATAATCATGAAAATAATAGCTTCTCTCAAGCTCATGAAAACCCATATCACAAGGAGAGTATGAATATTTTCATGACCCTCTGATCCACCCACCCCTACAATAATGGACTGGGCCCTTATAACAATCAGTAAACATTTAAATTGATCATACGGCAAACGTAGAGAGAAGATTGCTGCATGGTTAATACATCACCCCGTCACACAATCCACCACCCCGTCACACAATCCACCACATGCAAGAGGACCAGGCGGAAATCCAGAATAGATACAGGCCCTAATGAAAATTCAATCCACATGTAAGTTCATGGAGCTGACAAATGAACCATAAAGATGGCAAACCCATCATCAGATTCTGGCACAACTAAGGGAGGCAAATCTTGCAGCTTTGTCTGACTGAGCCAGCCACACTCCTGCATGTGATACAGATATAGATGCATTCCTATCATCATAGTGAGTCAGTGAGACACATTAGCACTCTTATCCCAGCTGGATCAAGGCGGGGAACACCAATACCTTACTTCTCACACAGTAAACTGACGTGGGATAATCTGCCATACATACAGTACAATTTGGTAGGCTAGAAATGTTCCAATGACAAAACAATACTAAATGGTAACTTAAGTACATACACATTAATACAGAAAGATTGTGAAACTATTGAACATCAACAATATCCTCCAGGTACAAAAATAATGGACACTACAAGTTTCCTCACGTAAGGGCCTGTTTTTCTTGATCAATGCTGAAGTCTGGAATATTCCAACTTCTGTATTCACAGTAATAGGCAGTCTTGTTACTTATAAAATTAGCAAAAGGACTGGCAGTAGTGAGTGAGTTTAGTTTTGTGCCACCTTCAGCAATATTCCAGCAGTATCATGGTGGGTGATGGGCTTCACACATTTCACCCATGTGGGGAATCGAACCCAGACCTTTGCAGGGACAGGTGAATGCTTTAACCACTAGGCTACCCCCCCACACCTTTGCAGAAATGAAGGCACTGGGACCTAACTACAATGGAACTAGTAACAAGACAATTGTAACATTCTGCAAGGAACGATGGGCTGTCATGTAAATTGGGGACCTATTCTGTCCTGGATCAACCAGAGAGACAAGGGTTACTATGGTCCTATTCTGTCCTGGATCAACCAGAGAGACAAGGGTTACTATGGTCCTATTCTGTCCTGGATCAACCAGAGAGACAAGGGTTACTATGGTCCTATTCTGTCCTGGATCAACCAGAGAGACAAGGGTTACTATGGTCCTATTCTGTCCTGGATCAACCAGAGAGACAAGGGTTACTATGGTCCTATTCTGTACTGGAACACCCAGAGAGACAAGGGTTACTGGGGACCTATTCTGTCCTGGAACACCCAGAGAGACCAGGGTTACTAGGGACATATTCTGTACTGGAACACCCAGAGAGACAAGGGTTACTATGGTCCTATTCTGTACTGGAACACCCAGAGAGACAAGGGTTACTGGGGACCTATTCTGTCCTGGAACACCCAGAGAGACAAGGGTTACTGGGGACCTATTCTGTCCTGGAACACCCAGAGAGACAAGGGTTACTGGGGACCTATTCTGTCCTGGAACACCCAGAGAGACAAGGGTTACTGGGGACCTATTCTGTACTGGAACACCCAGAGAGACAAGGGTTACTGGGGACCTATTCTGTCCTGGAACACCCAGAGAGACAAGGGTTACTGGGGACCTATTCTGTCCTGGAACACCCAGAGAGACAAGGGTTACTGGGGACCTATTCTGTACTGGAACACCCAGAGAGACAAGGGTTACTGGGGACCTATTCTGTACTGGAACATCCAGAGAGACAAGGGTTACTGGGGACCTATTCTGTACTGGAACACCCAGAGAGACAAGGGTTACTAGGGACCTATTCTGTACTGGAACATCCAGAGAGACAAGGGTTACTAGGGACCTATTCTGTACTGGAACACCCAGAGAGACAAGGGTTACTAGGTACCTATTCTGTACTGGAACATCCAGAGAGACAAGGGTTACTAGGGACCTATTCTGTACTGGAACACCCAGAGAGACAAGGGTTACTGGGGACCTATTCTGTGCTGGAACATCCAGAGAGACAAGGGTTACTAGGGACCTATTCTGTGCTGGAACATCCAGAGAGACAAGGGTTACTAGGGACATATTCTGTACTGGAACACCCAGAGAGACAAGGGTTACTGGGGACCTATTCTGTCCTGGAACACCCAGAGAGACAAGGGTTACTGGGGACCTATTCTGTACTGGAACACCCAGAGAGACAAGGGTTACTGGGGACCTATTCTGTACTGGATCACCCAGAGTGACAAGGGTTACTGGGAACCTATTCTGTACTGGAACACCCAGAGAGACAAGGGTTACTGGGGACCTATTCTGTCCTGGAACACCCAGAGACAAGGGTTACTGGGGACCTATTCTGTACTGGAACACCCAGAGAGACAAGGGTTACCTGGGACCTATTCTGTACTGGAACACCCAGAGAGACAAGGGTTACTGGGGACCTATTCTGAACTGGAACACCCAGAGAGACAAGGGTTACTGGGGACCTATTCTGTACTGGATCAACCAGAGAGACAAGGGTTACTGGGGACCTATTCTGTACTGGATCACCCAGAGAGACAAGGGTTACTGGGGACCTATTCTGTACTGGAACACCCAGAGAGACAAGGGTTACTGGGGACCTATTCTGTACTGGATCACCCAGAGAGACAAGGGTTACTGGGAACCTATTCTGTCCTGGAACACCCAGAGAGACAAGGGTTACTAGGTACCTATTCTGTACTGGAACACCCAGAGAGACAAGGGTTACTGGGGACCTATTCTGTACTGGAACACCCAGAGAGACAAGGGTTACTGGGGACCTATTCTGTACTGGAACATCCAGAGAGACAAGGGTTACTGGGGACCTATTCTGTACTGGAACACCCAGAGAGACAAGGGTTACTAGGGACCTATTCTGTACTGGAACATCCAGAGAGACAAGGGTTACTAGGGACCTATTCTGTACTGGAACATCCAGAGAGACAAGGGTTACTAGGGACCTCAGTACTAATACTTGAATCATTCCTTCAGACAAGGTCCCAGTAAGATCAAGTTTGAGTGCACAAGATTTATTGACATCAATCTTATACTGTATACCATTCCACATTCTCGTGTATATAAAAAAATCTGGGACAAAATATCGAGATTCAATCAAAAGAAAAAACAACAGCACCAAAATAATACTGCAAAAGCAAAATACAGCTGCATATGAAAATAACATAGATTACCATGGTTACAAAAATATGCATACATCCCTTCATAGCAACAGGAAATACTGCATCAAACATGAGGACACACAATCAGCTATCAGTGTGACCACAACTTTCTGGGACAATAAACATGGCAGGATGGGGTCTGTTCTACCCCTGAATCGTTAACACTAACATACACAAACATATCAAATCTTGGAACCATATAACAAATTTAACCATCACCAGTTGTTCGGATATTTTTGTTGTGTTTTCTTCTAATATTTCTTTTCATAAAAGAATTATCCAAACCCGTGACAAATTGAAAAAAAATAGCACCATAAACAATACATCGTGCATTCAAACAAAAAAACATATTTACAAAACTACATATACTGAAATAAATCACATGTATTCAGGAACCACAACTACAGTAAACATCAGTAAAACAGTTTTACTTGATCTATAAATTTTACGCCCTTTTAGCAAACTTTCAATTCAGGAATTGAAAACCACAACTGCAAAAGAAATACTTCATACACCGTTGAATACAACATGTTTCAACAACAGCAGTTTAGCATGAAGTATATTGCTTGTTATTAAAGGTGAAGTATATATGTCATATATCAAGTACTTTGCAATATTGAGTTTGATAACTGGGTCTTCTGATTACAGTAGTGTAACAAACTTCCAAATATTTGGAAAGATGTAGAATTTCTGTTTTATGAATACCTCAAATGGCAATACGTTAAGCAAACAAAAGAAAATAATATCCATTTTTGATATGGGGTCATTGAGAAACTTGAGAAAATCACTATGATCCTTACTTGATGTATGTTCAGGACAGGCTAGCAATTCCCTATCATTATCAGTTTTAAAACTTCGAGGATGTATGGTTATGCATGTTTTATTGTGAAACTTTCTTCAGAATTTCAATCCGAGGCCCACTAAATCTTTCTTCAGAATTTCAATCCGAGGCCCACTAAATCATTCTTCAGAATTTCAATCCGAGGCCCACTAAATCTTCTCTTTTTTTCACAGTAGGGTTGTTACATGGACCCGTTGGCTTTTACTTGTATTTTCAACAGTGGTATCAATTATATGGTAATATTAGTAAAATCTAAATATTTTTTATATTTGTATACTTATCCTGCACTACTTACTTCCTGCACTTATTGCTTACGGTTCTACGTCTTTTAACATCGTCTGTCAAGCCACGCTTTTCGAGCCGTAAGTAATAAGTGCAGGAAGTAAGCAGTGCAGGATTAGTTAAAAATATATATTTTATAATGAACAGACTGGCAAACAAACAGGGGACATTTTCAACGTTGATGCATCAATGACAAAACCAATGTCTGATGCAATTCCCTATTTTAATTGTATCATGCCTTCTCATAGTTTCCATGTGAACAAATGACTAGTCTTTGTGTTTAGGATGGGTGCTACCAGTCCAGCAAGATGTGCTCACCTTGAGCAAACACCTTGTAGCATCACCATTTGACAACAATTCATAAACACATGATATGGTTGAAATCATACAGTTGACTCTGATATTTTCAGACTGACTGACTGAGTTTGGTTTTACGCCGCTTTTAGCAATATTCCAGCAACATCATGGCGGATATTTTCAGAGGTTTCCTGTTAATGTTGAAAGGGTTTTGTTGCTGTTATTATCTTAATGCTGCTCCGATACTAAAGTATTAAAACCTATTGCATGATGTACTTGCAGACGAGTATTTTAGACGAAAAATACTTGCCAATTTTAGATACTTATTCAATACCGTCAGTAAAGCAAAACTGTAAACACAAAACTTAATAAGTTCTTCATGAGTATCACTGATAAAAAACTACACAATTATCCAGTCTAAATAAACTTATGCTCAGTATTATTCGTTACACTGCTATACTGAGTCTAAAAAAACCTTGTGGAAGGTCGCGTCAGGTAACCTTTCCAACTGACCAATCAGAACACAGCTTACCAAATCGCGAAAGTGGACATTCGCACATACCTTTTGAACTTTTACCTCAAAAAAGTTTGTACCTGACCGATTCCAAATGCTATTTTCCGTACGATTGGTTCCTAGTGATGCATGCCACAGCAGTGAGTAAACAGTCGCTGGAAATAGCGTTTTGTCAGTATTAAAGCATGTCAACTTGCGGAAATATTAGCTAATTATAACCATGTCAACAGGAATCCCAAAGCGTATATACTGCAGGTCAAATATCAGTGTTTTAAGCAGATTTTCATTTGTTGGGAGATCAGTGTTGGCAACCGGGGACGAGAAAATCCATTTTGTAAGTCCCGCCGAACCCTAAATAGTAGCCTTTGCCTGATTGGTTAAATCCGTTAGGCCGTCTCGCCTTTGATTGGACGGTCATAGGTCGCTCAAAGGTTACCTGACGAGACCTTCCACAAGGTTTTGTTAGACTCAGTATAACAGTGTAACGAATAATACTGAGTCTAAGTTTACTTAGACTGCACAATTATCAATCAATATTGCCATTAAGCAGCAACTTTGTCCACAGTGTCATCAAACATCATTGTTATCAATAGTGACCAAACGAGATTGTTGTAAACAAACAGATTTGTTGTCCAAATTGTCATCAAACAGCATTGTGATAAAATTATCATCAAACAGTATTTTCATCAATATTGTCATCAAACAGCATTGCTATCACTTTGTCATCAAAAAGAATTGTTATCAATATTGTCATGAAACAACACTGTTCTAAGATTATCATTAAACAAATCTGTAATCAATATCGTCACCAAACAAAAATCATATCAATATTGTCGCCAAACTGTTACCAATGTTTTCATCACACAGAATTGTCATCAATGTTTTCAGTAAACAGCATTATCATCATTCAACAAGCACTCGTTGAAGAAAATAAACATCTCAATCATGATATGGTCTGTATAATGGAATGGGATGAAGGGAGGTAACTCTGAACACTAACCAGCAGTACATCTTGACCAATGGAGACAAACTTGAAACCAAGACTAAAGTCAGGAGGGGAAGGTTCTTCAGCTTTAAAGAAATATCTAGATACTGTATCTAATATATACTGAGGGGAAAAAATAAGGGATCACATGAAAGCACAAGTGTTCCCCTTATTTTTTCCAGGCTTCTTCACAAGCTATGGGATACAAAGCTTGTGAAGAAACATGGGAAAAAATAAAGGAACACTTGTCCTTTCATGTGATCCCTTATTTTTTTCCTTCAGTATATATCTTAGAATCATAGGTTTTTGGAAGGCAGCACACACTTGGACTATAACAAGGGATGCTGTGTTAGACATTGTGAATTCTTGAATGATGGCTTGAGTTTAATCAAAAGTTATCTTTTATAAGTTAGTGACATATTTTACTATGACTTTTGACCAAATTTACTCAAACTGGTGACCACTGCCAATACCTGTACATATGATACGTCAATCATGTTCTCACATTACTCATCACTTGACACACAGTACCAGATTCCTGGAACCTTGAACATATTTATAGTGGTTTCGTATAAAGATCGCTCTACCGTGGTATTGTAGAAAGCTGATTTGTCAGCAGTCTCAAGGATTGCTAATGGTTTTAAACATTCCAAGCCAAAGATGTGTGAAGAGTGAGTGAGTGAGTGAGTAGGTTTTACACTGCTTTTAGCAACATTCCAGCAATATGACAGCAGGGGACATCAGAAATGGTCTTCACACATTGTACCCATGTGGGGAATCGAACCCGGGTCTTCTGAGTGATGAGCGGACGCTTTAACCACTAGGCTACCCGCCACCCCTGATGTGTGAAGAGTTCGGACTGTCTTGGTCATGTACATGCATCAGTTAGAGACAATGACAAGAAAAGTACAACCTTTGATTTGAGCAAATCCAATGCAATGACTTTGAAAGCAAAGTGTATGGCTATATTCAAAAACCAATACATGCAACCAAGGCATTTTCCAAAAATGATATCATTAGCATTTTTGTGAGTGAGTTGGGTTTGAAGTTTGAACAGTATAATACTTATTGAAATATCATGGCTTGTGAGTTTTAAGGGACAATATGTCAATGGATCTGTAATTGTAATTTTGACTTCTAATCATATTGGCAACAATTACACTTTCTCTTCACTTTGAATCTAATAAAATGCATGTACAAGCTAGTTTATCCTGCACACAACATATGCTGTTGGCCTTGCTGTGCTGTGTTCAACTGTTTTGGTTTACAATTGAATCAGGAATGAAACAAAGGTGTTACATCACAGTTTTTGAGGCATGGTTTCCAAACACACAGAGAGTGAGTATGGTTTTACGCCGCTTTTAGAAATATTCAGGAATATCACCAGAAATGGGCTTCACACATTTTACCTATGAAGTGGGCATAGAGTCATCCCACAGACGCCATCCATGCTGACTGGGTTAACCTCTTTGGTCGTGTAGACAAAGGGTCCAACTTCAGATCAGAAGGACCATGGTTTGAACCCCAGCACAGGACTCAGAAATTTTATGGCCACTTCACCCATGTGTGGAATCGAACCCAGGTCTTCAGCGTGACAAGGAGACGCTTTAACCATTAGGCTCCATCACTGCCCCTCCAACCACAAAAAACCATCGACGTACTGTCCCTTCAAAGCGGCAGGAAAGTCAAAAGTGAAATATGTATCTGTGATGAGTGTCAGGTGATCATGCACGGGCTAGTATGGCAGCTGGTTGCTGCATGTCTTCAGTGAGTTGGGCAGGTAGCGAGGTCACGACAGTCACCAGGTTGTTGGTCAACATCAGCAGCCTGGAATATATCAACATGAGAAAACATCATTCCTCCGAGATGACAAGTCCCGCATCTCTATTAGAAAAATCTAAATATTTGTTATATTTGTATACTTATCCTGCACTACTTACTTCCTGCACTTATTGCTTACGGCTCGAAAAGCGTGGCTTGCCAGACGATGTCAAAAGACGTAGAACTGCAATCACTTCCTGGTCTCGGCTGCTACTAATTCTGCGCATGTGTCACCGGAAGGTGACGTCAGCCACCTCAGATTATTGCCAGAAATCCAACAGATGGCAAATAAAGTGGGGAGGTAGCTGATAGCGCAGGGTGGGCCCTTATCATAAGTAGTGCAGGATAAGTATACAAATCTAAAAAATATTTAGATTTTACTAAATTTTTTAACTAATCCTGCACTACTTACTTCCTGCACTTTTATCCGACAGGCTGGAAGGTGGGCGTGTCATCTGAGGGATCACCTCGGTTATTATATAACAGCAGCCAGCTATTGGTAATGCGCCTATACGGAGAGCGAATCAGTGAGTGACGATCAGGCAGTGGTAATTCGCAAATAAGACCGAGTCATAAATGAAAAGAACCACTAATTTTACAGCTGGCGAAGCTTAAGGAATGCAGTAAAAAGCATGGACTTGAAACACAAGTAAAACTCCTTAGCTGACATACCTAGTTGTTTCTGAAGAAAACAACTCACAAGGAAGGAGGGTCACTTTCTTCGGAAGATGGCGAGTTGCTAAGCAACCACCAGTGGCCCGAAGCTGTTGACATCGTTAACGTCCTTGACAGCCATGTTACGCAAATAATGACTGGCAAAATCTGTGTCCGACCTCCAGAAACAACCTTGCATAATGGATGACACAGTACAATTACTGTGAAGCGCCATAGTCGAAGCAAGCGCCTTTGGTGCGGTCAATGTAAGTTTTGAGCGCACGAACCGGACATTAGAGCAACTCAGTATCGTCTTCAGTGCCAACAATAGATGATAATGGCGGAATAGAAAACTGTCGATCAGGTTGACCTGGTAGTTGATTTTTAGCGATGAAATCCCAACACAGACCCAAATGTACAGAACCATGACGACAACGACGCTCAAACTTGACCCTAGTCACGTCGAGGGTGTGAACCTCACTCACAACAGCCGCTGTCGCTAAAGACAAAAGGAAAGCCGTCTTCCTGGATAAATCAGCGAGTGAAGCGTTCTCAAGTGGTTCATAAGGTGCACCACGGAGATGGTCTAAAACAGTGTTGAGATTCCATGCAGGCGGTCAAAACTTCAATTTCTGGTCTTCAAGTTTGAACGAATGAACCATGGCCTGTAATTCTGGGATTTTGGAAATCCTTCTGTCAGTGGGAACTGCTTAACTGAGCTAATTGCTGCCAAATATGTGGCAATGGTGCCTCCCTTCAGACGCCTGGACGTTCAGAGATAAAGTAGGAAATCTGCTATGAACTGAGGCGATGCTTTCAGCGGATCCTGCTTCCTGGTAACACAAAGTTGTTCAAATGACTGCCACTTGTCGTCATACAAGTGTCTAGTAGAAGTTCTGTGCGCCGTCGCAATGGCTTTGGCTTCTCTGGCCGAAAACCCCTTAGCACTCAGTGCTTTCTGTAAATGGTCCATGCGTGCAGATGGAACCGATCTGGAGCAGGATGCGGAAGACAGCTGTGAGGGTGCACAAGAACTTTCCTCCACGTGGGTAGAGGAAAGGGATCTCCTACCACTAGACGTGACCAAAATCAGGCAAATCGTCTCTTTGACTTTTTCGAGAACTTTGGGTAGTAGAAGCCATGAAGCCTCTCCCACGATAGGCTGAGAGCATCCACTGCCCAAGCTGCTGGATCCGGGACTGGGGACACATGCACTGGCAGTTGATGGTTTTGACTGGTGGCAAACAGATCTATGTTTGGAGAACCCAGAGCGTGACTCAGGAGAGTGAAGGCCTCCTTGTGTAGCATCCATTCCGTGGGAGCAACTCTGCTGGGTCTCGAGAGAGCGTCTGCTAGTATGTTTTGGCACCCCGGAATATACTGAACTCTCAACAGAATGTGGAGATCATCGACCAGTTGAAAGAGACGAAAAGTCTGATCTAGAAGAAACTGTGAGTTTGTCGACCCTTGCTTCCGGATGTACCATACCACCGTGGTGTTGTCTGTGGCCACCAGAAGACAAGTTCCTCATAGTCGATGTGCCCAGTGATGAATAGCGAGGATCACGGCCTCCAACTCCAGACTGTTTAAGTGTCAGCTTTGGTGTTGACCCGACCAAAGGCCGGCGACCGTCTGATCGTGTAAGTGAGCACCCCAACCTTGCATGGAGGCATCCACGAACAGTTGGTAATCCGGTGGCCGCTCTGTCAAAGAGACTCCTCCTAAGACGTTCAATGGGCGAGTCCACCAAAGAAGGTAGCGATGTAACTGAGGTGGAAGACAAAACCGTTGATGAACATATGCCCGACGAATGTATGGTTGAAGAAAGCGCTGCAGAGGACGAAGTTGGTAAGGTCCTGCGCCAACGTCAACAATCCCACGAGTGCCAGCCACTCGCGGAGTGAGAGAGGTTTGGAGAGCGCACGTGGAATAAGAGACTGAATCTTGTTCCACCTGTCCAGAGGAATCTGAACTAGGTTCTTGTCCGTCTGGAAATGGCCTCCGATGAATGTCAGAGTGTGAGACGGGACAAGCTCCGATTTGTCCAAGGTGACAACACAACCTAGTTGGCGCAACAGATGAAGGGTGAAATCCCATTGTTGTATAAGAAGCAGACGGTCTAGCAGGTGCATAAGGCAAACGTCCAGGTATGGGGCGAAATTGATGCCCCTCAAATGAAGATACCAGGAAATAGGAGTTGTGTGTGATACGTGTGAACAACCATGAGGCCATTGAAATTCCAAACGGGAGGACAGCCCATTGGAAATGTTGATTGTTTGCAGTTCTACGTCTTTTGACATCGTCTGGAAAGCCACGCTTTTCGAGCCGTAAGCAATAAGTGCAGGACGTAAGTAGTGCAGGATTAGGTAAAAATTTGAATTTATGTTAGGGTCCGTTCCTAATTCATAATTTATGGGGGTGATGATGATTTTAGGTGGGGTCAGCAATTTTGTACATGGAAATATTTTAAAATTATGCTTAAAACATTATGGGAAGGGAAGGGGGTAATGGATTTTGTACAACATGCAGGGCTGGTTCACTTACTTTGTACATAAATTTTAGGGGGGGGGGTCATTCACATTGTACATGCTTCTCCATGAAAATCATCATCACCCCCTCTAGCCATAAATTATGAACGGCCCCTTAGACCATAATTTTATTGAAGACTGCACTTCTTCCGCTGGAAGGCAATTTCAAATGTCCCGCAATGTTGGTTTATATTGTTGATAGACATCACACTCTATTACGCAATATTTCAACTATATAATGGCAGACTAAAACATAATCATACTTGGAAGAGACATTCCAGTGATTGAAATCACGAGCATCGAACAGCGCCATTGGCTTTTGATAACATGCAGACACTCTACAAAAAATGTACAAATGAAGGGCAGGTTACCCCATTCAGTGGCTACACAAAATTTCTGGACATGCGTCAGCATGTCTAACCAAGTATGGGCTGCGGACGACCAATGATAAACCGTATCTTCACTGAATATCCATCACTGAAGTTCTATGTCAATCTCCCTACCATTCTCTGATTTCCGGAGCTAGAAACGTTTCACCCTGATCGGCGGCAAATGCAGCTTTCACCGTCTTAAAGTTGTCCTCTATGTTCTTCTTTTGAACAGCCAGTGCAGAGGAGCTGCCCTCCAGGTTTGTGACGCTTTGCTACAAATATACAATCAATGCTCAATATTTTTTTAAACCATTCTCCAGTTTGAATTAAGCCCTTGCATGATTTACTTGTATGTATATTGTTCATCGCACTCACTTATATTCTACCTATATGGTGGCTGTCTGTAAATAATTTGGGGTGGTGGGGTAGCCTAGTGGTTAAAGGGTTCGCTTGTCAATCCGAAGACCCGAGTTTGATTCCCCACATGGGTATTAGTGTTGGGAATTGGTTAAAATTTCATAACTGATGATTGGTTCATTACAACCGACCAATCATCGAAAATAATTGGTCAGCATCATTATCAAATTTTCCTGGTTATGTTTGTTAATGCACAAAACATAAAGAAAAAACATGTAGTTCTTTCGTTTTTGGCAAATTGCTAAAAATGCATTTGCAAATTTCACATACTTAAAGGATGACTAGTATGTTAGGAACATAAATTTCATGAAGTCTATAAGACAAATTCAATCATGATTTGGAAAGAGCTTGTAGTGCTTATGAAATATAACATACAAAACCAACCTTGTGAAAAAATATTGTTCATGCAAACAACTGTTCCATAACTTCCAAAATTGTTTGTGTTCGATTGTGAGAAAACATGATCGATTCCTTGGTCATTTAGTCATTGCGACCAATCCATATTCACTCACTCCCTACAAAATCTTTCGGCAAAATGTTGACAATACTTTCATACACAAGGCAATATGGTGATTGGAATACAATACTTACATACAACAAGGCCAGCTGATGAGCTATGTACTTAGGTTTGGATTGTGTTGACAGGTCGTTGTTCATCTGCCGAGCGAGGGTAGCAAGATGGTGGAGCCCAGCTAGCTGAGTGTAGTAGTCTGGAACAGAAAGGCTCTGTAAGCACGGTTTTATGTGACATGCAAATGTGCTTCAAAAGTACACACAAATGTAGAGAATGGGTGCAGAAAAGACATTCACCACATCCCAAGAGACGCACAGTATTATTCATTGTACCCACAACTAGGGGTGGGTATTGCAGAGAATTTTCATATTGCGATGCGAAAGCATATATTGCGATATGTATTGCAATATATTGCAAGAAGTTCTTTTTTAACAAAAAACTATAATCGAGTAATGCTTGATTTATAAAGCAAAAACACACAAAAATCACTATGCTTGATTAAGCTTTAATAAAAAGTTTTAATCATGACAAAATAAAAATGTAAATAATATCTGGCACAAATAAAAAAGGAAAGGAAGAATTTACAAAAACCCGGAAATATCTGAAGATTTCCGAGGGTTACGAAGTTTTCCAAACGCATGTCAAAATACCGGTTTTTCGATCAGCGTATCGCAATACGTATCGTTTTCATGTCTGAACCGGTAAATACCGGTAAACCGGTTATATTTCGCAGCCCTACCCACAACACATCTACGACTTTGCTATGTGTCTTTTTTTATTCTTTCAGAGCAGGGGCGAAGGGGTAGCCCAGTGGTTAAAGCATCGCTTGTCATGCGGAAGACAGGTTTGATTCCCCACATGCGTACTATGTGTGAAGCCTATTTCTGGTGTCCCAAACGTGATATTGCTGGAATATTGCTAAAGCAGCATAAAACCATACTCACTCACTCACTCTCATCATTTCATCCATCAGTCTACATGATCAATGATTCATTCCAGTCTCTATAGAAATGATGAAAACCTACACTTCTCTACACTGTTACTTCACAGGACCTTCATAATGTCCGCAAGAACACTCAAAACTAATAATTGGGAGGCCCTGGGACCCCCATTTTTGTGAGTCAAGGTAAAACCCTGTGGAAGTGGAAGTTTTGTTTGTTACTCGTCTAACGCCGCACTCAGCAATATTCCAGCTATATGGCGGCAGTCTGTAAATAATCGAGTCTGAACCAGACATCCGGTGATCAACAGCATGAGCATCGATCTACACAATTGGGATATGATGACATGTGACAACCAAGTCAACCTTACCACCCGATCCCGTCAGTCGCCTCTTACGAGATATTTTACCATAAGAATGACTCACTATCGAGTGTTGTTTTCTTCAGAGCAATAGACAAGGCCTCAGGTCTCACAACATAGGCTGCAGCACGTGGAAACAGTCGATCCAGCCACTTGCTTTCAAGGTATGCCTGTTGGCGAGTGAACAATATTACAGCCTAACAAGCAAATGTCAAACCTGGATCAGACAAACAAGTGGTTGATAGGATGAACAAATATCCATTGAATGAATTGTTCCACAATGAAAGCAATAACTGTTTATGGCAATGAAAAGCAAGATATACCATGAGTAAGTGAGTGAGTGAGAGTGTGAGAGAGTGAGTGAGTGAGAGTGAGAGAGTGAGTGAGTGTGAGTGTGAGAGTGAGCGAGAGTGACTGAGTGACTTATTGAGTCAGTGAGTGTGAGTGAGTGAGTGAGTGAGTGAGTGAGTGAGTGAGTGAGACAGCAAGTCTGACCACCCAACCCCGTTAGTCGCCTCCTACGATAAGCATGGGTTATTGAAGATTAATTCTAACCCGGATTATAACATAATAGTATTTTGACTCTAATAATCGCACAACTGTTTCCAGGTTATTGACAGAATTTGATTTCGAACCCCTGTTCTTAAAAAAAGACATACGTTAAAAGCATTCCAAAAAATATAATATATATAGAGGAAATGCATATTGGGAACATAAGCAAATACTAGTTAAGGAAGAGGTGTGTTTACCTGGATGTCCAGTGGACTGTTGCACCTCGCCAAAAGCTGATGCATCTGGTCATATACAACTCGGGCTGCAACACACACAAGGTAACCATTAAGTGATGACCCTATCAAAAAATATTCATGAATGGTCAAGACAAATACACTCAATGTCAACCAAGATTGAAATTAACTATATTGCATGGTTAGGAGTGGAGTGGAGCGAGTTTAGTTTACATCGCTGTTAGCAATATTCCAGCAATATCACGGCGGGGGGACACCAGAAATGGGCTTCACAAATTATACCCATGTGGGAAATCGAACCCGGCTTTTCGGCGTGACGAGCAAAGGCTTTAACCACTAGACTACCCCACCGTCCCGCATGGTTAAGAACTTGGGATGAAACTGTATACCATGGTATTAGTAGAACCGCGATATTTTGCCTTCCCAAAATTCGGCATTTTCGGTTTTCGTATTTATTAACCTTTTAAAACCTTTTCTTAAATGTCTAGAAATCAAATCATTTTATCAAAATCTATGCATTTCTTTGCTTGACCTCTGCTATTTTCTCGGAAGTATGTTCCCATATACCGAACCCAACACGGACTGAACCAAAGGCCTTGTACCACAATACGTACCGTACCACGGTAAGAGCGTACCGTTTCACCCCTATTAAGAACTACTGACAGTACAAACTCTATGTGGCACTGTTAAATAATATCATGATCATCATAACATGTCAATAATTGAGTGAGTATAGTTTTTATCAGTATTCCAGCAATATCACGGCGGGGGACACCAGAAATGGGCTTCACACATTGTACCCATGTGGGAATCGAACCCGGGGTTTTCAGTGTGACGAGCAAACGCTTTAACCACTAGGCTACCCATCAATAACCAGTCACCTAGTTATTAAAGTGATTAAAGAATAAAGTTATAAAAGTTAGTAAAGAACATCCCAGACCTCTGTTGACAAAAGAGTTGCTTGTCTTCCCATTATCAATTCTGTGAGATGGTTGCTAAAACAAAGCAGAAAGTTAATTAATATATAAATAAAAATAAATACAAGGATAAATGCACCAAAATATGAAAACAAATAATTTCCAATCATGAGATATTGTTGTTCATATCTATCATGCTTGTCCATGTCAACAACTAGCAAAGATCAATACCAATCAATACACACAAGTGATCAGCAAGCAATCATGGTCAACATCTGTGTCGCTTTATGCAGCAGTTACCACGGTTACGCTTCAATCTGTTGACGCCGTTATCAAGAACACAATATGGCAAGGTCAAACATCATAAAATGTCAACTTAAACATGATTTTCTTTTTTTTGTCAATTTGAAAAACATATTCAGTTGAAAATGTTATACAAATTTCTGCACTACGCATGTGGACCTGCTCAAAAGCTAACATTCAGCCACCTGCTCAAAAGCTAACATTCAGCCACATTTCTACACCAATTGAAACATAAGAAAAACATTATGTCAATACAGTTATATATGATTTAATGACCCTGTAGAGATAACTTGTATTTTAATGAAAACAGAACAAAGAAAGGTGAAGAGCCTTAAGCAAAAAAACATTTAAACAAAAAATGGTCTTTTCTCTCAAATAACCTGTTACCCGGTTACTGGTAGGTGTCTGAATTGCGAAAAAGACGAATGATAAAAATTATCGGTGGTGGGAAGAAGTATTAACCTTATTGATGTCGATAATATCAAACATAAACTATTGTGATGAAGCAAAGTTGTATTCCGTGTAAGAAAAATGCCTAAGCTTGACTCAGTTAACCAGCAACATGGCAATGGCCTATGTCAACAGTCCCACTATGCATCTGTGGAAGATTAGTAACTGGTCAGCTTAATCTGGATGTACTGATCTGAACTTACGTCGGAAGTAAACATGCAAAGGTTCATATTGCTCCGTGTGATTTATGACAATCACCAATTTAATTAGAATTGATAAAGAGAGCATGTTTAACTGGAAGGTAAACCATCTTGAAGCTTTATACCATTCTTACTAGTAATGTGTATCTTAACTAGGGACCGCCTCCATGGTGTAGTGGTTAGAGCGTCCACCCGGAGAGCGGAAGGTCGCGGGTTCGATCCCCGACCGCATCATACCAAAAGACGTTAAAATATGGTACTTGTTGGTCCCAGCCTGGCGCTTGGCATTAATGGGTAGAACAAGGACTGGTCGGCTCGGAGTCAGTATAATGTGTCTAAGTGGGGTATTCATGCTTCACTGCGGCATGGTATCTCAGTGGGCTAGCACTATAAAACCAGCTTAAGTCTGGGTAAGTACAAGCAGGCGCACATACACATACACACGCATGCACGTCGTCATATGAGCCAAATATTCTCAAGCACGACGTTTAACCCAATTTCACCTCACCTCACTTGGGGGAAGTCACATCAATGGAACTGCACATCAGGTAGCCTTGAATGAGGATTGTTAATTTAGGTAACTGACACATTTTGTTATTTATTTTGTGCCTTAAATTAATTTTCAGTAAGTGTTGAATTTTGAAAAGAAATACAGTTTGCTCCCCCACCCTTGTATAGCAGCATCCTTGTGCCTTAGCTATAACATTTCAAGGCAAAACTGTACATGGGGGTAGAGAGAACTATTTATTACCTGCAGGTGAGTTAAAGCATATGTTTTCATTAAATGTTAACTGTCAACTTTGCAATCCATGCATAAATCAGAGCTTGACATTCACGCTATCCCACTGGCCCGGGTCTAGTAAAATGTTGACAGGACCAGTGCATCTTTGATAAGTGCTATCCTGACGGTCTAGTAGATATTTAAGGCTGTCAATATAATTGTACTGGTTTTGAGCTTTCAAAAAAATAAATGAATGAAGTCCTAAAAAAACAATGAACACGGCAACGTGTGAATGTAACTTTGCCGTATGTCTTAATACGATATGTTCTGAATGTAACCAACATTTTCCAAGTGCTTCAATTTCAAAATGCACCGTTTCTTGGTGAATGTGGCACTGCCACCCAAAACAAAGCAAAACCTAAAGAAGACAAGCTTCACGAACAATGGACATATGATGAAAAGAAAAGACAGTGTACTTTCCAACAAAAAGGGCTGGCGGAATTCCCCTGGTTGGAATGTCACGTTATGAACGGGGTGGGGAACATGTATTGCAAACTTTGTCGTAAGGTTGATGCTACAGGGTCGTTTGTGACAGGGTGCACAAACATGAAAATACTATAAAGTCACACCAAGTATCAACAATGCACCAAAAACTAACAGAAAATGGATCGAGTTAAAGTCCCCCTCCTATCCAAGACTTTAAACCGGACAATGCTGTAAATCTTTGGCTGAAGACATCAAGGAGTACCAGGATGCCAACATTTGGGGCTATCCCAACTTAGAAGCCAAACCAACCAGAAGTAGTCGCAGTTGAAGACAATGATGATCACAATGAGCCTGAACAGCCAGCTGTAGCAGATGCCAGAGAAGCAGATGTCGTTGACGCGGCTGCTGAGGGATTTGAGGAGGATGCAGCAGACTATTATTCCCACAATGAAATAGAGTCTGACGAGGACTTGCTAGTGCTTGAGAAAAGGGCATATGCTTTGTTTTCTCAGAATTTGCCGTCTTATGACTGTTGATTTAGAACAGTCCTGGATGGATATCATTAAATTCTAATCTTTGTGAACTGCTATATGAAGATTTTCTTGTGACAAATTTGTTGTTTATTGCACAAATGCCATAAAGGTTCACTTTTCTTGTCATTGTTATTTGCAGCAATGGTCACTATTGACTAGGGTTTTAAATTTTTGAAATCAGTAAAATATTCAAAACTGTTTTCTGAAAATTCTGATTCTGATTGAATAAAGTCTTTTGAGGAGGGAGTTTTAGTTCTTTGTCATTTATAAGATAAAATTCTACAAAGCAAGTGCAAATTTGAATTTGATATTAAGAGTCCCTTAGCAGGACCAGTAAAGACCAGTGATTTTTAAAAGTTACTGGTCCTGTGGTCTTGTTCGGGAATTTGGGTGACTGTCCAGCCCTGTGTCACCACTCATCAGTGATGAGAAATATGCCATTTTCACTTGCAGCTTCTTGCATATTTGCTCCATTGGTGGATCCAGAGGGGGGTCCAGGGGGTTCGAAACACCTCCCACCCCACCCCACCCCTTTAGAAAATGACTTAAGACCACATTGAAGATTTGTTTTGCGTTGGCGGGGGTGGGGGGTGTTTGAACCCCCTGAACCCCCAGAACCCCCCTTTCAAAATTCCTGGCTTCAAAAGGCTTCAAACCTAACTCACTCACTCACACAAGCACCTACCTGTGTGAGTTCCTTCCTGCAGAGTAGATCTAGCTGACCACACAACGACATCATCTCTATCTCGATGTCGGTCGGTGTGTCCGTCCCTGACAACAGGGACTCGTGAAGCCGAACTGTCACTGGAAAATACAGCATTGAACAATGTGAAATATCGTTGCAGGTTTATCATACAGTCTACCTTGAAATTAGTAATAAGGGGACCTGGACCCATAGTTTTGTTGGGCAAGGTAAAGCCTAGTCCGTCACACAGACCCTGAAACAAATATATCCAAGAAAGCCCATGCAAGTCTAGAATATGTGGCAGTAGAGATATCAACAGTTTCAGAAAATGAAGAAAGAATCTGGGCTCCTTTTCATTATATTTTATTATTATTCTTTTTATGAACAGTTTTTTTTTCAGTAAAATACATTCATTTCAGAGACTAGATGTTAGTCTGTGTAAAATCCTGTGATGCAAATTGAAAAACCTTATCCTATTTGGAGTGAAGACAAGCTGGGAGCACCTGTAGAATTCAACATCACATCTCAGGGCTCGATTTAGTACTTTGTTACTTGCACTGGTGCAACCCAATATTACAAAGTGCAATCTAGCTATTAGCTGAACTTGCACCTGGTGCAACTCAATTTTTGAGTGGGTAAACTCTCAATAAAACATCTAAATAATTCAATACCATATTTCTTACATTACATATTGCAATAAAAGCAGTGCAACTGGAATTTGGCTGGTGCAACTAGGTTTTTATCTTAGGTTGCACCTGGTGCAAGTAGGTGAACATCTCTTAAATCGAGCCCTGCGTCCTTGTTAGGACAAGCTCTGCCACAGATCACATGTCAGTAAGACGTGCAACAATGTTAGGTTTACAACTCTTATAATTGTCTTGTAATTCCCACATTATTAATGAGTCATGATGAACACTGTCAGCTAAAAAAGGTGAAAATTTATGAGATTTGGGAGTATATTCTTACTCATTCATCTTTCACCTGATATAGGCATAAGAATACACTCCAAAATGTTGTGCCAATCATCATAAAAACGTTGACATCCATAAACTTTCACATTTTGAGCTTTTCACTTCTAAATGCTGTTATAAGACATTGTCAGCAAAGGTGACAAATCAGAATAGCCTTTGTAAATATATGATCTTATTTCCAGTCAGCTCTCTAATCATTAAAAAGATCTAAGTGAGAGTCTGAGCACCTGGCATCTAATTGCTGAAAGGTGTAGGCTAGACACAGTGTATAAAATAAGGCCCGTCCCACCGACGGAGACGGTCTAGATTTCTGACGGACGGTCTAAATTTACAGCTAGCCAGCCCGATGGTCTGGTAAATTTTTTAGATGTTCCATACATCTGTGTAAATTCACCATATTTGGTCTGTTTAAATCCATTTTTGGCTGGTAACATTTTGAAGTTACCAGCCCTGATGTCTGGCTGGATTTGTGGCTTATTTCATACACTGCTAGACACCAGGATCCATGGTCAGGATCCAAACAACATTGTTTCAATCATCATCTGTTCAAAGATATTCAAGAATTCTGTTAAGTCCCCCAATTGGGTAGAACGATGCTCATGATGTTGATCACTGCATTGTCTGGTCCAGACTCGATTTTTTACAGACCACCGCCATATAGCTGGAATATTCCTGAGTGCTGCTTAAAACTAAACTCACTTACTCACGGACTCTTAACTCTCAGCCAAAACCAGAACATGGAACAGCAACCTGTACCCAAAACAAGTTCATATTCCTTAACCAGAAGTGAGGTGAGGTGAAATTGGGTTTAACGTCGTGCCTGAGAATATTTCACTCATATGACGACGTGCATGACGACGTGCATGCGTGTGTATGTTTATGTGGCGCCTGCTTGGACTAGCCCAGACTTAAGCTGGTTTTATAGTGCTAGCCCACTGAGATACCATGCCGCAGTGAAGCATGAATACCCCACTCAGACACATTATACTGACTCCGAGCCGACCAGTCCTTGTTGTACCCATTAATGCCGAGCGCCAGGCAGGGACCAACAAGTACCATATTTTAACGTCTTTTGGTAGGACGCGGCCGGGGATCAAATCCGCGACCTTCCGCTCTCCGGGCGGACGCTCTAACCACTACACCACGGAGGTGGTCTCCTTAACCAGAACCTGGTTCATACAAAGGTTACTGTGGATGCTTGTTTCTTTCATATATCATGCTTATACTAAGTTAAAGGCACATAATATGATATCCCAAATCTAGAAATTTGAGAAAGTTTAGTCAAGTAACCAGTTAAGTGTATAATGCAATGTGGAATGGATTCATCCTAGTGTACATGTCTGTATTCAGAGAGTTTTGCAGAGAAATAAACCTGGCATACATCTGTAGTGCTTACCCATGCTGACAACTAGGGGTGGGTATTGCAGAGAATTTTCATATTGCGGTATATTGCGATGCAAAAGCATATATTGCAATATGTATTGCAATATATTGCAAGAAGGAATTTTTAAAACAAAAAATATACTCATAATTGAGTTGATTTATAAAGCAAAAACATAACGAAATCACTATGCTTTAATAAAAACTTTTAATCATGACCAAAAAAACATAAAAATAATAATTGGCACAAATGAAACAAGGAAAACAACAATTTAACATCAACACTGTGGTTCAGCCCAAAATGCTGCCATACTGAAGCCTTTGCCCTTGTATATGGCAATACAATAAATTGTTCGTTGTTGGAGATCGCCATTTTACAACAAACGCATGATTTCCGAGTGTTACGAAGTTTCCGAACGCATGTCAAAATACTGGTTTTCGATCAGCGTATCGCAATACGTATTGTTTTCATGTCTAAACCGGTAAATACCGATATACCGATTATATTGTGCAGCCCTACTGACAACAAACCTATCAGTACTTTCACTGAAGAAATATAAGGTTAACACTTAGTCTCTGTAAATTTGTAATTTTGATAGGAACAAAAACTGCATTTAATTTTAAAAGGAGACCGAGTCAGGTGGGAGACTCCCGGACAGGAGGAAAATGTAGACTTCTTTCATTTAGGGCTCCTGAACTGCAGAAAGGAAAAATAATATAGTTCACGAACTGTGAGAGAGACATAACAGGTTTGTGTAACAAAGAAATCCAACTGATGAAGGTACTGCCATGCATCAGTAGGTAATCTGCGTTAAATTAACTACAAGTTGTACAACTAGTTCTCTTAAATATCAAGTGAAGGCTACGTACTGACCCAAAACAAGTCTAGAAACACCAGAAAACAAACAAACATTTTCTTTGATAATCAGCTGATAATTATAGATACACATTCAAGGTAATCGTTTTCAAATATCATATCTTCTATAATCAAACAAAACCAATCAAACAATTAGAGCACATATGCGCTATAAAGATTTATCAATAAACGTGATAGGCCTACTCAAAGTTATTTCCGTGCATCTGTATCATGTTATTGTTATTGTTCTAGATGTGTGCTCGAGGTGTGTGCGAATATTGCTGTCTCAGACAGGGTCTTTTGTCAAATGCAAACATACACTCTAAAAGACGTAATCATCCACAGACAGGAATGACATTAAATAACTATTTTGTGTCCCGACCGCATTACCTTTAAAAGCCGGGTCATAATGTACCGGTGTCACAAGAGGTTGACTGCACGGTGCCGCCATGTTTTGCTGCCTAAACGAAACGTCATTTCCGGTTCACAACCCACAACACGTCGTCTGCTATTGATCATTGTGATGAGTTGAAGACGTACACCATGTACAAATTGTTAGCACCCACGGGAGTAGAAAAATCTAAAACATTATTCTAAAGAGGGCGTGGCATGAAGTAGCCTACACTCTATGATTAGCGTTTATTTTACATAAATTTATGCATTTCGTGAGTTGTATTTGAGTAAGTTCGTTACAACTATATGAGCCCAACCATATCCTGTTCCGCTGTTTAGTCTCAAATTATCCCAGAAAACATCTACATTACATTTGGCTAATATAAATTTTATATGAAAATTGACTGGGCTTCTGTCTACATAAACAATAAAAAGCGCTAAAACCTGCTGCACAAAAACCAGCAGTGGAACCAGTTTACGCTGACGCATGAGAATTGTGACGTCATAATGACTTGGTCGCTTGTGAAGTCATAGAACCGTGCGGAGCTCAAAAGGAGCGTAAGTATTATATACCTTCTAAAATCATTTCGTGATCTAAATCAAAAGAACTCTTGGTGAAACTTTCAACACCTGATAATAATTATCAGGTGTTGAAAGTTTCACCAAGAGTTCTTTGGATTTAGATAAATTATTATTGTTTGCTAACAAAAATAAACGTCATCTTTTATGTAATGACTAATAAACAAACATTGGGCTTCACCATGCACATTTAATATTACGTAACTCGCTCCCACAGATGAAACCTTGTCTATTTACAATCTGCATCTCTAGCATTATACATGTAGTACTAAACTTAAAGGACCCGTGAAGATCCGGGGTAGAATAGGTCTTCAGCAAGTCTTCATGCTTGTCGTAAGAGGCGACTAACGGGATCGGGTGGTCAGGCTCGCTGACTTGGTTGACACATGTCATCGGTTCCCAATTGCGCAGATCGATGCTCCTGCTGTTGATCACTGGATTGTCTAGTCCAGCCTCCATTATTTACAGACCACCGCCATATAGCTGGAATATTGCTGAGTGTGGCGGAAAACTAAACTCGCTCACTCACTCTTAACTTAAAGAGTTTACTCAAAGAATGCCGGGAGCCAGAAAGCTTGTATTAAGATATCTATTTTAAATTCTTCTCGAACACACAAGACGATTTAGTATTATCTGAGAGATAAACTTACTGCATTATTTTCCAATTCCGTAAACTAAAACTATCACCTTCCAAAATGATTTCGTCTATAACAGTTTAGCTAGTTGTGCAACATGTACTCTTCCCACTGAAAGAACGGCACTCACTCCCTCATATTAAATATTAATGAGTACTTGAAATTAAGAGACACCAAGTTCCTGTTAAGAGGCAGGAAATCCTATTGCAGGGTGACAACAGTAAATATTCTTCATACTAGGCTATGTACGGGAGCCATTTAGGGCCATTTTTTAAATTTCGGCTTATTATCTTGATAATTCAAAACACTAACATAACATTTCAAGATAATTACTTACCTCAGAATATATTTGACTGGTGTACGTTTGCTAGTTCAATACATCAACTTGAAATTTTACTTACATACCTTGGAATTCCAGTTTAGCATCTTGAAATTTCAAGATAGCTATTTAAAGTATTTATATACTACAAACAAAAAGTATATGGAAAAGTATTTGATAGTCATATATAAACTTAAACGTAGTGTGGTCATTTATACTCTAAGGTAAATGCAACTTTTTGTGTGCTTAATGGACACTTTAAACGACATGTTGGAACATGCAGTCAAGCAACTGATTCAATATTCGTTGAGTTTGAGACATTGTAAAAAACAGCGAAATACAAGGGTGCTGAAACACACCAGCACCGTGTCTGATTCAAACGCCCAAACACAACAGCCTAGTGCATGTGGAAGACAGACTTCCCGTGCAGCTTGTGGCAACGTTTCATTTAAAAGAAGCAACAGACAGTATTGAAGACGCACAACTTCTTCACTATGCCACAGCGCAGACCGTTAAGCGCCCACGACAGAAGCGGGGCCATTGCATGGTTACAGGATGGTGAATCCATAAGAAGGTTGCTCACCGTCTTCAGGTGTCTCCCTCTGTCCTTCACAAACTGAGGGACAAATTCCAGACCACTGGTAGAGTACAGGACAGAATTCGCCCTGGAAGACACAGAAAAACATCAACGGCAGATGACTGATATGTTTTTGGCTCCAAGCCCTTCGGAACCGATTCACAATTGCCAGTGCCCAGTTGCCACAAACTACATGGGAAGTCTGTCTTCCACATGCACTAGGTTGTTGTGTTTGGGCGTCTGAATCAAACATGGTGCTGGTGCGTTTCCGCACCATTGTTTTTAATGAAAATGAAAATGAAAATGAAGTGTGCAAACCCCACCCCCCCTCCCGCCCCTTTCTCAAGAGTGTGCACCCCCACTTTCTCAAAAAGCTGTATCCGCCCCTGCTACGCACGTGTGGCCTGCATATGTTGTGTTTTTTTACACAACTGTGGTTTTTTAATAACATGTGGCAACCGTATATGTGATGTCATCAACGGCATGTTTTTGTTCTTTACTCCCAGTAAATCTCTTTATTCCAATTTGTTTGCTGTTTCTATGAGTTTTCATCGTTTTCAAAATATTTCTTTCCAAATGAGAATAATGTTAGACCTTTTTTTACTGAATATATTTGACGTTGTTGCTTTAGTGTGAACTGTGGCAAGCTTGCATTGGATGTTGATGATGTTGCGTTTCCATGTGCAATAACCCATGTTTTACAGTGTCTACCGCTGACTTAAATGACGAGGTCATGGAACTTATGTTGACGTATGTTGACTATATTGGTAGTGTAACCGTATATGTGAAATATCAAACTGTTACAAATGTCCTGAAAATAATAATAATAATAATCAAAGAGTACTTATCACAATGTAACTGAACCGTTTTATTGTCATCAGTGATGTTCTTGTTCCAGGCGCTTCGCAATGTTCTGGTCCAGAAAAATGCCAGAACCGGATCCTTTGGAGGATTCGGACACCGACAGCGTAGAAGAAGTTCAAATAACTCGCTACCTTAACCAAGGCCTTCTGCAGGGCCTCCAACAAGCCAAGGCTTGCAATGATGTGAAGCTTGGTGTCAAACGTCAGACCGGATATTACCATCTGAAGGATCGCAAGCATGCTGTGATCACACCAAAGGTTGTTGCTTACGACGGCAAGCACTGGGACCTCACTGTCTCAAACAGACTTCATAGGGCCACACCTCGCTTAACTGCTTATGCTATCGAGAGGGAGATCGCTCGAGAACAGCTTCAACAAGTAAAATCAGAAGAGTCTAGACAACAGGCAGCTTCTCGTGTCCTCCAAGGGCTCCACGCGGAATTCCAGGACAGGATTACACAAAGCCTGGTATTAGAACAGGAGATTCTGGAAAGGATGAAGAACAATCTTGCTGTTCTTAAGGACGATGCTCACTGCGAGCTGATGAGGAAACACAACATTAAGCATTTCGATGAAGAAGCAGAAATAGAGCGAGAGAGACAGGTCGCCATGGTTGAGATCTTTAATGGCTGCATGAAATCCCCTAATATGTCTCGCAGCGTAGAGAACATGTTGGGCGGGATTGCTGAATCCAATCACCGTAAGAGCATTGTCCAGCAGGATCTAACCGAGGCCTTTGCACGTTATAACGAGGAGGAAGTTGAGGCAGATTCCGAATATAAGGACGCCATGATGGAGATGATGGACGAATCTCTAAACACACTGCGGCAGATGTTTAATAAGAACAACACCAAGAGACTGGAAGAAGATGAACGAAGGCAGAGGTTAGTTGACTTGAAAAAACAAAGCAAAGATCCCAACTTCCGCCGACAGAGGAAAGAATTTGATGGCGTGATGAATGACCTCCACAATGCATTCGATAACCTGAAACAGCAAGAGATGACAGCGAGCTCGGAGTTTGAGACTCTTATGTCGGACAGGAAGGAGTGTGTTCTTCAGGAACTGAGACGCGGCTACGCAGCCCGTTGGGTGGACAAAATATCCGCCAGGGAGAAGGCGAGGCGGATCCAAGAGGAGGAGAACCTTTTACTCCAGAAAGACCCATACCGGGATCAATTGCTGAAGGTTGTGTCAAGAGTCCAGAGGCAGATGATCCTCCAGAAGTTTGCTGGCCGCTGGATTAACCTGGCTGGAGCGCGCAAGATCGAGGAAGAGATAGATGACCTTGAAGGCATTGAGAACGACCGCGATAAGAAGTTGAAAGCAACTAGAATACGAGCGCGTCGTCCGTCTTGTGTTGTGAGCGGCATTGGTGATTGACTCTTAAAACAGTCCTTGTTAATTCGCAACAATGCCCTTGTTGGAAAATCAAAAGCATTTTCTTTCATCCATGATTTGATTCACTTTTGTAAACAACTTTCATTTATCCTTTTTTTTGAAACATTGTGACCATAGCTCTAACTACCCAAACCTTTTGCCATTTAAGTATATTATCATTTGAATTCAAAATGTTTTTGCTATTTTTCAGTCCGTAGGCTCACATAACACTTGCTTTTGGCTTCAAAGATTCAAGCTCGTGATGCATACTTCTGCGTTAAATAAATCTTTATTATGTTCACGAAGTTCATGTCTTCTTTTGTTGAGATACCTCTCAAGTTAGATAATGGTTAAGAAGTATTTGTTTGTTGTTTAATTTTTTGTTTCATATTTTACCGCTTTTCTGCAATAATTTGAGGTCTGTAAATAATCGAGTCAGAACCAGACTCCCCAGTGATTGACATCATGACCCCATCTCGTAAGTCTCCTCTTATGACGAGCATGGGGTGGTCGGATATTCACAATCGCTTTTTTTTTTTTTTTTTGTGGGGTGGGGGTGTGGGGGTGGTTAATTAATCGAACTATCGATACACTGTCATTGTCCATGACCAGTAGACAATGCATCGATGATAATTATATAATTATAATCAAGTCTTAACATAGATGCCACAACCACAGTGTCGATAATTTTTCAATATTTGGTGTGAGTGACGAAAATGTTTATGAGACAGAAGTCAGAGGAATACCTCCCGTAGCTCCGTCTGAACGCCCCAAGCCATATGCTGAATCTAGACTCGGGGACGTAGTAGGCGTTGTCTAAACAAGAAAATGTACAAGATACGTATGAATGTGTCGCAATAATATTTTTAAACAGCTGAACCTATACCTTTTAATAGTACTGCAACAGTACTCTTGCACTAAATATTCTATCTGATTGGGTTATTTGGGAAGATGTATTCTGGTGTTGCTGTCGTGACTGGCCTTCCAGGACTGGGACTGTCTTCAAGGCTCTCGCTGTTACGCTTAAACGTTGCTGTACAACTCTAGGGTAATGTTGGGACTCGAGTTGTACTCATAACTTCATGATGATGTTCAATGTTAAGTCCATTTTCTTCAAGAAGCTCCTCACTGCACGGTCCTCTAGTTTGTCCGATGATGGGGTAGCCTAGTGGTTAAAGCGATCACTCGTCAAGCCGAAGACCCAGTTCGATTCTCCACATGGGTACAATGTGTGAAGCCCATTTCTAGTGACCCTCGCCGTGATTATTGCTAGAATATTGCTAAAAGTGGCGTAAAGTCCTACTCACTCCTCCCGTTTGTCGATGTTCAAAGACCCCTGTTTGTGGCATGGCCCTTTTACAGCGAAACTGTTTGCCCAATCGACCGACTTTATATACATACCTAAATGACATACGATAATGTCCACAGCAAATGAACGATTTCGTTAATTGGAGGTTTAGAACGTGCCTGTCAAATCTCGAAGTCCATGCTAATTTATTTACCAGCAGATCATTTTGTCACGGATGAGGATTATTGTTCGACCAAATTAGGGGAGCAAACAGCATGATCAGTTGAACTAGTGAAAAAATGTGATGTAGTGAGTGAGTGAGTTATTATTTAACGTCACATCGGTGATGTAACTCATTAGAATAGCCCAATGATGACTACTGCTACAGAGTAACAACGTGTCTGCATTGTGTTTTACAACCAGTTGTTGTAACATTCAAACCAGTGGTTAATATTCTTAACAACATGCCACTTTGATGTACAACAGGATTGTCTCTAAGGTGACATAATCCCCCGCGGAAAATTATCAAATCAAACTTAAAAAGTAATGAAAGTTTAAGATGAAGTTAAATGTCAACAAAAACATGACCAGTCAACCTCTCTTGATATCATGCTCTTTAGTTGTTAAAACACACAAATATTTTCAAGACTGACTTTGACCTTGACATGAATGTCATAGTGTATGAAATATGCAAAAGTGGTACTAAAGAAATTGCTTATTGAAAAATATTCAAGGGAAGTCTTGAAAGTTTATGAAGAAAATCGAGTGAATTCAGGTTTACATGCTGAAATCTTCAAAGTGTCGCAGTGACCATGAAAATAATGTGAAGGTCACCAAAACTGACTGGGACCTGCGCCTTCATTAGATGAAGCTTGGAGTCAAATATGAAAAAAATCCAGTGAATGTTTTTTGCGATAACTTGCTGACTATCTTAACATGCAATTTAACATGGTGAAATCTTCAAAGTGTCTGTGTGACCTTGAAAATTACGTGAAGGTCACCAAAATCAACTTGGCCTTGCACTTTCCCTAGATGAAGCTTGGTGTCAAATATGAAGAAAGTCCAGTGAATGATTCTTGAGGTATCTCGCTGACCATCTTAAAATGCAGGTTAACATACTGAAATCTTCAAAGTGTTGCTGTGACCTTGAAAATTAAATGAAGGTCACCAAAATCGACTGGGCCCTGCGCCTTCCCTGGATGAAGCTTGGTGTTGAATATGAAGAAAATCTAGTGAACGGTTCTTGAGACATCTCGCTGACAAGGGTAAAACGTTAACGTCCCCTTGTGACCTTGAAATGAAGGTCAAGGTTACCAAACCTGACTGGGACCTTACTTATACTGTGATGACCTAGGTACCAAATATGAAAAGACCCTAGTCAACGGTTCTTAAGATATTCCAATTCGTATGTACGTACGTACGGACGGGGCCTAATACTACACCCCCGCTTCGCGCTAAACGTGCGGCGGGGGATAATAACACACTGAACTTGACCATGAATTGATCCACCCAGGGTGAAGATGGCATTAATGTTAGCCGACATGGTCTCTGCTGATCTAACTGGGCCATGGTACTAGATGTTTTCAAGGCTGTTGTGATGAAGCAGGTTTGCTTGTGATCTGATGACTAAACCAAGGATGCTGACCAAGTTATGTGATGCAGCAGATTTTCTGAAGTGGTCGGTTGTGGTCATCTGATAAATTGAAATACTGACTAAGCTTGGTGACTGGGAACGTTTTTTCCTGGCGACATTCTTTACAAGGTGTCTGGGCAAGATGGAACGGCTTCTTGGTGGATTTCTTTAAGGGTTTCTTGCAATTTGGAAGGATTTCCTGGTGGATTTCTTTACAGGGTTTCTGGGCAAGTTGGAATAGTCTTCCTGGTGGTATTCCTTGGATGGTTACAAGGTGACTGTGACAAGCGGAAATATTTTCCTGGTGACATTCTTTATAAGGTGACTGGGCAAGTTGGAAGGGTTTCCTGGTGAATTTCTTTATAAGGTGACTGGGCAAGTTGGAAGGGTTTACTGGTGGATTTCTTTATAAGGTGACTGGGGAAGTTGGAAGGATTTCCTGGTGGATTTCTTTACAGGGTTTCTGGGCAAGTTGGATGAGTCTTCCTGGTGGTATTGCTTACAAGGTGACAAGCGGAAAGATTTTCCTGGTGGCATTCTTTATAAGGTGACTGGGCAAGTTGGAAGGGTTTCCTGGTGAATTTCTTTATCAGGTGACAGGGCACGTTGGAAGGGTTTTCCTGTAGGTATTCTTTATAATGACTGGGCAAGTTGGAAGGGTTTACCGGTGGATTTCTTTATCAGGTGACTGGGGAAGTTGGAAGGGTTTCTTTTTCTTTATCAGGTGACTGACTGGAAGGGTTTACCGGTGGATTTCTTTATCAGGTGACTGGGGAAGTTGGAAGGGTTTCCTGGTGAATTTCTTTATAAGGTGACAGGGCAAGTTGGGAGGGCTTTACTTGTGGATTTCTTTATAAGGTGACTGGCCATGTTTCAAAGATTTACTTGGTGACATTCTCTACCCAGTGACTGGGCAGTTGAAAGTTTTTTTCTTGTTGCATTCTTTACAAGGTCTGGGGGATAGCAATTACAGTGCCATGGTGGAGTTCTGCCCTCTACTAAATAGAAAACTCTCAGAAAAGACATCTCAAATTTTCCCTCAAACTTAACTCAACAAATATGTCTTACAAATGTTTTCTCTAAACTGACAATCGTTTTTTCACCAAGGACAATACATTGCAAGACAATACACAGAACAGTTCAAGAATGTCATTTATTTACAATGTCTGTACACTGTACAATAATTACAGAGCATATACACAGGAAATATATATCATACAATGCATGTACAAACTGCACAATAAATATACTATATTCCAGATATGCTCTATTATTTATGCTGTCAATTATTCTAGTTTATTACTCATTCTAATAAATAGCATCATCAATCAGCTGCATCTCCACAGTTGTTTATAAGATACTAAACATCTTGTCAAATTTATTTAAGAACATTTAAGAAAGAAAAAAGTAAACTTATTCCGCACAGACTTGTAGCTACAAACATGGCATTGGCTGTCATCACACCAATCACAGAGATGCCAACCCCTAATAATATTAGTTTCAAGGATCCAAATTAGTAGTTTGGTCATAACACTAGTAGACAGCTAAATACTTAAAATCATGATGGATTCTGAGAAAGATAATATGGCACTAATCAAGAGTGAAGCTTTCATTTCACATACCTCCAACAGCAGATTTCCAAATTATCATCTTTACATTTCTTGTTCTTGTCTCTTTTTGGCGAAAATGTATTTAATCGACGAAAATATATGTTATGGTCTATACATCCGATTTTTAATGAAGTTTCTTCAATTCGTAGAATTTCTAGTGCAGTCGTATTGGCGTAGTTTGAGGCTAAAATGTGTAGGGACTACAATAAAATCATAGAGGTTGGCATCCCTGCAATCATTATTTGTATCCAAATTTATATCAACAACTATTTTGCATAATCAGCTCACAAAATTACCTCATTGAATATTCATCAAATACATTAATAAGTTTTTGCAGGTTTACATGACAATGCTTATTTGGAGAACTCATTGCTAGGTCATTTTATAAATGACATTTTGACACAGATGAGACAAACATTTATCAACCTTCCTCAAATTATTAACCCATGAGTGAATGCTCTTTCACAGATACATATTACAGGCAATCATGTCTTCATAAAGTGTATATTTCAAAACAAGTACACATTGTAACTGTTAACACACCCAGTCGATCTATAAACCAAAGGAAATCAGTTCTGGTTGGATAAATATTAATAATGATAGAAAATATGGGTGCACCACTTCATCGCAGAGTGTCTTTATTTGTTTTCATATTTTCACACCTTAGTGCAAAACAAAGCTTGTGAGGAAACCTTCGAAAAGAATGATATAACATTTGTACTTTCATATGTCCCCTTATTAGTTTCCCTCAGTATATAATAATAATTACGTCAATGTGTGTAAACAAATGAGAAACTGGACATGAAAGTTACTGGTTACTTCCAGGAGTACTGATAACTATTGAGCATGTGAAGCACCTGACAGGATATAATACACAGGAATGGTGCATAAAATGTATTCGCTTCAACCCATTTGCAGTGTGTGAAATAAGGCCTGTCCAACCGCCCGAGACGGTCTAGATTTCTGACAGATGGTCTAAATTTACAGCTAGCCAGGCCGATGGAATGGTAATTTTTTTTTAGATGTTCCATACATCTGTGTAAATTCACCATATTTGGTCTGTTTAAATCCATTTTGGGCAGATAACATTTTGAAGTTACCGGCCCTGATGTCTGGCTGGACTTTTGGCTTATTTCATACACTGCTATTTGCTACCTATTTTACTTTGTTAAAGCATGGTATATCTGTATACTTCATTACCATACAATGATGAAATTTTTTAATAATAACATTAACGTATACTGTACTTGTATAGTGGCAAATTCCATGTCTGTCAGTATTTGTGTCGATTAAGTTTCATTGACATAAGAACTATGTGTGTTCACAAAGCATCACTTGTAATATACCAGCAATATCACAGAAAATTGAGTTTACTCATTGTACCCATGTTGGGAATTAAACACAATAATTCAGCACACCTGATAAACACCTTAACTTCAAGGCTACCCTACCGCCCCCTGATCTCTGAAAACAGATCCAATTGTTGTACAAGGTTCAGATTCGCCATTTCGTAAGTGTTCCCAAGTGCTTATTACTATGAATGTGGTAATACAGTGGAATCTGTGTATGACGAACTTGCCTGGGACTGACTCATTTGTCTGGATTATAAAGCAGTCCGGACTAGTCAACTTTTGTCTGTTACCGTCAATAAGTTTCACTTTGTCACCAAGTGACAAATCAGACCACCTACATTTCGCTGGTCGGTCTGCCATAACTATGAAGTGAATGTAAAACTTAGGACTATAGGACTTCAAACTGACACTGAGTTAATCTTATCAAATTAAATAATGTTTGTTTATAGAATGAATTAACCATTGAGAACAGAAGTAACGGAGATGTTTATTCAACGGACTGTTATTTTAGTCAGCTATGTCCAGATTGCAAAGCATTGTTCTCATAGCAATTTTATTGTTGGGACTGTTATTTTAGTCTGTAATCCAGATTCTGTAGTCTGAGTCCGGATTATAAAACAATCTTTAATGATAAATTAAGGACAATTTGCCTGGACTCAGAGAGTAGTCTGGATTATGGAGACAACTGGATAACACAGAGTCCGAATTTGACAGATTCCACTGTGTATTGTTCTCAGAATGAGGCTAAAGACATACAAGTTTCACAGAAAAAGATCCATTAGCACCAGATCTTATTGCTGCTCATCAAACAGAGGAAGGTTTAACCCTGGTCCTAGTTTTAGTTAACCAGATAGGTCACAACGTATTCACAATTTACACAGGACAGTACACAGTACATTTATCTGTGTGTCAACTCATAAAGAAATACTTACAAAGTCTGAAATAGCCCGATGGACATTGTGGACTAGCACTGCTGAAATGACACAGAATAGAATCAAACTGACCACTAATCTAAGTTGATAGTGACAACCTACTGTTAGTTGGGCCACTGCAGTGGCTGAGTTTTATGCTACGTTGCAATATATCAGCAATTTCGCAGCAAGGTACAGCAGAAACACACTGTGTATCACTGATGTATCACTTATGTATCACTTATGTATCATCATCAGCCCTCACAGATGATTTATGGCACATATAGACCGCCGCCGTGGTGTAGTGGTTAGAGCGTCCGCCCGGAGAGCGGAAGGTCTCGGGTTCGATCCCCGACCGCGTCATACCAAGAGACGTTAAAATATGGTACTTGTTGGTCCCTGCCTGGCGCTCAGCATTATGGGTACAAGGACTGGTCGGCTCGGAGTCAGTATAATGTGTCTGAGTGGGGTATTCATGTCCACTGCTTGGTATCTCAGTGGGCTAGCACTAAAAAACCAGCTTAAGTCTGGGCTAGTACAAGCAGCCGCACATACACATACACACGCATGCACATCGTCATATGAGCGAAATATTCTCAAGCAGGACGTTAAACCCAATTTCACCTCACCTCATGGCACCATATGCTCAACCTGACCTTGGTGACAAGGAAAAGAGGGGTAACACTCAACAACTCCTGATGTAAGGAGAAATACTTCAGCAATATTGCAGCTGGGGTGACAAGAAGCTGGTTCCAGAAACTGCATTTAAGAGGGGAATCAAACCCAGGCCTCTGGTTAGCAGAATGAACGCTTTAACCACAAAGTTTACCCAGCATCCCCATACAATGGTGGTGTTATGGAGATAGCATTCACTAAAATTGAGAGCATGACTACAATCTTGATTCAGTGTTGCAAAGTTGTGTGAAGGACTTTCATTGGGATAGTACTAGTAACTAGTCTACAAACATAATTTAATGATTTGATTATATTGGATGAGTGAGTTTGGTTTTATGCCGCTTTTAGTAATATTCCAGCAATATCACGGCGGGGGACACCAGAAATGGGCTTCACACATTGTACCCATGTGGGGAATCGAACCCGGGTCTTCTGCGTGACGCTTTAACCACTAGGCTACCCCACCCCCCCCTTATATTGGATGATTTACAAAGATATGTCTATAGGTATATGCATTGAATCCCAAAAGGAATATATTAAATACATAATCTGGATCAAACAAAATGAATGTTAAAAAGAATATAAACTCTTTCCAACTTTACAATATTATTATTAACAGACGGTAAATCTTATACACATAATTGCAACAAACATAATATGCTGTTATCTGTCACAGACAGTATTGCACTCTTGTGTGAATCTCTTCTCCATTGGACTGGTTAGGTATGAGAAACGTCTATCTGGTATCAGGATATTGTTAACATGATAAACAGACTTGGAAGAGATCCCACATACAACAGGTGTTCCTTCCCTCTTGTGAAACCATGTTTCATTCGAAAATTTTATCAGGTTCACATATTATTTACATCCAAATCATTTTGATGTTTTTTGATGGTACTGAAATAACTTCAACCTGACAATCATCCCATCTTTGATATGGTGTTGGAAGTTTTTTTTACAAATACCGGAGACACAATGAAAACCTGTATATCCAATAAGCACTGATTCACAGAGACACAGCAAAACGCTTTACTTACTAAGTATAGAACATTCCAATGAATTTTCAGAAAAGGCAGGTTTCCAGATAAAAAAGTTTCAAGCGTATGAATATTGATCTCAAACAATATCAACATCGATCTACATATGATTATCAATATAGTCAAGAAAGACAGACATTCTTGTCCAACAAACTTGCTCTCATTAAATCACAATTAATAATCAATCCCTGTACATCTATTACAAAATTATTATATTTACCATTTTATGGAACCCTTATAACAAACATCAACATTTCCCCAATAACAAATAACAAAGAAATGAAGTAAAACGTCAAACATCAAGACACAGTTGCCACATATATTCCACTGCCATTATCAATTGACCAATATTAGATCATCCGCTCACAAATTCTATAAATTCACATACCCTACTAATTCACATTCTAAGATGCCTAGTGGTTAGAATAATCGGAAAAAAATACATTATCAGACAATAAAGGTATAGTTTTTTGATGACGTAACAATTGAATGACGTTATCCCGTCACTGCGCCATTCTAGTGTGCCCCCTCGTGATCGAACCATTTTACATTACGTCACAATGTAAGCGACGTCACGATGCATGTCAGTTGTCATCGCCTCGTACGGCCTCCTACAGTAAACTACTCCGTTGCATCCCGTTTCTTGGTTTGCTGTTGCTTCACGCAGCTAACATCACTGGTGGAAACATTACGTTTATGTTTTACGACGGTTAAAATGTGTCAATTCGACTCACAAGTTTTCAGCGACACGGTAACGTTTGCAATATTTACATTCCCACAATGCAATCGTGGAATGTCGCTTGACTACTCAGCTTCATCTGGATGTACTGATCTAAACTTACGTTGGTAGTAGAAATGCGACGTTCATATTACCCCATATGGTTTATGTTAATGACAGATGTAATTAAAATAATTCAGAGAAGATATTTAATCCGAACGTAAACTGTCATCAAACTGTTATCATTTGTTTTTTTCTGGTAACGCAAGCGTCCTCGTACTTTAACTATAATAGTTCAGGGCGAAAGTGTGTTTTATTACTCTATACATGGTGGTAGAGCGAACTGTATTTCTTAATTACATACTACTTAAAGGTTTCACGGTAAGTGGGGATAGCAGCACACAGCCTTCCAAGTGCAGGTCATCTTCAACTGGTTTTGAGTCACTTATGATATATTATAAGTTGTTCACTGGTCACGAGGGGAACATGGGTTTTTTGAACCCTCTATGTTTGTTTGTGTTCCCTGAGTCCAAACAGCAAGGGGAACATAAACAAACATAGAGGGTACATCAACCCATGGGCCCCCGAGGGACCAGTGAACAACATATTTATCTTACCGAACACCTCAATGTTAATTTCTAACAGTTAGACGCACAGGTATCGGATCACAATAAGGAGTACCAGAGTTAGGCAATTAGCCAATACCGACAACAACCAAACGCTGCTAACATGAAGAACCAAATCCCCACAGTTCGGCATTCCTAGTGGGTAACATACAAAATGTTACTCGCTTGTAAGCACTGTACATTGATTGGCTCAGCCAATCAGAAAACGACATTTATATGTGAGGTAAGATAAATATTTTTTTTACACTTTTGTAAGTAGTGCACATAGGACCTTCCATGGTGTGTGGTATTCTCTCTCTCAACTGATCTGGGACTTGCACTACAGAGTGATGTTCGTGCTATAGCTATGGACATGACTGCTGGTCCACTAGTCAGTGACAAGTAACAATCAAGATGGACTAGTTATTTTTATACTCAAATCTAGTTATTTTCCTTAACCACTAGTCTGACAGGAGCTGTGGACTAGTTGGATCTGACCAATGACATCTACTTCTGTAACCTGTGTACAGTTTGTTGTGGTCATTATATTATATTAATTCTACCACAATTAAAGATTTTTTTCTTGACTGCTGCCCTGACGCATTGCCCTCCATTAAGTGATTTTACTGCTATGATTGTCATACATCTATACTACCCATCAAAAGTTTAGACTCACTAGTGTAAATGTAGCTTACATTAGTCAACTGTTCTAAACTAGATTTTGCGAAATATTATATACTGTTTAAAGGTACTGTACAACAAATTCGTAACTTTGAAAAGATTATTGTCATGAGTTAAATAAATGAAAAAACTCAGTGAAAATTGGCAAATTCTTTACAAAACTTTACACCAAAACACAGCTGTTCACATGCACAATATTTTCACATGATTTTCAGCAATTTGATGCATGATCCTCGTGCAATTCATCTGCATAAGGTTTGCAGTAGGTTCCCCCAAGTTAGTGGAGAAATTCATCTTCGATGTAACAAAATATATATATGTACATAACATATAGTGAGTGCTTAAGTGAGTCTAAACTTTTGGTGAGTAGTATATGTTGAAGTATGTGAGTTACAATCATCAAAGCGCTAAGATCGTCTTGAGGAACTAGGGCCAGGTAAATTCCCAGGCAGTTGTTGGAATACGACTTCTGACACACGTAGTCACATGCACGCACGCATGCACACACACACACACACACACACATACACTGGACAACTCTCAGGAACATATATAGCAGATTACATCACATTATGTAGGTTGGTTAAGATCTTTTTATCACAATACCGTTTTATTATGGTAACCATGGTAACACATCTTGGAAAATTCATTAAAACTCACCAACCATCCATAAGAAAGTGTAATCCCAATTACAACATGTCACATGACCACTTTCTAATTGGCATTGTGTATTCATAGCTTTCAAGCTTAGGTGCCATGCCAATTTACACTTGTCAGAAGGGTACACAAAGTAGGTGATCGTGACTGCCAGTTGTCCGATTTTGTGGAAGCCGTGGTGGCTGAGTGGGTTAGATCTCTAAATTTGTGTGCTGGCAATAAGGTGACAGTAGGAGTACAGGTTCGAATACCAGATGGGATGCAACCCCTAAAAGTACTAGCATCTATAGTTTAAAGAGAGAATGTAATCCCCAAAATAACGCATGAAATTATGACAACCTGGCTAAATATGACCTCAAACAACAATGATTCTACGTGAATCTGCATCTGTATCATGTAGATAAGACGGCAGAGCCTCTTGAGGCAAATACTTGGTTATCAACATTATATATCCTTAAAATAAAAGCAAATAGACATTTGTTTAGGTATTAGTGATCTCATGGAACCTGTATTAGAATGTATAAATTGTGCATGTAAATCACAGTTCTTTCTTACAAATGTATGCTTCACAATACACTTTTTGGGGATGGTATTTTGGGCGATTTCAAATATCACTTTTCAGTGTGTTTTCAAAGTAATTCGTTTTAAAATAAGAAAGTTCCTTGATCATATTTGTGCCCCCTCTGTGCATTCATATATCTTCATTCATTTCCATCAAGCAAATGTCATAATTTGAATGCATTCATTAAAAACATCATTAATAGGGCTGCAAAGATTCACCCAGACCTCGATTCGATTCGATTTTCGATATTGGACCTTCGATTCGATTCTTCATACACGTAAAAACATCAGATTTCATTTAACTCTCAATCGGCTTTCTCAGCGTGAAATCCATTTTCAACTTGGCAATGTCTACTAACAACAATCCTCATTGGATAATTAACCCGGCATCAATCAATCACGTTTCGCCTTATTTCAGGGCTCGAAACTGCTTGAGTTGGAGACAAAATTACGTTCTGTGCAGAATTAATTTAAATAAGTATTCAAATATCGAATCGAAATAGTGATAATGGTTATCGAAAATCGAAACTAATGTGTCAGATTCGATTTTCGATGATTCGCACCGAATCGTTGCAGCCCTAATCATTAATATATACTACACCATTACATGAACCAGTTTAGAGTCAATCACAGTGACATCTCAAACTTCAAACAGTCATATGTTTGCCATATCTAAGATTGCTTTGTGAGCACGGCCAAAGGAAAGACCCCTTTCCTGGATTTCTAGCACCAAATCAGCCTGTGATATTTTCCAAGACATATTACCATCTGTTCAGGATTGGAATTAGCACAGCATATTATTATGACACAACCTTTGCCGTATTCAGATAATCCTCTGTCAAGCATGTGTCAGGAGACGACTCGCGTTCATTCCCAACTAAAGTCCGAAACGCGCCTGTTTTGAACGTCGCGATTGGTGGAATGTCTGTCTGTGTCACGTCCTGGTTCTCCGTGAACAATTTATCACAATCACTTCTTACCGATTCCGTCTCGTCACCAAGTTCCTGGTTTCCATGTTTACGGTGCTGTAAACGTTCTTCCCCTGAGGAAATGTCCCCCTCGTCGTATGACACGCTCGGACTGGACGTGCTGTCACTATTATCGAAGTGTATATGGAGCGTGGCCTTGAGAGCTTCCATATCATTTAACTTCTCATCTTGGTCAATCAGTGCCTCACTGCCTTGCAAGTCAATCACAGCCTTGTCAAAATCCTCAACAGACGCGTTTATATTAACGTTACCACCAGGTGGAGCTGACTGGCTAATCTTGAAGAAATCATCGTCATTTGCCTCGAATAGAGTGTCTGTTTCATCAAATTCCTTTTTCCTGTCCTTGTTTTCCCGGTTTTCCTTGTCCTCGAGGTCGGACGTGTTGGTTGTGTCATTGTTGGAACTGTCGTCCTGCTGGGCGGAGATCACCTCCTCCTTACGGGCGAGACTGGAGGCAGAACTGGAGCCAGCGATGCTCCTCGTACTGTCCCGTGCTGTGGAGCTGGTGATGCTATTTCCTGTACCACTAGTTGGAGTGAGGGACCGAGTAGAAGGTCCGTCTCTGTTAACACAGATAATTATGCATGTAGATGTACTCATTACACAATTTGTTACATAAATCAAACAATTCATAAATTATACAGTAGTAAGCATAATAATATTTCATTAGAAAATGCCATTTTTACTCGGCAACAATTTAACTGTCTCAGGGATGAAACATATTAAATTCTTGATTAAGAAAAACCTTTAACCTTTCGGAGTAGAGGGTAAGTTAACAATTTGATGACAACAAGAATACAGTGATCTTGTCAAACAGGAACAAGCCATATTGCATAAGTTGGGTTCAATGCCACTTAGAACAAGCATTGTCACTAAGGTGACATAATCCCCCGCGGCAAATTATCAAATCAAACTTATAAAGTAATGAAAGTTTAAGTTAAATGTAAAAAAAACCATGACCAGCCAACCTCTCTTGATATCTTGCTCTTTAGGTGTTCAAACACACACATATTTTCAAGACTGACTTTGACCATGACATGAATGTCATAGTGTATGAAATATACAAAAATAGTACTAAAGAAATTGTTTATTGAAAACATTCAACGAAAGTCTTGAAAGTCTATGAAGAAAATCCAGTGAACCGTTCTTGAAATATCTTGCTGACAATTCAGGTTAATATGCTGAAATCTTCAAAGTGTTGCCATGACCGGGAGCGGTTCTCATGACCGTGACAACTATGTGAAGGTCACCAAAATTGACTAGGCTCTGCGCCTTCCCTAGATAAAGCTTGGTGTCAAATATGAAGACAATCCAGAGAACGGTTCTTCAGATAGCTTAACATGCACATAAAACGTTAAAGTCCCCTTGTGACCTTGAAATGAAGGTCAAGGTCACCAAACCTGACTTGGACCTTTCTTATACTGTGATGAACCTAGGTACCAAATATGAAAAGAATCTAGTAAACAGTTCTTAAGATATTCCAATTAGTACGTATGGACGGACGGAGCCTAATAGTATATCCCCCGCTTCGCGCTAAACGTGCAGCGGGGGATAAAAATGCTTGTGGGGGGAGGATGTCCCAGAAAGATGCAGGTCTTACAAGTCAAGTAGGGTGAGTGAGTGAGTTTAGTTTTACGCCGCACTCATTCCATACGCAATATTCCAGCTATATGGCGGCGGTCTGTAAATAATCGAGTCTGGATCAGACAATCCAGTGATTAACAGCATGAGCATCGATCTGCGCAATTGGGAACCGATGACATGTGTCAACCAAGTCAGTGTGTCTGACTACCCCATCCCATTATTTGCCTCTTCCGACAAGCATGGGTTACTGAAGATCAATATTCTAACCCGGGCCTTCACAGGTAGTCAAGTAGGGAACATGTGATCAACTTACAGTTTAACTCCAAGCCTGAGTTCCAGCAGGGTCCTGAAGTTGGGCAGCGTCAGTCGGAGGTCAGTCGTCCCGAGGCCACAGCAGAACCGGATCTGAACACACACACGGAACATTCATCAACACGTAGGTGCCAGTTAGCCCCGGCAATACAACATCCTCTCATGTTGTTTTCCCAACAAGTTACATAAAGTCATTCAGGTGTTGACAAAGGAACTGACTGTCTTGATATTCTTATGGAGGAACATTAAGATAAGACATAGTGTGAGTGAGTGAGTTAGGTTTTACACTGCTTTTAGCAATATTCCAGCAATATCACGGGGTACAACAGAAATGGACATCATACATTGTGCCAATGTGGGGGATCGAACTCGGGTCTTCGGCTTGACGAGCGAACGCCTTAACCACTAGGCTACCCCACCGCCCCTGATAAGACATAGGATTGGTTTCCTATGGTGTAATGCACATACAGAAACAGAAGCATAAAACAGGAAGAGGAATGTCCATCTCACATTTCATCCTATTTAATATAAAGGCCCTTATTGCCCACTTAAAGAAAGGATAGATTCCAGCAATGACATAGTGGAGGGACACCACAAATGGGCTTCATAAATTTTACCTACAAACTTTTAAACATCGGTACTAAAATGCTCTGTTACGGGTGTAGCCTAGTGGTGTATTTGTGGGGGCGGGTTCGGGGGTAGCCTAGTGGTTAAAGTGTTTGCTCATCACGCCGAAGACCCAGGTTCGATTCCCCACATGGGTACATGTGTGAAGCCCATTGATATTGCTAGAATATCGCTAAATGCGGCATAAAATAATACTTACTCACTCGTGTATTTCTGCATTGGAACTCACCTGACTGATGTTTTTATTGAGAAGAAAGACGCCATAGTTGAACTGAAACTTCTCCTTTCCCTTGCTGTAGAGTGGGAAGCTAAAACACAACACCATCAAATCATATGAACAAAATGCATCTCGCTTTTTGTGCTGTTCCTTTAGTTACCAATGCGCCCTTGTAACAAACAGGGAAAACGCTCAAATAAATGATTACAGTTTCTTAAACAACTTTATTTATTTTTGTGACACAAATTATGCAAGTTTTTTCTAGAGTTGGTCTGTTGTGTTTATTGCAGTCCACGTTGGTTTGATTCTTTTATGTCTATTTGTTTTTGTCTTAGATTGCAATTCATCGGTATTATTTTGTCTCAAACGGACTGTCACGTTCTTGTTAACACCTGACGCAAATATCAGTTGATTCATACACAAACTCCCATTAGCAGATTAATATCTGAAAATGCTTAAATTTTTATAAAAGAATTCCTCAATGTATCTTAAAAGATGAGCGTTATTTCACATACTCTCTGTCTTTGTCCGAGAGCTTCGTGTGTATATGATCTTTGATCTGTGACCTTGAGCCTCGATGAATCATCATATATCGCAATGGAAGGTCAAGGAACTGGGACACCATCATTGTCAGGTGACAGGTGTACCCAAGTCCAACTGCTATCATTGTCTCGTCTTGACCTGCAGGAAGTAAAAACATGTGCTTGTGAAAAACAGTGTCATATTGTTTGTTTTCTGTTAAATGCTGCATTTAGTAATATTCCAGCTAGTTGACAACAACCTTTAAAAAAATCATGTCTGGACCCAACAATCCAGTGATTACTTTGTGACCAATGATCCACACTGTCTTGTCATGCTGACACTCAATAAACCAACTGATTGAGCCTGAACACTTTGTGACCAATGATCCACACTGTCTTGCCATGCTGACACTCAATAAACCAACTGATTGAGCCTGAACACTTTGTGACCAATGATCAAAACTGTCTTGTCATGCGTACACTCAATAAACCAACTGATTGAGCCTGAACACTTTGTGACCAATGATCCACACTGTCTTGTCATGCTGACACTCAATAAACCAACTGATTGAGCCTGAACACTTTGTGACCAATGATCCACACTGTCTTGTCATGCTGACACTCAATAAACCAACTGATTGAACCTGAACACTTTGTGACCAATGATCCACACTGTCTTGTCATGCTGACACTCAATAAACCAACTGATTGAGCCTGAACACTTTGTGACCAATGATCAAAACTGTCTTGTCATGCGGACACTCAATAAACCAACTGATTGAGCCTGAACACTTTGTGACCAATGATCCGCTCTGTCTTGTCATGCTGACACTCAATAAACCAACTGATTGAGCCTGAACACTTTGTGACCAATGATCCACACTGTCTTGTCATGCTGACACTCAATAAACCAACTGATTGAGCCTGAACACTTTGTGACCAATGATCCACACTGTCTTGTCATGCTGACACTCAATAAACCAACTGATTGAGCCTGAACACTTTGTGACCAATGATCCACACTGTCTTGTCATGCTGACACTCAATAAACCAACTGATTGAACCTGAACACTTTGTGACCAATGATCCACACTGTCTTGTCATGCGTACACTCAATAAACCAACTGATTGAGCCTGAACACTTTGTGACCAATGATCCGCTCTGTCTTGTCATGCTGACACTCAATAAACCAACTGATTGAGCCTGAACACTTTGTGACCAATGATCCACACTGTCTTGTCATGCTGACACTCAATAAACCAACTGATTGAGCCTGAACACTTTGTGACCAATGATCCACACTGTCTTGTCATGCTGACACTCAATAAACCAACTGATTGAGCCTGAACACTTTGTGACCAATGATCCACACTGTCTTGTCATGCGGACACTCAATAAACCAACTGATTGAGCCTGAACACTTTGTGACCAATGATCCGCTCTGTCTTGTCATGCTGACACTCAATAAACCAACTGATTGAGCCTGAACACTTTGTGACCAATGATCCACACTGTCTTGTCATGCTGACACTCAATAAACCAACTGATTGAGCTCTGAACACTTTGTGACCAATGATCCACACTGTCTTGTCATGCTGACACTCAATAAACCAACTGATTGAGCCTGAACACTTTGTGACCAATGATCCACACTGTCTTGTCATGCTGACACTCAATAAACCAACTGATTGAACCTGAACACTTTGTGACCAATGATCCACACTGTCTTGTCATGCTGACACTCAATAAACCACCTGATTGAACCTGAACACTTTGTGACCAATGATCCACACTGTCTTGCCATGCTGACACTCAATAAACCAACTGATTGAGCCTGAACACTTTGTGACCAATGATCCACACTGTCTTGTCATGCTGACACTCAATAAACCAACTGATTGAGCCTGAACACTTTGTGACCAATGATCCACACTGTTTTGTCATGCTGACACTCAATAAACCAACTGATTGAACCTGAACACTTTGTGACCAATGATCAACGCTGTCTTGTCATGCGTACACTCAATAAACCAACTGATTGAGCCTGAACACTTTGTGACCAATGATCCACTCTGTCTTGTCATGCGGACACTCAATAAACCAACTGATTGAGCCTGAACACTTTGTGACCAATGATCCACACTGTCTTGTCATGCTGACACTCAATAAACCAACTGATTGAGCCTGAACACTTTGTGACCAATGATCCACACTGTCTTGTCATGCTGACACTCAATAAACCAACTGATTGAGCCTGAACACTTTGTGACCAATGATCAAAACTGTCTTGTCATGCTGACACTCAATAAACCAACTGATTGAACCTGAACACTTTGTGACCAATGATCCACACTGTCTTGTCATGCTGACACTCAATAAACCAACTGATTGAGCCTGAACACTTTGTGACCAATGATCCACACTGTCTTGTCATGCTGACACTCAATAAACCAACTGATTGAGCCTGAACACGCTTTCCATTTGGTTGCCATATACAACCAGCGAAGGATGCTGGGAGCCTATTGTAATGCAGAATCCCATGGGTCAAGTCAAGACAAGTGATCAACCGTCATGTTACTTTATAGACATAGAGTGGGAAATGTTTGTAATGGGCATGTGAATGAGATGGAGAGCTGACGATATTCCAGATATATCATACCTGCCTAAATATGATCCAATCAGGTCTAGGCACACTTGGGTGAGTTGAGGTGAAGTGAGCTGAGGTCAAAAGGGCTTTAACTCATGTTTTTGTTGAAATATCTCTGTAACAGTGTATGAAATAAGGCCCGTCCGACCGCCCGAGACGGTCTAGATTTCTGATGGATGGTCTTTACAGCTAGCCAGCCCGATGGTCTGGTAATTTTTTTTAGATGTTCCATACATCTGAGTTAATTCACCATAATTTGTGTGGTTAAATCCATTTTGGGCTGGTAACATTTTGAAGTTACCAGCCCTGATGTCTGACAGGATTTTTGGTTTGTTTCATACACTGCTATGACACTTTGTCATGTCCACCAGACTGACTGACTTAGTTTGGTTTTACGCCGCTTTTAGCAATATTCCAGCAACATCACGGTGGGGGACACCAGAAAAGGGCTTCACCATTACACGTAGTTTCTTCCATTGGAGGCTCAAAAAGTATCAGTGAACCCTCGTACATCCTGATGCAATCAGGGTAGTATAACTACATACTGCCACAGTCTGTGTTGATTCTCACCTTGGTAGTCCTCGGCATTAGGCAGCCACACACCACATATACAGATATGCTTCTTCTTGTTCTGTAACCAAAACAACGACTCATTAACTGACCCCCATAAATGAAGTGTTTACATTCTACATGTATATCCTGCTTTCTTATCCTGAAACTTAGAAATAGTAGCACTTAGTTGTAAGGTTAGATATTTGTGTTAGAAATTACAGAAATATTACATGCATACAGTGAGACCTCGGATACCCGACCCCAGATATCTGGAAACCTCGCCTTCGGTCATTTTTAGAAAAACCATTCTCTTACGTTATAAAAGTGACTGTCTATAACGGATATTCGGTTTCCGCTTCCGACGGTACATTTTACAAACAAACCGGCTAAATCAACACAAAATTGACTCACCTATCCGCATCGGCTTTGATCTACCGCTAACCGTGTGAAGGGAAGTGCGAGAGTCCCACGTGTTTTGACACGAGACGTGGTGTCATATATATTATTGTGTCTAATATAGCTTCTCTAAATATCATATTTATTGTAGCAACAAACTGGCTTGCTTATTTTACCCCATTCAACAATCACTTAACTGATTACCGCCTCGCTTTCCATTGACTGCTAGTTTACAGTAACATCGGTAAAATGTGTGAATTTAAATGGTTTCCGTGATTTTACCCCATTCCATGTGCGCATTAATGCTCATGAGGGTCCGTGATAACCTTAGGGTTGATTATATATATTTTACATAAAAACTGTAAATAAAATTCTTTGGGTTAAATAATAGTATTCTGTATTATATTTTACTGACGATCAAGCGCCAGAATTCATCCCGCTATATTATTGTGCATGTTTGAACTTGTTCGGCCGGTAACGGTGCACAGCTGATTGCTATTTCCGGCTTTGTGTAATGAGACAAATACGCACGGTAATCTTAATCCCTGCAAATAATACAATGCCCAGCAAAACAACTTATAACTTAAAAGGTAAATAATCTTGTCTAGTGATGTTTAATTGCAAATTTGACGCCTCTACTGACAAAGTCGCCTTTCTGTTGTTTGTTCACGCCAAGTGATATGATGTTGTTTATTCAGTCAAAGCAATAAAAGTGCAGTGTGTCGATATTCAAGCCAGTTATGTTGTGATGCTGTTTTTGAATGTCTATACATGTATAATAAACCCTTGATGATCATAAATATTTTGGATTTTCCTTGAGGTGTATGAAAACCAAAAATCCAGATATCCGATATTCAATTATCCGGACGATTTACGAAAAACGAATGTGTCCGATATCCGGGATACATGTCTCACTGTATATGGTACATGACCAGGACCTATATATGTACAAGACCTACCTCAGCTATGGGATATATGTACATGACCAGGGATATATGTACATGACCTACCTCTGCTATGGGATATATGTACATGACCAGGGATATATGTACATGACCTACCTCTGCTATGGGATATATGTACATGACCAGGGATATATGTACATGACCTACCTCTGCTATGGGATATATGTACATGACCAGGGATATATGTAAATGACCTACCTCTGCTATGGGATATATGTACAAGACCTACCTCAGCTATGGGATATATGTACATGACCAGGAATAAATGTACATGACGTACCTCTGCTTTGGGATATATGTACATGACCAGGGATATATGTAAATGACCTACCTCTGCTATGGGATATTACAAGACCTACCTCAGCTATGGGATACATGTACATGACCTACCTCTGCTATTGGATATATGTACATGACCTACCTCTGCTATGGGATATATGTACATGACCAGGGATATATGTACATGACCTACCTCTGCTATGGGATATATGTACATGACCAGGGATATATGTACAAGACCTACGACTGCTGTGGGATATATGTACATGACCTACCTCAGCTATGGGATATATGTACATGACCTACCTTTGCTATGGGATATATGTACAAGACCTACCTCTGCTATGGGATATATGTATGTGGCCATCTCTCCCACCAACTGCTTCCTCCGTATCAGCAGCTGTGCGTTCTCCTTCACTAGTGTCTCTCTGTAAGAGAAGATTCAATATCAGCACCTGTTCTGATTCTCTCATCATGATGCTTACACATCACAACTGTTTTATGGTCTGAACAGCTGACAATGATACTTTTCCTCACTATTTCCAATACAGTCTGGCCATTCACTGATAAACCAATGTGGACCCAGGAACACGTTCAAGCTATCTGGGATTCACACAACCAGCAAAGTCAATTTTGGAAAGACTAATGAGAGGTTATCACAAGTAATCTGATCGTTTTCGATCTTCACTGTCAATTTTCTCTTTCTTGGCATATTATTATCTAATCTAGTTATCCCTCTCGCCAAACAACGTCCTTCACAAGACTGCTCAACCGTATTCCTAACTGTACTGACTTTTAAGAACCTCTGACCATTTACAATTTAAAGCTCAAATGAAATGCTCACTGACATAGAAATATTCTTCGATATAATACATATTCTTTTTACATATTTCTCAGTTATTAAAGTGAGAACACTTTAGTAACTTTTTGCTGATGTGTATGCAGTTATCAGTTTGCATGCAAGAAGTGCCCGTTAATTTGGCTCGACTGGATATCGGTTTGGCATTGGAAAACACCCTTCGATGTAACTCTGACTATTGTGGTGAGGTCAGTCACTTGACCTCGAAGTGAGCTGTGAAATGCAAGTTTGATGAATGTAGCAGTGGGGATGACATTTTATGTTTTGAAGAGGGAGCCATCAAGGGCATTTCACGCCCGGATACTTGGGACTCTCAAAAGAGTTCGAGATAACTGGGTTTTGCAACAAAATAAGATTTGACATGTAATATATAGCATACTATTTCGCATATCATCAAAATAATTGCTAAAAGAAAAGTTGATTCGATGTGGTTTCTCACTTACCTGGTCTGTACATATGACTTTTTCTTGTCTTCATGGTGAGTCTTGCTTTTGTGGAGGTTGGACTCCTGATCACGGAAGCTATGTTCTGGAAGACAGAACAGACCACGAGTAAATGAATAGGTTTAAATTAATGCAGCTTCAAACAGTTTTCAGCCATTTCGTGTGTTGATTTCATTTGGGAGGAAAGCTGAAGTGATGCAGACTTTGTTCGTATACAACATTGGTAAATTGCAAACATTACCTCGATGGAATGAGAGTGGTGTATCAACTACCAACACCACTTACTAGGGGGTGTCTATTGAGGGAAAAACAACTATAGCGATAGTCTTGCAACCAACTTTTGCAATAGTGTTTTTGTCCTGAAAATGTCTCATATGAAGTCATTTCCCAAAGTGAGTGAGTGAGTATGGTTTTACGCCGCTTTTAGCAATAATCCAATATCACGGCGGGGGGACATTGTACCCATGTGGGGAATCGAACCCGGGCCTTTGGCGTGATGAGCGCCCCCTCATTTCCAAAAGGAATGTATAGTTTATATGAAACAAAAAACAAGTTGAAGTAGTTCCAGTCTCATTTAATAACTGACATGAAACTGGAAACACGGACCAAGTAAACAGTTAAAACATAACCTCAAAGAAGCTGCAAGTCTGCACCCAAACATCCTGTAGTTTGTGCTGTGCATTTATCAATGGAAGTCTATTACTAAACTATCGATAGTCATACATACTATCAATGCATCAATAGTTTATCGTTTCTACCATCGATTAATTGCTATCAGAAACTCAACAATTGCAATCCATCGATAGTTTGATGCATCGTTACAGCACTACCAAGTATATATCAATTCCAGTAACGAATCACCATCCTTGAGTTACAACTTTCAGTGGGAGTCTGGTATGATGCACTACCCACCCTTCTGAGTGCTCTCCCCTCTCTGTCTGTCGTACTTGTCCTTCTCCAGCTGCAGCTGTGTCATCTGCCAAGTCAGCTCGCTGCGCAGCTGTGACACCTTCACCAGAAGCTGCTCACGCCGTGACAACTGCAACACACATCCAGGGTCATGGCTGCTTACTATGACATTATCATCACTTCATCTGACGTGGTTGTACTAATCATAATTTACATCATAGGTTCATATTCTTCTTTTTTTGTGAGATATTGAAAGCATGTCAGCAAGCCAATTACTGATTGACTGTTTCATATTATGGTTCAATAACTAACTAAATAACTACTCAACACACCAATGTAACCTGTAATGTATAAATAATGCAATAAAAGGATTGTAAATTGATGTATCATGTTCTGAATATCAAGATACAATACGGTATCAGCACCATCAAATCATAGGCTTTGGAGGCAGGACAACCTCATAATGAGTGAGTGAGTGAGTATGGTTTCACGCGGCTTTTAGTAATATTCCAGTAATATCACAGCAATATCACAGTGGGGGACACCAGAAATGGGCTTCACACATTGTACCCATGTGGGGAATCAAACCTGGGTCTTCGGCGTGACGAGTAAACACTTTAACAACTAGGCTACTCAACCGCCCCCACCTCATAATGAACACAGTATAACTGACATAAATATACGAATACTGATAATATTGTCAATTCTATTAGACACCTGCTGGAGAAATATACAAGACAGCGCCGCCCACTACTGGTGGTCCGATTAATTGAAATAATAAAATATTGGTCGCAGTGACTAAACGACCAAGCAATCAATTGTCATTTCTCATAATGGAGTGAGTGAGTGAGTTTAGTTTTACGCCGTACTCAGCAATATTCCAGCTATATGGCGGCGGTCTGTAAATAATCTAGTCTGGACCAGACAATCCAGTGATCAACAGCATGAGCATCGATCTGCTCAATTGGGAACCGATGACATGTGTCAACCAAGTCAGCAAGCCTGACCACCCGGTCCCGTTAGTCGCCTCTTACGACAAGATAGTCGCCTTTTTATGGCAAGCACATGGGTTGCTGAAGACCAATTCTACCCTGGATCTTCACGGGTCTTCTCATAATGGAACACAAACAGTTTTGGAACACTTGTTTGCATTAACAATATTTTTCACAAGCTTGGTTTTATCTGTGTCATTAAATTTACATTTCATAAGAACTACAAGCTCGTTCCAAGTCATGACTGAACTTTTCTCAAAGACTCCAGGAAAGTTAAATTCTTAACGTACTAGTAATCCTTTAAAGATGTGAAATTTGCAAAAGTATTTTGTACAATTTGCAAAAAAACTCTCAAAAACGTTTGTGCATTACCAAACATAACAGGGAGTACACATTGATGCAAACCAATTATTTTCGATGATTGATCAATTCCCAACACTAGTGCCCACCTTCTGGCCAGTTTCCTGAGATGACAGCAAGCGGTCTTCAATGGAGGTGTGGATTCTGTTCACAGTGGCCTGAGTTTGTTGTGTGGCTCGCAATATTGTCTGAATGCTGGAGGAAACGAATCCATAGAGAATATAGTGACATTAAAACTAAAAAAAGGAGTGTCTCAAAGAAATATGCGCATATGCTCAAACAACCAGACAGTGAAACTGTTTGACCAACCTACCGTGAGACTGAGTTAGCTGTGTACGCGCCTCGTATCAAGGACTGGTCTACTCTAAACACGAAACTTGGCGTCTCGGGATAGGGAAGATTTGTTTGTACTTCAGACATCTGTAACATATGGCAAGGTTACTCCATGAAGCATATCACTTGTGCTGACTCTGCAATTATCATACAAAACTGTGTTCCACAGGAGATATTGCTTGTGTGAAATCAAGTAGACAGTAGATTTTGTACAATGCCCTGACAATGCTATGACGTAATGAACTTGATGAAAAATCGTCCGGAAGGCGGGGTTTCCGGATATACGGGGTTCGACTGTATAAAGAATGTGAACTGTTTCTAATTTTTTAAGAAACATCATTGCAAGTTCTAGAAATGAGGAAATAGTTGTAAAAGTAATCATGGGTCAGCAGAGAGACTGGAAACACAGCATAACTTGCTATCGTATATCACCTGTCTCTGTAGTTCAGGAGATGCCTTTGACTCATCAGCAGAGATGAAGTACTTGTCAAACATGCCGAAGATGACCGTGTTTGGATTGTACTTGACACCGCTGTGCTGTAGCTGAAATTACAGACAGTCACCACAATAAGACCTCTAAAACTTGACAGTACATTATATTGTCATTTTGTAAATATTAAATACAGCAGAATGAGAAAAATATTTCTTTACAATGATTTCTTCTGGTAAAGCAACTTCTGTTTCCAAATCCAGTTAAACATTTACCAAAAAGAATTAACACTGAGATAAGCTAAAGGCAACAGATATTTTTTAACTCAGCTTACAAATTTGCCAATTCCAAAACACTGAAACATATAAGGAAAATACGAACAAAAATCAGCGCTTGTTTATTCAGTCAATAGAAAGTAAAACGTAAATTAAAAAACCCATTTGCTGTTACCATCAATATATACACATCATCCAAAATATGACCCGTGAAGATCCGGGGTAGAATTGGTCTTCAGCAACCCATCCTTGCCACAAAAGGCGACTATGCTTATCGTAAGAGGCGACTAACGGGATCGGGTGGTCAGGCTCACTGACTTGGTTGACACGTCATCGGTTCCCAATTTCGCAGATCGATTTTCATGCTGTTGATCACTGGATTGTCTGGTCCAGACTCGGTTATTTACAGACCGCCGCCATATAGCTGGAATATTGCTGAGTGCGGCGTAAAACTAAACTCACTCACTCACTCACTCATCAAAATACTATCATTAACCAGTTGAAAATTATACCTTAAAAGCAGAATACACAAGAAGGAATTTGAAGGTAAAACAACTGCAAGAAAGTTTGTTGTAAGAAAAGGCTGCATGCAATGAACTCTCTTAAGATTAGATCCCAGACTTCACAGGCAAACACAAGCACCATGAGGCTACTTGAAAAGAGACATGATTATGGCTATAGACACAGATTGAACAATGAAGACAATAGAAACATGAATGGTTCACGTACCTTCTCAGCAAAGAAGGCCAGTCCGCTAAGGTGAATGGTGAGGTCTATGAGCAGGGTGAACCGATCGTCCTGAGACACCCACACCCTCACCACAACAGCTGACAAAGGTCAAGGGGAGATAACCAACACTAATAGAGGTACAGTGAGTGAGTGAGTTTAGTTTTACGCCACTTTTAGCAATATTCCAGCAATATCACGGTGGGGGTCACCAGAAATGGGCTTCACACATTGTACCCATGTGGGGAATCAAACCCGGGTCTTCAGCGTGACGATCGAACGCTTAAACCACTAGGCTACCCCACCGCCCCAATAGAGGTACAGAGAACAATACCCTCACCCCTTTGAGAGAGTGACTGAGTCTAGCCAATTTTACCAATATTCCAGCAATATCAGCAGACACCATATATGGGCTTTACACATTGTACCCATGTGGGAATAGAACCTCGGCTTTCAGCATGAAAAGTGAATGCTTTAAACACTAGGCTACGGAACAATGGGTTTTTTGGGATCAAGGATTGGATAGTCTCCACCATTCATGACCTGGGATGATGCTAATTTTCTTGTTATTGTACCCCAACAGTGTGGGACGTTGATCACAATATCAATCACTGGTTTGTCTGGCCCACACTTGAATACTTACATTGACTGTGGTGGAGTGAGTGAGTGAGTGAGTGAGTGAGTGAGTGAGTGAGTGAGTGAGTGAGTGAGTGAGTGAGTGAGTGAGTGAGTGAGTGAGTGAGTGAGTGAGTGAGTTCAGTTTTACGCCGCTTTTAACCATATTCCAGCTATATCACGGCGGGTGGCACCAGAAATGGGCTTCACACATTGTACCCATGTGGGGAATCGAACCCGGGTCTTTGGCTTGACGAGCGATTGCTTTAATCACTAGGCTACCCCACCGCCCCTGATTGTGGTATAAAAAACTTTCCCTCACTCACTCCCCATACATTAAACAGAAATAAGCACACTAACCAATGGAATAAAACCTTTGAACTTTTGGGTCCTAATATTTAGCACTGTGGACATAAGATTGATTGCAGTATCTCAAATCAAAGTGTTAGACCAGACAAAACAGTGACTGATAGAGTGAGCACTAACACAATGGTTCAGGATCCTGAATTTACATGGTCTGTGTATTTTTTAGTCCTCGTAAAATATTCTGGAGGATCTGAGACATCAAAATGGGGTTCATAGGTGACCAGTGTATAGGTGTCATACCTGGTGGTCAGGCTTGCTTTATACCAATGGGTGGTCAGGCTTGCTTCATACCAAAATAGACTCGGGAAACACAAACACAAGTTTGTCGCAAGAGCTGACTAACGGGATCAGGTGGTACATGTCATTGTATCCCAGGTACCTCAATTGATGCTTATGATGTCAATCACTGGATTGTCTGGTCTAAACTTCATTATTTACAGGCAGCTGACATACAGCTGCAAATTGCAATATTGCTGAGCACACATTAAACAACAAACAGCTGCTGGTCATTCTGTCATTGATAAGGATACATTTGGATTTCAAATTGACATCTTTTTCATATCTGCTGATGTCAAAGCTCTTCCATGTAGGATTCTGGAAATAAGAAGGAAGCACTGAATTAAATGCAAAACCTTTGTGAAAGCAAGGGCATTGACAACAAAGCCAGAGTATCCCATAACCTACTGGTCTGACGATGATCATTCACGTCAGAGGTGCACAGTATTTCTGGTCTACTCAATGTGAAATATAAATAAACATGATTGAAAAATAATAGTATATTGCCACCATCATGCATATAGTATCACAGGCAATATATGCATCATAAGTTATAAGTCGAGTTAAAAATAACGAAATTCATAAATCAAATCCTGTGGTTGAAAAAGGAAACTACAGTCGAGCATCGTTGTGTCAAACTTTGATAACTCGATATCTCGTTTGTCTCGATATAACATCTCGGTTCCGGCAAAATCCTTCATAATTTATCATTATTCAAGCTCTTTTAAATCGATACGGATGTCTCGATATTTCGGATATCTCGATATAATCTGATGGTCCCAACAAGCCAAATTACCCCTTTAACTCGATATTTGCAAAGATACTCGATATTCACCTACCTATCATGGGCAAGTATCCCTCTGAACTGAGGTTGTTTCCACACGTTTACCCATGGTGCGGAATGAATCAAAGGTATGCGGTAGTGTAAACTAATCCGGGCTAATTGAGTTGAAGGTGTCACTTGTTTGTTATTTAATTAGGATTAATTAAGAAGGATTTAATTAGGAAGTACTCACTGTTACGACTAAACACTACTGATAACCGATTACAGTTTCGAATCCAAACATACTGAGAAGCGTTTTGTTTTCTTTTATAGTGATATGTGATGATATGCCCTGGTCGGATGTCTCAAAGTTCGGATGAATCGATATTTTTTCATGGTCCCATGAATATTGAGACAACGGTGCTCGACTGTATTTGCAACAAACTTCCTGTATACATTGTATTATGTATGCATTGTAACCATAGCAACATCAAATGAAATGGGAGATGACAATGAAGCTGACAAAATATCATGAATGTATAGTCAGGTTCATGACACATTATAGATGATAGGACTGACTGACTGAGTTTGGTTTTACGCCGCTTTTAGCAATATTCCAGCAACATCACGGCGGGGGACACCAGAAATGGGCTTCACACATTGTGCCCATGTGGGGATTCGAACCCGGGTCTTTGGCGTAACGAGCCAACGCTTTAACCATTAGGCTACCCCACCGCCCACAGATGATATGAATCATGCAGTTCGTTGTGGTGTGGATTGCAATACAGGAATTAATACTTTAACAACCTGCAATATGAAATTCATGCCAATACCCAACCCTTCTTTTAAATATTATGTAAAAGAGGAAAAATCTGTTTACCACTGAGCCGACAGCTTTCTCGCTTGTGTAAAATGCTGAAAAAGAAAACGAGGTGAGGTGAGATGAAATTGGGTTTTACGTTGTGCTTTAGTATATTTTGCTCATATGACGACGTGCATGCGTGTGTATGTGTATGTGCGGCTGCTTGTACTAACCCAGACTTAAGCTGGTTTTATAGTGCTAGCTCACTGAGATACCACGCCGCAGTGCAGCATGAATACCCCACTCAGACACATTATACTGACTCCAAGCCGACCAGTCCTTGTTATACCCATTAATGCCAAGCGCCAGGCAGGGACCAACAAGTACCATATTTTAACGTCTTTTGGTATGACGCGGTCGGGGATCGAACCCACGACTTTACGCTCTCCGGGCGGACGCTCTAACCACTACACCACAGAGGCGGTCAAAGAAAACAAGAACAAAACATTATCTATTCATACCAGTGATAAAAAAACATACGTTTTAGTCCACTGGTCCATATAAAGGAAACACAGCAAAATCATTAAAAGTGTAAAATGTCTACCAGTCATTACGATATCTAAATATTGTTAAGCTTGGCAAGGACAGTAGGACTAGTGTCTGTTTCTGTTGCTGCAACATCTACAGCCTACTGCCTGGATTGGGTCTTCTCACCTGGAGACCTGGTGTTGCGATGCAGCGTGAAGAAGGTTTGCATCTTCATCACCTCGATACCTCGGTAGGTGTGGCATACCAAGTTCCTCACAGCAACACTTCGGAGGTGACGGATTCGTTTCTGAGGAAAACAATGAAACATGCACAATAATCACAAGTTGGAAATCAAGAGACATTTGTAACTAGTCAGTCAGTTAATATACCCATACACTTCTAATTTCACTAGGGCTGGCCACCAATACAGATCATAGAGATTGATGATTGATAACTAAATATTGATTGATTATAGATAAATTTCGGAGAAATAACTTTAAGCAAAATTGCCTAAAAACGTCTGAAAGTAATGAATATATTTCATATCACTGGTGAGCGGTGACATGCTTATACATGGCTAACCATCAAGACAGTGTCCCGATCAGAATTTAGAAGAAGCCCATGGTTAAAATCTAACTAAGCTTGTGTATTGTTTGAGTAAATTAAAACTTTATTCTATATCATTTACGATATTATCAATGACACTATTTTCATTTCAATAATCATTAATAAAAATGTTTCCTATCAACGATATTTCCGATTACTGATCTTTTTAGCCAGCACTAAATTTAACATTATTTCATGAAATTACAACACAAACAATAGATACAAATAGTATGACTATAGTTTTACACCACTATTAGCAATATTCCAGCAGGGATTCCAGAATTGGACTTCACACTCATTGTACCCATGTGGGAATCAAACCCAGGTCTTTGGTGTGAAGAGCGAACACTTTAACCACTAGGCTACCCACTGCCCCAGAAACACAAAGTAAGTGCACATCTAAAAGTAGGCATAAAATCAGTTCATAAAAACAGAATGACAACATAATAAACAATGTTCATAAAGAACCTTGGAGCATATTGTGAACTATAATTTCAGATTTGTTTTCAATGCATTGATCAGTATAAGCAGATTAGTACAGGGGTGGAAATAACCCATTTCCTGACGTCCGAGTCCAGTGTTTTTGTCAGTCGGGCAAGCAAATTTGTATTTCACACTGTACCGGTGTCCAGTGGACTTTCCAATGTTAATTATGTTGTTTATTTTAAAAATCAGCAAGAAATCAGCCGTTATAGTGGGAAAATGATCAGGGCAAGTGATTTTACATGTGCCACTGTACCGGAGTACACTATCAATTTTAAAGTTATTTCCACCCCTGTAGTATCATGTACTGTTTTGCCAAGCTTCAATTAAGCTAATCAGTTGTTATGAGTTCCATCACCATTTTCCTTTGTACTCTCATAATTTACATATGTAATAATGGCTATATATGGAAGAAAGGTATTGGCAAAATACAGATGTAGATCACTTCCCCACGCTACAGACATCACCCAGATCTTGAAGCCACTCTATCCAAGACTCATTTCAAACTGAAACCTAATTATGTTGTCATCCCAGTCACAAATGTTTCTAGTCCTTGTGTTGCGACTAATTATGAAAAGAACTGCTACAAAGAGAAGCACACATTCATCCTGACTAACAATACGTACTTCAGAATCATTTCCTTAGGTTTCGTATCAGTCTATGGCTTCCTTCCTCATTGTTGCCGATCATTAGGTTTTGATTTTGTTCCTACTCATGTTTCAAAACATTTTTATGAAATATGGAAAACTCTTTCTGGAATAAATGAATACTTTTTAGTCTGCGATTTCAGTCACATTCTCATTCCCGAATCTGATGTTATGAGTTGATTTAAACATATTTTTCTTCAATAAATCAATAGGGATTGGTGAACAAGCTGTTGTAGCTTATATTAACACTGCTCCCATACAACCTGTTACATAATACAAATTGTAAGGTCAGAACATGATACACATGATCATGCAAGTTAGCAACTGTGTGTTAAACAGAAGCATGGTGAAAACAAATTGGTGAGATGTGTATTAGCACTTTTAGTGAGTGAGTTTAGTTTTACGCTGCACTCAATAAATATGCCGTAAATAATCGAGTCTGGACCAGACAATCCAGTGAGCAAAAGCATGAACATCGATCTACGCAACTGGGATACAATGACACGTGCCAACCAAGTCAGCGAGCCTGACCACCCGATCCCTTTAGTTGCCTCTTACGACAAGCATGGGTTACTGAAGATCAATTCTAACGCGGATTTTCATGGCTCGTTTTCATTTTTGAGAATGAGCATGAGTAATTGGTCAACTACAGTTTGGTGTGCCTGAAGAGTTAAAGCAATTGAGGAACATGTGGTTATTGATTGGTGATATGTTTTCCTATACAAATTAAGTTGCATTGGTATTGAAACGTTTGAAAAGTTTTGATTTAGTGATAACTTTGTGGATTGATTTCAGCATGTTCACATTTTCAGAAGTAACCAAATATCTATTTCCATTCAAAATGGTTTCCAGGTCATAGCCATGGGAATAGAAATACATCTTACTTCTATATACACATGAAGAAATAGTGTAAAGCGTTTCCATGTAATATCACTTCCACCACCAATTTTCTTTCCACTCACACTATCTATTTGCCTGTATATGGAAGAAGTGTATAAGCAAAATACAGATGTAGATCACTTGCCAATGCTACAGACAGAACTTGAAGACCCTCTATCTAAACCTCATTTTCAATCGGGGCCTAATTATGTTGTCATCAGTCACAAATACCCACGTCATTTATCCTGACTAACAATATCTGCTTCAGATTAATTCCTGTAGTTTTGCATCAATCTATCACTCCCTTCAAGCATATGTGTTGATTATTTTTCTACTTACATTTCAAGATGTTTTTATCAACTGAAGAATACTCTAGAACGTATGACTACTTTATTTCAGCCTGTGACTTTAGTCACAGTCAGATGCTGAGTGAGTAAAATTCTATTGGTCAAGCAAATATCAGTACATTTAATTCCAATCAATTCCATTGAAAACGATGCCATGAGCCAAAATGGACGGGTAGGCAACTGCCAGGCTGCCATCAGGACCCTCTGAGATTAAAATCTGCAGGCCCTGATTAAATCCTTCAGGCCATCATTATTAAACTATGTAGCATTTTGTGACAAAACTAATGACACATAAATTTGCACCATGACAAATGGACCTACACTCATTTGAGGCTACAGCAAAGCTTTCGGCCGTGGGAGTCGTGCCAATTAACACTTATCAGAGGGGTACACAAGGTCCGCAGTCTGGACTACCAGTTGTCCGACTTCCATTTTTGTGGAAGCCGCGCTGGTTGAGCGGTCTAGGCGGCTGACTTTGTGTGCTGGCGATTAGGTGCCTGACTCTGAGGGTGTGGGTTTGAGTCCCGTATGGGACTCAACCCCAAAAAAGTACTAGAATCTGTACTTTACTAAGAAAGTGTATCTCAAATATAACATATGTTACATCAACACATAGTTACCCACATGCTCAGGACAGAGTATATGCACTTTAGCACTTGCTTAGGTAATAGTGAAAGGATACAATGATATTCTTTATCACGCACGACTGTTGACAATACCTCATTACATCACTGAATAATGGAGAAGCCAGGGTATGTCATTACAACTTCACCAGGCCTTGTCAAACCCTGAGCACTAAACATCAGAACTGAGTTTATGTTTAGCCTGTGCATTTTTTATTGATATCACACAGTGACAAACTTTGGAAAATTACCAGGTAGTTTTCTATGTTTGTTCTGTTCAGGGTGTTATCTAGACACCATATAGCTTGAATATTGGTGAGCACGACGTTAAACAACAAACAAACAAACAAAACAAAACAAAACATAGTGTTATCGGTGTAAGCCCAACAGTTGACCAAAAGACAAACATAATTAGACAAACACCAGGATGACTTGTGAGTGTATAGTAATGTAAGTAGGAAATGTCACTGTCTTTGATACTGACACTTCGGCAAAGAATGAATACTTGTATTCCATTCCTATATTGGTCCACAGTCTGATAACACCTGTCAACTTGTCACTCATTTGTTAGAAATTAGCATCTACAACATAATCACCTGGTATGTTGGCAAGTCGAACGGGTTCGTAACGCGCTGAAAACCTCCACCCGATGCCATGTTTTGATACTTCGATATTTGCAGTATTACATACTAATGAAATCTCAATATTTAGCAGAAGACTTCTGTCGACTTTAGGGAAGTACCCTACGTCGCCATCTTGATTCTCGTATTAGTATCACGTGACTATCTGATTAGGCTTGAGTATTTCGAATCATTCGTGATTCAATAGGACTACAAGGAAATTGGAAGTCATTGAAAACACCTCCGAATGTTTATGTCAGTATTTTGACGGTTGACAAGTTCCTGAACGTGACCAAATACGATTAATTGAAATTTCTGATCTCGCGAGATTATGTGTACACGCCAGTCATGTGATACTGAGAGCCGACAGAATCAAAACACATCCTTTTCATGTGTTAGACTTTGGTCAAGCTTGGCATAAGGAGACATAACGTTGTTTTTGTTGCGTGTCAGTTAGCACGCTGAAGACCAGGGCTGTTGATTGAAAAGAACTTTGGTATTTTTCAGGCAAGCAGGTATAATAGCCTTGACAACTGAATAATTTTTACCAAATGCAGATTAGAAATGCTGAATATTGCCGACGGTGTCAGCGATGTTGCAAGATCGTATACACATGTCTGTGTTTCCCTAATTCTCTAGTAATAAGAAGAAATTATTTTTGTCACCTATCTCTCAAACATTCACATATTGCAGATACACATGGCTTGTCTATCTGTACCTGAAGATGGGTAAACACATATCCTGTGATGAAATGGATAACACTATGTTCATATTTACGGTCAATTTATTAAGTTTAGCTATCTGCCATTGCTGTAAAATCAACAACACACCTATATGTGTACATGTACAGTACTACTTCAATTTACTGGGCACACATTTATGATTTCAATTAGTATTGTGTGGGGTATCAACCTCAGGTTGCCAGGTTGAAGATAGGCGAACTAACTAGGAAACACTTTACCACAAGACCCAAAATAATTGAACAAGATGACTAAATGAACCCACCTGATTATTTACCTTGATGTGTATGTATGGTATCAGTTTTTTGTCTGAGAAACTTTGAAAGTTTGACAACAATGTATGGATTTATCCTAAATAACATTAAATTAGTTCGAAAGAAGTTGTGTAACTGTAACCGTTAAGCTACAAGAAATAACATCTGGTTCACTTAGGCAAGAACACATCCAAAGTATATCACTGCAGTTGTAACAGCCAACTGGATTGAGGGCCAGATCTCTTACTGACCATGTTGACTGGTTGTGTTTGTTTGTACAAGGTGGTATAATAATAATAATAATAATAAGTGTTCTTGTATAGCGCACAAATCAAACTGCAAGGCAATTTCTCTAGGCTCTAAAAGATAGAGTGATCTGAAGAAAGGATTAAAGTTCATAAGCTTGTTTAAAAAGGAAAGTTTTCAGTTGGGACTGGAAAGATTCCACGGACGCGGCTTGTCGGATGTGAAGAGGCAGTGAGTTCCAGAAAAGGGGAGCTGTGTAAGAGAACTGTCTATGTCCATATGACTTTAATCTGACCTTGGGGACATTCAACTGACAATTAGAACTTGATCTTAAAAGCGTGGTGGGACATATTCACTGAGGAGATCTTTCAGATAGATTGGAGCTTTGTCATGGAGGCACTTGAAAGCGAGTGAGGATTTTATATTCTATTCTCTGTTTCGTGGGCAGCCAATGTAAGCGTATCAGCAATGGTGTAATGTGACTGCGCTTGTTGACTCGGCAAATCAATCGTGCCGCAGAGTTCTGAATCCTCTGGAGCTTGGACAATAGATCTTGGCGGATATTTACAAGAAGACTGCAGCAATAATCCAAACGTGAGAGAACAAGTGAACGAACTAGGTGGTGAGCTGCATCAAATGTCAGAATATCACGAATGGAAGCAATATTTCTGAGATGAAAATAGCATGACTTACAAACAGAGTTTACGTGTGTTTCCATGGATAAATTTGAGTATGGAATGTTCATCATGCTATCGGCCACTGGTTTTCTTTGACCCACTCTGATACAGTGGAATCTGTGAACTGGACTTGCAGTTATAATTCCAGTTAAGACAGCAGTCTGATTCTAGCAAAGAGTTACATCCCTTGGTATTTAAATTATTGCCAGTTAAGAATGAACATGTGTATGTGTACAATAACACCTACATGATAAAAAAACTGGCACTACAAAGTAAACTATTTGCAGTATTGGAAACAGGATTCACAATATAATCCTATTACTTAAACACTGAACTGCTAATGCAACCAATGATATTTCCAAATACAGTAAGATTATTGTCAGTACGTCACTGAGCCCCTTCACATTGTTTGTTGGAGTGGTGACTGTGGGGTAGCCTAGTGGTTAATGCGATCGCATGTCGTGTAAAAGACCAGTGTTCGATTCCCCTCATTGGTACAAAGTGTGAAGCCCATTACTGGTATCCCCCCACCGTGATATTGCTTAAATATTGCTGAAAAGCAGCGTACAACCATATTCACTTACACTGTTGATAAGAGCAGCTCACCAAATGTTCAAGGAAGCATCAGTAACATTCCAGTTATGAATTAATTGGTCCTTTGTCACAAAGTTTCAGCTGTTTGGTGAAACAAATCAATCATTTCAGATGGCTTCCCAAGGAATAGACCGAATCCCGGATTCACTTGGCTATCTGGTGCTGACAGAGGATGGGGCAGTAGTCAGTGTAAGTTGTCTTCATCATTACCTAGTTAACATCACATGATGAATTCCGAAAAACTACCACTCACACCCATGTTTGTTGTAGGGCTGTGCAATATAACCGGTTTACCGGTATTTACCGGTTCAGACATGAAAACGATACGTATTGCGATACGCTGATTGAAAACCCGTATTTTGACATGCATTCGGAAAACGTCGTAACACTCGAAAATCTTCGGATATTTCCTTGTTTCATTTGTGCCAAATATTATTCACATTTTTATTTTATCATGATTAAAATTAGTTATTAAAGCTTAATCAAGCATAGTGATTTTGTTGTGTTTTTGCTCTATAAATCAAGCAGTAACTCGATTATAAGTAGTTTTTTGTTTAAAAATACTTCATGCAATATATTGCAATGCATATCGCAATACATGCTTTCGCATCGCAATATATCGTAATATGAATATTCTCTGCAATACCCACCCCTAGTTTGTTGAAAGAGGTGACTAATTATACCAGGTTCGGATGGTCAGGCTTGCAGCCTTGGTTGCCACATATCATTGTATCCCAACTGCGTCGAACGATGCGGCTCATCACTAGATTGTCTGGTCCAGACTTGATCATTTACAGTCTGCTGCCATATATCCGGAATTCTAAGTGCGGCATTAAACAACAAACAAAAACTACAGCGACTTGCTGTGTTACACAGTGTAGATCTCTCGATATGTAGAACACTAATGTCTGATCACCCCTTCTCGCCTGCAGACCTTGTGTTCTGATGCAGTTTCATCACCTCCCTCATTGACTATAGTATTCTTTCACTGCTGTTTTTTTTAAGTAGAGATTGTACTTTGTATGTAGTGATTGACAGTGGCAGAAAAGTTTGTAAAATATTTGGTATTGCATGTCATACCGTGAATTGAAATACAAATTGATATGTATGACAACTTTGGAAAATAATTTTATATTGTGCTTTTTCAAATCATTCATGTTTTTCTTCCTGTTGGCAGAGTATCAAGTTTTATTGAAATGTTCATATAAGAAATACAAGGGTTAGGCCAATAACTTTCACTAGAATGGAGCACAAAGGCTAGGACACTCACTAACTGTGGTGTCAGCAGTGTTCTCGAATGATGTTTCAAAGTAACAGGACATTGGGTCCTGTAAGTTTCGGATGTCTGTCTGACCCATTGAAAATTCACAGGACCCATAGAATGAAATTAAACACACATTTCAGATTTAACATTTGTTATACTTGGCATTTAAAATTACTAACAAACATTAAGATTTATAACCAGCAAACAAGTGTCACATGTGACATGTGACATATAACAACTTCAGTCAAAGTCATTGTGAAACATACAGTCAGACGCTTGGGGCGGGTTGTGGACTTCTATCGGACCGTTGGCGAATCTGCCAGACTTGTCAGAGGGTCAGACACTATTAGTGAACACAGTAGTTGATTATAGCTCCACAACTGGATTATCTTGATACCGCTGCTATATGGCTGGAATGTTGCTGAGAGCGGAGGTAAACAACAAACGAAACAAACAAAATGTTGATTAAGTCTCCAAATGATGTTCTATTGTATGTGTCCAGAATAATCACTGTGATCCCAGTTGTCAACAAAGTAAAAACTAATTTCTGAATTGCCTGGAAGGGCACACAGTATGGAATCCTAGATCAATCCATGGCTGTGTACAAAGCATCACAGGCTGCAATGTCAAGATATACAAGTGGAACACTGTCCCTCTTAAACTGCTCATATGATGTTTTGTCACTCCATCCATCCGTCACTCAATCACTCACTCTGATATGACAATCTGAATTACTCTTAACATAGGGCCAACTGAAGTCACTCATTCTTTAATTTCTTTGACTGTGGGAGTGTCTCAAACATCTAAGGCATTGTGTAGAGTAGTGTCCCTTGGACAATGCAGACACCTGTAATGATGGGTTTGAATCCTGGTTAGCCCTGGTTCTGTTTGTCTGCTTATACCAATGCTCATGTGTTTCACCAGAGTGGTAAATGTATCCGCCATAGAAGTTTCTGGGTCTCTACTATGTATGTTGCTGCTGTTGGTCGTTGTTGTTTGTTGGCGGATATTTCTCCTACTGACAACACAAGCCATCTGCGGGTCCACAATGTTTTATTGTGAGCTTTCTAACTCGGAGCTTAGTGCTCAGCTCTCAGTTTCAGACTAATTACTTGCACTCGTTAACTTTAATACATCTCAGTCCTGACAATCCTACTGTGTTCCTTGTTGGCCCCAATGTTCGTGGTGGCGTGTGGTCCTGTCCATAGAGCGCATGTCACGAATCAGTTGAAGTTAAGCAACGTCAAGCTCGGACAGTCCTTGAATGGGTGACCGTGTTTGACAGCTTGACACCTGAGCGTTTCTAGGACTTCCATCCTGCCCCACAACGAAGCACATGTGATACATGTGGTCTCACCTTAGGCAAGTGAGTTTGTTCCAAATTGCCTCTGTTCACCCAGCAGAAAATGGGTTCCCGGTTGGATAAAGTCATGTGACTATAACCTTCTAGCGCCTAACAGGCAGCTTGGTTATCTGGGGTAATAATAATCAGGGTGTTAGCTCTTTGAGAATGCTTTGTTGCGTGGAGGTTAACGTTTTATAAGACTTCTCATTATTATTATATGGCAAGACCATGTGGAACCTCATCCACAACCAACATGTCTATTTGTGCACCGGTCGTCAGGATCATGCCACACTTGACCTTATAAGACCACAGCAGGAAACTGCAGTCTCAGAATTTCAAGAGTATGTCTAAATCCTGCACCCATCATTAGGCCAGCAGCCAAACAGCCAACTAGTGCACGCCTTACCTGGGACCTCATTACATCCACCCCATGAGGTGTCCTCCAAGGGCAGAGGTGGAGGCCACAAGTGCCGCGACCCATCTGGGAGTTCGCCTGGCGCACTCTGCAAGTGGCACGCTGTATAGTGTATGTGATATACAGTATATTGCACTTGATATACTGTATACTGCATGTGATAAATGTCTAAGACCTATAAGTGGAATACTGTTCAATCAGCTTTAAAGTCACTCACTCACTCACTCTGTGTTGTAGTCTGGTGGGGAACTGGAGAATGACGAGGACACCGCAGGGAAGATCACAAGGCTTGTCTACACAGCGGCCAAAATACCTGTCACATCGGACAAGAGAGACACATTCAAACGGATATCAGGTATATATTATTTAGATATCTTCAAAAGTCTTAACAGACAGGTACCCTGTACATGGTGTAGTTATAGGGGGCCGGTGGGGTAGCCTAAAGGTTAAAGCGTTGTCTCGTCACGCTGAAGACCAGGGTTCGAATCCCCACATGGGTACAATGTGTGAAGCCCACTTCTGGTGTCCTCCACCGTGATTTTGCTGGAATATTGCTAAAAGCGGCGTAAAACCAAAACTCAGTCAGTCAGTAGTTATAGGTTTTAGACTTTCAGCTTTAAACTTGTTCTGTTTGAATATGTGATTTCATTATTCTTTAAGTGAGAAATTCTTCATATCGAGACAGCTTAAAGGACCACACTCACTCATCTCTTGTCATTCTTTATTTCAGTTGTGTGGGATGACAGCATGTATGTGATAACAGTTTCTAATCACAAAATATTTGCAAGTAAAAGGAAGTACGTCCCCCAAGATCCTGTCTCAACATGAAGCATTACAGTACCAACAACATGAGATTTGGAGGGTGTGTGTGTTATTGAAAGACATGTAGAGGAGACTAGTGCTGATCACACACATCCACTTATTGTGGCCACATTCTGGTCCAACCGTGAACTGACCATTCATGTACATGCTTTGTTGATGCTCTTTGTTTATCATGTTTAAAGACGAGTACATATATGCCAAATTGGTCTTTCACGCAAGCTTTATACAGGCAATTTCAATTTCTCACACTGAAATTGTTCTTGGAATGAATCACCATAATTAATTACATAAAATGGTTTTGCTGGCAAAAAGAAAATTAACAGGAGCAATGTTTTTCATCTGACATTATCAACAAATGAAATTCTTCTTTTGAGTACACAAATTACGGGAATGTTTTGCAGATACTCCTTTGATTTCCTGCTTGTATCTACATCCTTGACACAAACCCCAGATAATTATTAACTTGTTGCTGAATATGCTACAAAAATGGAGTGTCAAAATTGTGAGAAGGAGTTTGTTAAAAATGCACTCCGATTATTCCAGCTATGGCTTGTAACTACTGGAGTCATGACCATGAGCATCAATCTAATCAGCTGGGATTTGATGACATACATCAACTAAGTCGGTCATTGTGTCAATGGTAAATCAATGGTAATGTCTTTGTAAATCATCCAATATACGGGTGGTGGGGTAGCCTAGTGGTTAAAGCGTTGTCTAGTCACGCCGAATACCCGGGTTCGATTCCCTACATGGGCACAATGTGTTAAGCCCATTTCTGGTGTCCCCCGCCGTGATATTGCTGGAATATTGCTAAAAGCGGCGTAAAACTAAACTCAGTCAGTCCAGGTTCAGATAACACCAGTACTTAAATTGTTTGTGGATAGGTGTTTTTTGTCTTTGCCATGTTCAAATATATCCATGGTCTTTTTGCATAAACTTTTGTGCAGTGTGTTGAGACTGAATGAGAGCTTGCCAAATTGTAAATTGTAATGTCAGTTGTTGCATTGTTTCATGTGCTCATGAAATAAATAAATGAAACAAATTTATTCCCAATAGTTGTCTGTGTTTGTTTTTGCTTTGTTTGAGTCAGTGAGTATGGTTTTATGCAGCTTTTAGCAATATTGCAGCAATATTCTGGGGACACCAGAAGTGGACTGTACACATTGCACCAATGTGGGGAATCGAACACGGGTCATCAGCGTGACAAACGAAAGCTTTAACCACTGGGCTATCTGCCCCTGGTTTGTTTGAGGTTGACTACCTCCACGGTCTAACAATATCTGTCTGAGAGTGTAAGGTCGGGTTCCATCGCTAGCTGTGCCATACCGAAAGATGTTAATGTATGGTACTTATTGTTGCCGAGCCCTGTGCTGGGCATCTGGGGATAAAACAAGGACTGCTGGATCCGTGTCAGAAGACAGTGAGATATTCATGTTTAGAAAATCAACACACAACACAAAACCACCTATCACACACATCACACCACACACACAACACACGTGGGGCTGGCAATGTGCGTGCAATAGCTCAGAACGCAACGTACAACCAAGGTTTCACTACAACACGTGATTACAGTCTGTCCCAATGATCATGACGTGATTTTATTGGTAGGGATATTTTACGTACGCTTTGCCTTGAGAACGAGTTACCTCCCTTCGGTTATGGGACGCTGAACGTTCAGGTCTCATATCAAATCAGAATTAGTCCTTTAACAAACACATAGGTGCCTGATCCTGAGAGTGTGGGTTCGAATCCCAAAATTACTAGAATCTGAACTTTACTGTGAAAATGTAAGTTGAAATTCAATATATGTTACGTTTAGGAAGCAGTTTTCGTATGAATCTTGGCAAATTGAATCATCTGGCAACTGCGATTGGATGATTTTGTGAAAGGTTTTTGTTTTTTAATGTACGTCTATGCTTTTCAGTGCTGTGTTTGAAACACTTTTTTTTTTACTCTGAATGTGACTCAGATATTTTCAAGCAGTTGACATTTAAGTTGGTCACGGCAGCTTCCTGTACTTGAAAAGAAGTAGTTTATTTATGGTGCAAGTTTTCTTGGTGCTAATATTCCCTAGACTACAGGCCAATCTATGCACACGTGTATATGTTGGTTGGTTGGTTGGTTGTTTAACGTTGCACTCAGCAATATTCCAGCCATATGGCGACAGTCTGTAAATAATTGAGTCTGGACCAGACAATCCAGTGATCAACAGCATGAGCATCGATCTACGCAACTGGGATACGATGACATGCGTCAACCAAGTCAGCGAGCCCGTTAGTCGCCCCTTATGGGTGACTGGAGATCAATTCTAACCCGGATCTTCAGACAATCCAGTGATCAGTATCATGCACATGTAATAGCTGTTGGAGGCTCCGTTGATTAAAAGGACATATAACATTACTATAGAATTTGACAGGAAGATATATGGTTGTGTACCCTATACCACCCTGTAAACAAGCTAGTGTGCATCCATTCGTTGTGAATGCAGAGCGATCTCATTCAGATTCGTTGACACACACATTTGTAGATACAGACGTTTTCAGGTCTCATTGCCATTGTTTCACTTTCACACACATTTTCTTATGTTAAAATTCCCATATAGGTAGGGTTTCGCCCCCACATTGAGTAGATAAGCGGAATACCATTCAAAATGGCGTCACTTTCAACTCACTTACTCCGACACATCAAGGAAATCCTGACAAAGTGCATACAGGTAGGTTTTCATTGATGTAACTCGTCGCTATATGGCTGAAGCAATACCGACGCGGCGTTACATTTTAACTCACGCATACAGGTACATATAGAAGTGCGGTATAGGTACTGAAAGATCAAGGATCAGTTTCGATCGACACGAGGATTCGAACCAACGATCAGCTTAAAGTCTGGCGTCAGGCGGTAGGCCCGGGTTTAATGTTCGAAATGGGTACTATGCGAGAAGCCCATTTTTGATTTTCATTCACCTACTCACACACTCTAAACAGCGCGCCCAGGAACACTGCCCGCGAGATGGTACCTGTAGGATTGGGGGGAGTGAGTGAGAGCGTTTAGTTTTACGCCGCACTCAGCAATATTCCAGCTATATTGCGGCGGTCTGTAAATAATGGAGTCTGGACCAGACAATCCAGCATCGATTTGCGCGAATGGGAACCGATGACATGTGTCAAACAAGTCAGCGAGCCTGACCACCCGATCCCGTTAGTCGCCTCTTACGACAAGCATGTGTTACTGAAGATCAATATTCTAACCCGGACCTTCACGGGTTGCACAATGGGGGAATATATGAGTTAAACGTTTTACATATGGATTTTGCAAACCACGCCAATAAAATTAAACATGGATGAATTTTTTTTTCTCAATACGTTTTGTATCTAAATGATAACAAAATAAATGAAGTAAATGTATTTGTGCGTGTATTGTATAATACTTCACGTCGTCTTCGACGTCATAGTGACAGCTTTCCGTCATATGTGAACATTAAGGGATTATTCGTTCAAATGTTGACATTGATGCTTGTATTCACCACTAACTGCCACTGGTATTACCAGTACGTGAGTGGGCGAGTTTAGTTTTACGCCGCACTCAGCAATATTCCACCTATATGACTATATGTAAATAATCGAGTCTGGACCAGACAATCCTGTGATCAACAGCATGAGCATTGGTCTACGCTACTGGATACGATGACATGTGTCAACCAAGTCAGCGAGTCTGACCACCCGATCCTGTTAAGTAATATTTTAAAGTAAAATGATATATCAAAATGCGGGTCGAAAGAGTATAAGGTACAATGTATATAGTAAGAGAATTGGATACGTGCTTGACCGTAATGTCTATGGAGTTTGTTTCGTCGTTCTAGTGGTCTAACTGATGGTATGTGTAAGTTCTTTGTTATGAACACATACACGTTATTTCGGCAGAATTAAAACAATGTATTTACCAGAGCATATAGTAACATGTTTCAATGTTTTAAGATCGTCCGAGTCCATAAACGAGAAAGAAAGGCTCGACCCAAACCATCATGCATTAGGAAAGAGTCGTGTTTAGTCTTGTCTTCAAATGTAATCCCAAATACGCTCTTAAAAGAAGAAACGCATAAGCCATGTTTAGAAGATTTTATTGCGTTAGTTTAAGAGGAATTATTTCACGTTATTTTAATCGTAAAAAGGTGGAATTCACCGGTCTGTAGACAAAGATTTCTGTTTACTCGAGTCAAAAGATGGCGTTAAGGTCAGTACTTTGGCCACCATTGGTAGCAATTACTGCTTGGCACCGTCTCTACGAAGTTGCTCTTGCGGAATTCTTCCCCACTCTTCCTGCAATGCACGATGGCCAGTCGTGGAAGTGTCTGAGGCGTGTTTTGACGTTAACGTACACGTTGATCGACTACTTTGAGAGACATTTTTGAAGTTGGATAGATGAAGGAACACCAAGTTCTATGGATAGACAACTTCTTTATTGCAATGAGTGCGACATTTCGGTGTAGGTACTAATACCGTTATCAAGCAAGTGTGCGACGTTTCGGTGTAGGTACTAACACCGTTATCAAGCAAGTGTGCGACGTTTCGGTGTAGGTACTAACACCGTTATCAAGCAAGTGTGCGACGTTTCGGTGTAGGTACTAACACCGTTATCAAGCAAAGTGTGCGACGTTTCGGTGTAGGTACTAACACCGTTATCAAGCAAGTGATAACAGTGTTAGTACCTACACCGAAACGTCGCACCCATTGCAATAAAGAAGTTGTCTATCCATAGAACTTGGTTTTCCTCCGGGTTGATCGAATTCATTCCGTAGGTGTTCTATCTGGTGATCGGGAAGGCCATTGCAAGACATTGATATTAGACTGGGGCAAGGTGCTGGACCGTTACGCGTATTGTATGTGAAGTATGCGTCAGGTGACTCTCCTTGTTCTTTTGGATTTCTCCAGTGCCTTTGATACTGTTGATCACCAAATTCTTCTGCAGCGTCTGAAGGTCAGAGTCGGTATCGATGGAATTGTCCTTGACTGGATACGTTCTTACCTATCTGATAGGTCTCAGACCGTCAAAGTGGAATCTGTACTCTCCACTGCATCACCACTCCACTATGGCGTTCCCCAAGGATCTGTCCTTGGACCTTTACTGTTTAGTCTGTACATTCTTCCCATTGGTGACATTGTTCGAAAGCACTCACTGAAATTTCATCTCTATGCTGATGACAATCAGTTATATCTGTCAGCGGAGCCTAACCTTGCTGAAGATTGTGCACTGAAGATACAACAATGTATTGCTGAAATAAGAGACTGGATGACCTTGAACTTTCTGAAATTGAATGACACCAAGACTGAGTTCTTGACCATCGGATCCAGGAATCAACTTTCCAAAGTGCCTGACAGTTTATCTCTTGGAAGATGTTATCACGCAGTCCGACTCTGCAAAATGTCTTCGTGTCATCTTTCAATCAACAATGTTATTATTAAATCAAATCATATCACTCAGCAAAGGATGCTTCTACCATATCTTCAATATTAGCAAGATCCGACCCTCTTAGACTTCAACACCGCCCAGCTTCTAACGACCAGCCTTGTTCTCTCTAAACTTGATTACTGCAACTCCCTCTATTACAACATTCCTCAACAGCTCCTTTCACAACTCCAACGGATTCAGAATTCAGCCGCCCGTGTTGTTGCCCGTGCACCACGCTACTAAACTGTGACACCTATCCTCCAAACTCTTCACTGGCTTCCTTTATCAAGCAGAATTCAATACAAACTTTTTCTTCTTACACACAGCTGCATCTATGAAAACATGTTTTCTCAATATCTTAAAAGCCTCATTCATCTCCATGTTCCAATCCGAATTTATCGAATGCAATTATATGGGTAAAAAGTTCATTTCTTCGACGGTAAACACGCTGTCTTCCATCTCGCCGGTGAAGAAGAAGTCGTGTTTCACTGAACCAGACTTGCCTCCAGTTTCTAAGGCTCCAGTTCCGGACTCTACGACACAACCACAAGCGATTGCGCCGATGGTCCATCTGCACATCCTGGTAGATGGAGGAGAATGCCTAATGA